AGAGCCAGTCGAACCGGTAGAGCCAGTCGAACCGGTAGAGCCAGTCGAACCGGTAGAGCCAGTCGAACCGGTAGAGTCAGTCGAGCCGGTAGATCCAGTCGAGCCAGTCGAGCCAGTAGATCCAGTAGAGTCAGAGCCACCGTTGGCCTGGGCGCTAGCACCGCTGACAGTAGTCGAAGAAGCAGCAGGAGAAGAACCGGCGGCGCTAGCACTGGACTCGGAAGAAGCGCTTCCGCCAAGAAGACTGCCAGCACCAGTCTGATCAGCAGAGCAAACAGTGTTGGTGGCAGTGATGGTCACGTAGCGAGTGGACTTGGACACAGAGTCCGAGGTTTCACCAGCAACAGAGACGACGCCGACGGTAGCGACCGTGGAAGTGGTTTCAGACTCCGAGGCGGACTCGGCGGCGGCGGCAGGAACGACGGTAGTGGCAGCGGCGTTGGTAGCGGCGGCGTTAGTGGCGGCAGCAGTCGAGGTAGTAGCGCCAGCCGCAGAGGCAACAGACGTGGCCTCGCTAGCGGCAGAAACAGTCTGGGCGGCAGCAGTGGCACTGCTGACGTGACCAACAGAAGAAGTGGAGACAGAAGCAGAAGCAGAGGCAGAGGCAGTCGATCCACCGGTCTGGAAGATCTTAATGTAGTTGATCTCCCAGAAAGATTCCTCAAAGGCAGAAGGGTTCTCAGCAACGTAGGCCACGCAGCTCTTGGTAGCACTAGTCTTGTCGCTGATAGGGCAGCCAGACGAGAGGAATACGCCACCGGCCCAGTCACCACAGAAGGTGGTATCGAAGATGAACTTCTGGGATTTGAAGTGTTCGGCGAAGTTGCAAGATCCTTGGAGGTGGCCCATGGGGCTGCCAAAAGCAGAAATATCAGGGGTGCCATCAGTGATCGATGACGGGATCGCGTTACGAGCAAAGTACCAGAACTTGATGTAGTCCTCCTGCCACTCCATAGCATAAACACCACCACCCTGCTCGTTGAAAGGGGTTCCCGAAGAACCCTCGGAGCCCTTGACAACACAGCCCGTGGTACCAGCATCCTCACCGCACTGGGTGGCGGTCAGAGTACCGGTCATGTCACTCTGGGCGGAGACTTCGCATGTACCGCTGGTGTGGAGGACAATCTCGCCGGCAGTGTTCATGTTGACGGCCTCGATGATATCGATTTCACCGTCGGCTGGCCAATTGGCACCGGTCGACCAGAAAGCAGGCCAAGTACCGCAGATGCTACCGGGCATGTGGGCGAGATCGATGATGAAAAGTCCATGGTCGTAGTACTTCTTACTCTCGATACGAACCGACTCACGACCGGGGCCGGCGGTGCTTAGCTTGGTGGTGTGGTCAACACCCATGTAGAAGGAACCATTGTTGTTAACCTTGACCAGTCCCGAGCTTTCCGCATAGCTCTGGTTAGCATAGGTGACAAAACCATTCGTGGGGTCTGCGCCGGTGTAAAAGTCGAAGTATTCGAGGAAACCCTCGCCTTGCCAGGTCTGGACGAGACTGTAGCTGCTGGCCAGGGCAGGCGAGATTAGAGCGAGTGAGCTAACGCTGAGTAGCGTGAGAGAAGAGGGCATCGTCACTAGAGTATGGTCAAGCAAGCGAGGACGATGCAATACAATAACAAGAGAACGATAGAGTTGAAATGTCGATTGAGGATGAATCGCTCAAGAGGCTGTCCCGCAACGATTGGCGTCGGTAAGGGTGGTAAGGAATGAGAGACAGACACAGCCTTCAAGGCCGGTGACGTGAATTGAGAACGATAGACTCAGGCGCAGAGATCGATCTGCAGCGGAAGGGAAGAAAGAATGTATGAGTATTATGAACAACTAGAAAGGGAGAGAAAGGAACTGTAGAGAATGTACATGGGATAAACAGAACAGGAAATATGCGAAACCCGGCTCACGGCTGGGGGCAGGTCAGTCAATAATATAATCATACTGTAGGATACGAAATTGAACCATAACACACACCAACCCGGGCAAGCCCCGACAGACACCCTGTCTAGACAGGACTCCAATGTTGAGTGGCTACGGACCAGCATAATTGTCGCCGTCCATAGCGAAACAGCTAGTCAGTGTCGGGCTGGCCCATTCACCGAGCGTCAACGGAACACGGCCATTGGAGCGAGGGAGGGGGTGGTTCGTGCCTCGATAGTGGGATTTTTTCAGGCACGGGACGAATCAGCAGGCGGAGATCCATAAGTTTAGATTTCCTTCATTCTTGGGCTTGGCATGTCAAGTGGATCGGATAACAAAGAAAGAGGTGTGGTGGAACCTGAAACGCGACGAGACTGCCCAAGGAGAAAGATGAAACAGGAGACTGTCTGGGGTGTACCGGTAGTCCATTTGCTAAGCCGGTCTCGCATGCAGGATAAACAAGTCATCATGCAAAGTCTACCAGGGTTATGGATCCGGTGATTGCATCTGCGACCGATCGAAATCAAGCAGTGATGGATGGCATAGAGGGAGGCAGGTGGTTGTAGAAGTTGTGCTGGGGCAACCATCAGCCCGTCACATTCTCGACCGGCCCAGCAGCGGGCAGCATTGCCGATCCGGGGCACCAGCCCGTGGTAGAAGAGGACATCGTGCGAGGCGGAGATAAGTCTGACTTGAAAGGAGAAGTAGAGTCAATGGTAGGTACTCCGTAGACTACCTATGCTTTCATCCCGCGTCGGGTGTTGGAGTCTAGACACGGAGGGGTGGAGCCAGACGGACGACGCCGTTGTTTCTTTGAGACCAAGTGGAGGAGACGACAAGAATAGTATCAAAGAAAACTTCCAGCCATGTGAAGAGCTGAGATTCCTTTGACAATTACCTGCACTGAATCACTGAATCTTTGATTGCTAGTGAATGGTGATGACGATAGGTAAAAAGGAAGATGACGAAGATGAAGATGATGGGGGAAGAAGAGAAGGAATGCCGGGACGCGCATCCGCGGCATGAATCGAGCAGTGGCTGATGCCTTCAGGCCTTGTGGCTGGTGAGTCCTGCCAGTGGCTAATCATCCCCTGCATTTCCCTCAGGCTCATCTATCTCATGAAATTACCCTTCACCATCGTTCGGGTCACTTGGCTAGTCAGTTCTTTCCCTTCAGACCAGGATCACTGTTCCTGAACTAAATTTCCATTCATGAAGCAAGAAAACTCTACAATCTTGGTAGAAAGCTTTCCCGCTTTGAGCTACATGATGGTAAAAGCTCAGTGAGCTACCCTTGAATCCTGTCCATGGGCCGAGAAAAGCCAAGCTACAGAACTGGAGACGGCCTAATCATGCTGGTCCTATGGGTCCCTCGGCCCAGTAGCTTAGTCTAATATCTACACAGGACTTACGAATCTCTCTCTCTCGGCGGGACCAATCTCTGCCGCGAAAATACAGATTGCTGGCCGCTCCGCCCAGCAATGACGACGCCTGTCACATTTCAAATGGCATCTGGGAGAGTCCTGACAAAGTTCAAAACCTGACATGCAGAACCTAAGACTTCCGAGCTCGCTACTAAACTACTGGATAGGTCCCTGATCCGCGCTGGTCTCACATTCTCGTATCCCTTCGCTAATGGTCACATTTGAATTTGGTGGCTAAGACAGGGGAATAGCCATGACTTGGCTGCTTGCTCAGGTACAATCTCGCCAAAAACAAGACAAAAAATCCTTGGCTCGTGCTGTGGCAGAATGATCGTTCTCAGAACTGGGCTCGTTTGAAAAGTACTTGGGGTGGGACTGAACCCGATGTTCAGGCCTAACAAATTGCATGACTCGCCCAGCGCTGGATTTATCGACTCGATTAGGTCCGGACCAAGCTTGGGTATGTCGGAATTGTGACTTCCCGCATAGACCCTTGCCAAGATAGTAGGATCAGTGACATGACGGGTACCGTCCTAGAGGTGCCACAAGCATCATTCTATGGCCTTTCACCCCAACCAGGGTCAGTTAATAAGCGAAGAGCGGCGACACTTTATTGACATGCCAGTCAATCCTTCGGCTCTTCCTTTCCCCTGGAGAGATCAATCGGCAAAGTCAACGGACACAAGTGGCTATGCGGTCTTGGGCACATCAAGTGTACTTGTAATCAGGTTCCCTGGCTGCCAGTATTGAGTTTGGAGTGACCGTAGCCTCCCCGACGTCCCATTAGAACATGAACCAATGCAAGGCTGTCTTATGAAAGGTGACGATGAGGCTCGCAGGCAGATGGATCCTTGACCACGGCCCGGAAAAAGGCGGTCACAGAGAATGGCTGGCAATTTGCCGCGTCAAGTCAAATGCAGACTGGGATACGTTGTTGGTGATGGCCATCGTCGGCTCCTTGGACTGATTTGTACCCCCGTGTGACCACTCAAACCTAGATACCCCAATGATAATACAACGCGAATACTTCAGCCCCCGGCGCAGTCTCTGAGGGCATTTTCCACGTCGCGTCGGCGGAAACCAGGAGTCCATCCCAGACAAATTCCACACCCTGTCAAAGCTATTGTAAATTAGCAACCAAACTCAACACAATAGCCAACCCCTAAAGAACATACTCTTGATCAGCCGCTTTGCGTTCACTGCCGGCGCAAGACTGGATTCTTTCCCAACCTCGGTCGGAGAATGTGCAAATAGGCGAACACCTTTCTCACGTAGATACCCCTCCAAGTCACCCATGTCAAACCAATCGCCCGCGAGCGCTTTCTGCAAATTCGGAGGAAATTGTAGCAAGGGCTCTGGCAGGACCACCCAGCGGACACCAGGCCGATGGAGGTAGCTGGCCAGTCCCGCCTTTGCGGCCGACCATGGGTAATGGGTACCTGCTCCGCCCAGACTGAAGAAAGGAATCTCCTTCCAGTCTTCGTAGCGTTTCTTTCCGTCCTTGGTGTTGAGCGCAGCGTAGAACAGTGCAGTGAGGCGTTTCCGGTCCACAATCGTTAGGGGCAAGCAGAAGTGTTTCATTATGCGCTCCATGCCAATGTTATCATCACAAAGGGCAAGACAGCCGTGGTATATGCACGACATATGCAATCGACTCATGAATACCGAGAGCTCCATTTCCTGGATCTCTGGCAGCACTAGCACCCGGGGAGGAGGCATGAGAGTGGGTCTGAACGGCGTCACCTGCTTCTCAGGTAGGGAGGCATGTAGACCGGGAGCATACGGTTTGCTAAGATCAAAGGGATTGGTGAACGGGAACTGGTCCCCCGGGACATATGCTGGCTCAGAAGAAGTCTTCGACGGCACAAGGGCAGTTAAGTCTCCCGCATCCGTGTTGGCATCCGTGTTGGCATCTTTGGCCAGGTCAAGACACGTCTGCACCGTATAGTGTAGATGCTCGGCCAAACCTGGATTCGACTCTAGCACGCCGGACTGAACCAGATGGTCACTGAAAGAAAGGACTGCCGAGCTCATCTGCTCAACTACGGATTCCAGCTGGGTGATGCGGGTCTTGAGAGAAGACATATTTGCCTCCTTTCGCGAACGATATGCGCGCTGCGCAAGGCGGATCTGCCGCCGTCGCCGCTGAGCTAGACGTAAGCAGCTGCGCCCTATTCAAGGTGATGATGGTCGAGATACATACCTCTTCAGGGTCCTCCGCCAAGGATTCGTCCAGAACCTTGCGAGGCCGACCTCGTTTGGCGGTCGTGGTTCCCGATGCAGACTTTTCAGCCTCAGCGCGAGGACGCTTAGGACGCTCTGCTACGACTTGTTCTGCATTCGTCTGCAGACTATCCATGGTGCTTGAAGTACTGTCAATTTCAGTATTATAGTCGGACGTAATACCGCCAAATAACATTGGCTGGGCGGAGTCCTCGGGTAACGACTCCGCAGCCTCAGGCACAGGGTACGAACAAGCGGAGAGCAGCGAGGTGATCTGGGGAGAAGCCATAGAGTCTGATGAAGGGTGCGAAGACCCGAAGAACTGATCATGAATAGTCTCCCAAGGCACTAGAGTAGCGTCGGTCTCGGCTGCACCTTCCAGTGCTGATGCGTAGCTCATATGCGCCATAGCATGATACTAGATGACCGGCAAATCCTCAAAATATTTGAAAGAATGCAACTGAACAGTTATAGAGCCGATCGGTTAAGCTTGTATGCTATCCACCATTTGCCACATGTGGAAGATCCATCAGCATCGTCAGCAGGAAGGATGCCACCCAACGGACTGATTAGCGGCGCGGTCGAGTTGTCACCCGTTGAGTAATATGACCTCGACGCCCCGGAGCTCGTGCTAATGCATGCATAAATCTTGGCTGTGCAGCAGGCGATATCGTCTTGTTGAGAGATGGAGGTGGGGGATTCGTGGGATTTGGCCTCGGCCCCAAATGTTCACTAATCAGTTTTATCATTTTGGCCTCAGGCGATGATAAGCTCGTATTTTACCTTGCTTTGTCACTGACGCGGATGCGCGAGGCCGAGAAGGCGGTGGGAGGTAACAGTTCTGCCACTGTCTGTCGACCTGCAAACGGCCTGCTGGCGGTCACGCCATTCTGCTAGCCAAGGCGGTAAGCTCCCACCCAGAGGATTCTGCCACCGCCAAGATCGAACAGTTTCGCTGGCCGAGTTTCGCCCGTTGTTAAGCCGTCAACATACCATGCTGGACAGCTACTACGAAACAAAGGATATAAGGCCATCAGATGGCACTCAGCGCTACAACATCCCTTGTGACAGGGAACCTGATTTTTTATGGGAGAACAAGCTGCTTATCATGAGCACTTCGCAGCAGCGACAAACATCACTCAGTGCGGATGCAGACTGAAGAATTATTAAACTTGGCTGAGAGAACTGTGGGGTTTAGGTAGTTGCCCGTTGAACAGCCATGGAACAAGGTAAGTGAGGATGCTCAGTCCTTATATCCAGCCTTTTAGCCATAGAACGCCTAGCCTATTCGAACCTCAACCTGCCTTTTATGTGCAGATATCACTTTTAGTATTCTTCAATGCCTACGCGGTAGCATACTCTTGCAAGTAAGCAGCAAGCTTCTCAACGCCGGACTCGGAAATTGCGTTGTAGTTTGAGGCACGGATACCTACGGAGTCCGTCAGACGCAGTCACAAGACATGTCAATTGAATATGAGACTCACCTCCGACGCTTCTGTGGCCCTTAAGACCGGTAACGCCACGCTCAACGGCGCCCTTCAAGAAGGCCTTCTCGGCCTCGTCGACATTGCCGCCCTACTAATATTAGTCATGTTCTATGCAGCTTCGTTTCTGAACTGAGCCTACCTTAATCACACGGAAGCAGACGTTCATCCGTGAGCGGACAGCCTTGTCCGGTACGACCCGGTATGCTTCGGGATACGCATCGAGAGTCTTGTAGAGAAGGTTTGCCTTCTTCTCAGCAACGGCCTGCTGACCATCAACCTTGTTGGGGTACTCGGCGAGCAGCTTCTTCAGGACTTGACCGGCAATGTACACACTATACGGTATTAGCAACGCACATCTAAGCGGCTGAGTGTTGACCTACTCGAAGATGGGAAGGGTGTTGTAGAGACTGTTGTTCTTGGCGATAACGGAATAGTCGAGGATGGTGGGCGCAATAGGCAGACCGAGCTTGCGCAGAAGAGCGGGAGCGGCGGGAGGAGACACGGGAGGCAGGAGGTCCTTCTTGATGATAACTCCGGTAACACCGGGGGTACCAAGGTTCTTCTGACTTCTGATAGTTAGTGCCATGATTGAGAGACATAGCTCGATTTTAGCTTACGCTCCGAAGAAGATCACAGAGTAGTTCTAGCAAATAGTTAGCGCGTGCTGGAGCAAGACTTTAGGGCGTCGTTACCTCGACAGGGATCCGTCTGGACAGGATGTTTGACGAGAAATCACCGATGACAAGCGGGTCGTTGTCCGTTCCCTTAGGCTCCAGCACCTTCGGAAAGCTGGGAAATTCGACACCATCGACCGTCTGCGGAACGTGCAGGTCAGTAGGTGTTCATCCGTAGCCGGTGCACCAGATATTCACCTCGTTGTCGCACATGTAGACCATAGCAGCTTTGGGGCTCAAGGACCAGGTCGACTCGTCCGCAATCTTCCCGAACTTGCCATCGTTGAGGGTCCTCGAGTCGCTAACGATGTTGACGTACTCGGGACCAATGAGGCGGGCAGCCTCCTGGCTAGCCTTCAGTGACCATCTGCAAAGCCAGTAAGTGAAAGTACTCTTACACGGGACCTGCTTGGCACTCACGATCCAGTGACCAGGTAGTCGAATCGCAGTTCCGATTCGACCTTCTTGAGCAGCTCCTGCAACGCATTCTCCTCGCTGATACCAGCATGCTCCTTCAGAATCTTCTGTCTCTGCTTCTCCACCCAGATGGAGATGATGTTGTAGACGGTTGCGCCAAATTGCCCAGAGCCACCACCTGCAATGCGTCGGTCAGACTACTGAGATAGAGCCGTAATGACGAAGGACTTCCGGGCGTACCTTGCATGAACAGGATCTCGTAGGAGGAGGGAATATCGAGGAAATTGGCGAGGTCGGCCTTGGCGGTGTTGAGGATATTCGCAGCAAGCTCGCTGCGATGGCTGTGCTCTGCCACACCCCTGCAGATTGTTTCGTCAGAAAAAAAAAAAGCTGCATGGATTGGCGATAAGATCGCCGGGATCGGAGCCCCTCACAAGCCAGTGTCTTGGTAGTTCAACAGAGCCTCGGCCGCGGTGGTCAGGACGTCGGTCGGAAGGGCGGCAGGGCCGGCACCCATATAAGTGATATCTTCTCTTCTCATGATGGCTGCAATTGTGTGAATTGAGGATGTTGGAGAAGATAGGGTTGAGAGATCGTGCGGAGGATAAGATGAAAATTAATGACGTGCCCCTCACCCGTGACTCACCAAGGCAGGTACTGGTCAGTCCCGCGTCCGATGTTACATAATGACAGTGAAAACCCCACCACAGATGAAGTACTTTTGAGTCTTGTGTTTGGTCCAATGGCTTTATTGAATTAAGGGATTCAATTGAATACTTTTGCTCTTCTAGTCCAGAGGAGTGGGGCTGTCAATGGCGTGATCGTGATCACTAGGGGGATTTACATGCTCGGTCTCCGGAGTAGAAGCTGTAGCGGTATCAGAGCCAGATCAAAGCTCAATTCCACATTAGAGTATCTGATCATCGTGACTAGGACGTTGCATTGTCATTCATCAATTACAAAAGTGGCGAGGATGATATCAGCTAACTTATCATGATGTTTACTGGTAACAAGCTGACGCTCGAGGGAGCAAAAAGACATCTCCCCGACTGGGAGTCGAACCCAGGTCTCCCGCGCTTGTTCCTATTTAGGATTGACAAGCGGAAATCATGACCGTTAGACCATCGAGGAATTGATATTAACCCTGCGTTATTTTTGAATATATATTCCAAAACTCAACTACAGATCAAATCGAACCGAAAAAGTCGCGACTACAAGATGAGCTTCGCGCATGAAACCAGCAAATTTACAGAAGTATCCATGGCCACGGCAAAGTGGGGACTCGGACCCCAGTGGGGCACCGGGAACAACCGGCCATCCATGATCCTCCACTACACGCAAATCAATCTCAAATCAACCCAACCCGACTCACCCAACGCGACCACCTAAGTAAAATGGCAGTTATAGCAGTAGCAGGTGGCACCGGCGGGGTCGGCAAGACGATAGTCGAAACCCTGGTCCAAGAAACCACACACAAGATCATTATCTTGACTCGCAGCGTGAGTGACCACCAACGATATATCAAAACCCAAACTCAACATCAAACCAGCCCCCCAGACAACCTCCATCACCCCACGAGAACCGCATTCAGCACCTGCAAATCAACTACGACAACATTCCCGAACTCGAAACTCTCCTGACGTCCAATAACATCACAACCATCATCTCCGCCATCGGCATCACCACGGAAGAAACCTGCCAAGCACAGCTGAACCTGATCGATGCAGCGGAGCAATCTCCCACCGTGACTCGCTTCATTCCAAGCGAGTACTCGTTTATTCAAACAGAAGAGTATCCTCCCCTCACCCCCTCCTTCCCCTGCCTCCCTTCCCGTGCTCTGTCTTTCCAAAGTGTCTCCCACATTAACCAAAATCAAGGCTCCTACCAATCGACCCCTCTATCAAATATTGGCTCGCAGCAGCCACCAAATTACAGCACTGCACCTCCTTGAAATCCACCCGGGTGATTCCGGGCTTCTTCATGGATTACTGGGGCATGCCGCACGCGCGCACGCACCTGCAGCCGGGGGTGTTTGGGATTGACGTTGAGCACTGCCGGGCGGCGATCCCCGGGGACGGGAACGATCGGCTGTGTATGACGTACAGCTACGACATGGCACGGTATCTGGTACAGTTGTTGGATGATGTGGAGGAGGAGTGGCCGGAGTTCAGTGTTGTGGTTGGGGATGCGGTTACGTATAATGAGTTGCTGGGGATGGTGGAGGAGGTTCGAGGTTTGTTGGCCTTTTTTTCTTCGTTGTTTACGTCGTCGGGAGGGGAGGGGATAAGAGTGATATTCTGAATCTAATATGAGCCCTCCCCTTACAGGTCGGAAGTTTTCCGTTGTTTATGACAGCGCCGAGAAGATCAACCAGGGCCAGGTCACTGTTCCCGCCGTTCCGCCAGGCTACACCGAGGAGGAAGCCCACGAGGTAACTCAATTGGTCAGTCGATTGACGATCGCCAAGGTGTTTGACCTCCCGATCGAGGGGCGGTTGAACGCGAGGTTTCCGGATATCAAACCGCTCAGGATGAAGGAATTTCTTGAAAGGGCCTGGCGTGGGAGGGATTGATGTACGTGAGTCATAGTACTACCCCTGTCGCAGTATAGATCTTATATTGTTGCAAAGGCAGCATGAAGGCTTACAAAGATATCTTGTATATGCTGCTGTTCAAGTCGGTTTACCTACTGCTATAATGTATCTTAGTTCAACAACACAATCTGAAACGTCTAGGACAGCATTTTATTCAACCAGACCATTTCGTATGGGCTTAAAGGGGCTGAGGTCATTTGCATGGTGATAGCCGGGGGAGTTAGATGGTGGGGATAGCGGAGCAGGAGCAAATCCACTGCGTTCTATACACATTTTGGCGATCGAAATCTATGTGCGATAAAAGTCCATGACATCGGTCAAAATGCTAGAGGGGCCAAAGAAGGTATGCTGGCTGATTTTAGGACCGGAGATTCAGATGGTGGCTTCGCCATCGTTCTGAACTCGACTCGAGCAAGATAATGGTGTAGTTTGAATGGTGGCTGGTCGGCCACTCCTTTTCCTGGGACACACTTGGAATTGAGTGGCTTCCAACAGCCGCATATGTATAGTCGACAGGCACATCTGATGAATCGTCGTCACCACAAATGTTCACATTCTAGGCACTGTTCATCGTACAGCCACAAGAGCCGAAAACGCAGCGCATAATAACCAATATCGATGAAAAGATTGAGATAACAGGAATCTGCGCGATCTAATGTTCAGTTTCCTGATCTCTGGCATGATGAGATTTCTATACGGTTCCATTTCAACACTAAGTCACAGGGTAGAAGAGAATGGCAGCTTGGTCTTCAAGGCAGCACACCCTTAGATGCAATGATGCTGCTCAATTCGCGGATAGGCTCGGGCCGCCTGTGGGTTTTGCGATCAGCTATGTCCCTATTACCTGAGTAGCAGCACACCTACCCCAGTGCAAGGCTGTCATTGTACTGTCTGGGGCTGACAACAGATAGTTGATGGTTTCCATCAGGGTGAAGGAGTCTGACGTCTCAGCAGACTTGCGGCCGAGCCGCCTTCTTGCACGGCGCTTTAGGCTGTGCCCCTTGTTCTGCTCTTGCTCGGGTGCCTCACAAGCAGGGCTGACTTCTTCGATTGCTTCGGTCGCGTGCATGGTGTGATGGTAGGACTCGGATCTTTCCAGTGGGGGACCAATCGTTGATACAGCTTAGACAAACGTGCGCACAATGAGAGAGGGGTCGGGGTCAGGGGACAGATCTTGCCATTCAGAACAGTGTCAATCTGCCACCCCCCTTTCAAAGCCTTTCTGAATTCCAAGTCGTGACGCGGGCAGAGACTCGCAGTCGATGCGGGTGCACGGCGCCTTAAGTATGTTCCTTTGGGCTGCTCCGGGGACGAGCAGCACAAGGTCAAAACTCGGCAGGGCTCCGAATCCACCAACTGTCAGAAACGCCTTTACCGAAACGGTGCGCTGATAGTAGCTTCGCGATGCAGAAGAGCTGACAAGTCATCCACATTGAACACTATTCGATGGGAGAAAACTCAATCAGGCATGCAAAAAATAGGAGAGAAGGAGGGGGAGATGCATGCACAGGAGACGTATGTGCAAGAGGCTGCTGCCATGCGTGTTTGCTATTGGCTTTTAAACTTTGAACAAAAGGCTCCCTTGCTTCCAACGCCCACGGAACTCATGTCGGAGAATAGGACTCCTGCCTGCATTTTTTTTCTGCTGGGTCTCGTGTATGATGTTTTTGAGATTGCCAGGATCTGAGATGACGTGGAAGTATGGCGAAGCGAGTAGTAGGACAGGACTATGGGAAAAGATCTCCCGGTCGCACTTGGAGAACAGCGATGCTCGGGCCTTGCCGAGACTCTGCTGATGGTCGTGTGCGACTGGGATGAGTCAACTGTGTCTCTAGGTGTAGGAATCAGATGATAGTGGTCGATCGCTTGGCCATATGAGCTATCATACAGGTACCGGCCGATCGCTGTCAGACGTGGCCCACTGGATGATTACTGAGTGGTTGCTTTTGAGCCTTTTCACAGAGTGGCACATGGGGTGGTCTGGTGGGGTAAATCAGTGTACACTGACTGTACTGTCCAGTATGTAAGTTTACCTGTTGATGCCCGAACAACATCGTGTTGAAGTGATGGAGTGAGTTGGAATTTTCGTGCTCTGCTGGGTAGTTCTCCCCAACACACAACCAGAGTCACCGAGCCATCCTGTTATGAATCCAAGTGGTGCCATGCGTTCTCAGAAACAAGGCAGAGGAGGATTAGTTTTGAACCTCTTGTACCTGCGCGAAAGTCAGGAAACAGTAAGCGGTTCCGCTGGTGTCACCTCGGCGAATTCCACACGGCTTAACCTCCTCCTTTAATGTGCTTTCATTTGCTCATTCCCCGCCTTGTCAGTCCTGACGTCAGGTAGATCCCAAGGCTCTTAATCCAATCATTTTGTCAAGATCCCATGGATGTCAGTGCGTTACATTTGAATGAAAGAGCCTGTGAGTTGGAGTGACTTGGAGACTTGATCAGGGCGGAGCGGAAGGAATGTCCACTTCCCCTTGATTCTCGATGTCTATAAGAGGTTCCCCTCTCCCAAGGTGAGGGTCTGACACTTGTCTGACAGTTGTCACTTTCTCTCTCGTGGTCTCAGCTTCAAGGCCCAATTCAAACTAAATCCAGAGATTCCGGTACATCGCTGGATTCGAAGGACAAGATGACCGACACTGCCATCACGCGTCTACAGAACACGCTCAAGTGCGATCTCGCCCGTAAAAATCGCATTCAACGAGCTTGCCTTCTCAAGCGCCTCTCTCAATGGCTGTGGTCAATATGGGTGATTAATAGCCCCGAGACCCCTGCAGCTCTGATCGAATCCACCGATCGCTCGAAATTCACCAGCGCGACGTGCGCGACACGTAAAGCCCCCTTCTATGCATATCCTGTGCCGGATCGTCCACCTGCCGACACTCCCTCGCATGACTCCCAATCTGGTCAGTCGTGCAAGGCCTGCAAGGCCTGGGGCGTACCGTGCGACCAAGTCCGGCCCCGCTGCTCGCATTGTCTCGATCAGCAGATTCTTTGTTTTTATGTTGGCCCGACCCGGAAAGCCACGAGAAAGTCTATCCGATCGACGAAACACAATGAAGTCATAGATCCAACCCCACGATTGCAGCAGGAAGCGTAATCGAAGACCCATGACTGCATGAGACAAACACCATGTTCTTCCAATTTTGTGCGCCGCATGCGTCAATAAACACGGGACCGTGGGGGTGCTTCAACTCACGCGTTGGCCATGTGCCATTCCGCTTGACCCGATCGATCTTGGTTACTCCTGCGATGGGGTAAATCGTACATGGCGCTTTCACAGATTTGTTGCAGACAAGAGAATGTCTCAAACGGCAGAAGGAGCTTCTCGGGCAAACTACCACTGCAGCATCATCTCCAGGCCTCACTCTCCTTGGGCGGCTTTCACCATCACGGGCCACGTTCGACACGCTTCCGGGCCAGGAAGAGTCCTATGTCTCTCGCGAGATGTGCTGGATATTAGATGCGCCACGTTTCGTCTCTGTCCAACAGCGGTGACAAATCTTTGACAATCCGACAGTGAGGTTGCACCGCAGACTCACGACGAGCTTTCATTCGGCCATGTGGTGAAGGGTCCCTGGAGATCAGCATTGCCTTCATGCCATTGCTATCACGCCTGACACATCCGTTGTCATCATGGAGGGCGACTACTGCTTTGCTTTCCAACCGGGAACTTACGGATGCTGCGTTGAGGCAGACCTACGGCAGGCCCGTGAGCCTGTCACCAAGCGGCGGATCCAGGTCAGGATTGAGGCTACCCTCGCCTATGGACTCTTTTCTTAGATGGACACCAACAATCATCTCGCTGCTCTGGTTGTTTGAGCAAGTTCCTTATCCCCGACGAGTTTTTCGTTGTAAGACGGATTATGTATAGCATAGGTAATGAATTCGCATGGATACAAAAGGCTATAATTACACCAGCCCATAATTGCGCTGAACCTAAATCCGGGACCCGTATGCCACCTTTACTCCTTGATTTGCTTCTTGTGAAACACATCTACCAAGCTTAGTCTCAATCCGAAGATGGCCCGAGAAGAAGGGAGTGGAACTTACTAGGAATTTCCGGCATCCAGCTCGACCGGCTCTCACAGAAGAACTCCCCCTTGGGCGGCAAAACCTCGGGATCATCCAAGGTGCCCACGCAGATATAACGGAAATCATTTTTCACGGCATCCTAGAGCCACCATCATCATCGCAGTGAGCATGTGTAATCAAAACTCCAATTTAGGGACGAAGAACACCGTACGCCGTATTCCAATATGAAGCTTCCACAGTCTCCGCAAAATTCCCGGTGGATGGTCGACCCCGAACCATTGTCGCCGACAAACTCCTTCGGTTTGCCGGATTTGAGGGTGATGGAGTCCTTGGGGACCTTGGCCGTTAGACCGTAGTTGGTGCCGAATGCTTTCTGTACAGGCAACGCCCCACCACCATTAGTGTTAGCCCATGTAGCTCACAGAATCAAAGCTGCTATAAGGACCTTGAAGACAAGGTTGAGATTTATAAAGGATAGAGAAATCCGTACCCTGCAACTGCTGCAATGGCAGAGCGATGTGCGGGCGTCATCGGGGGAGGCGAGGGAGAGATCATAGGTTATGTTGCGGCAGTAACAGGATCCCGGATATGTTGGCATGATTCTGGCGGCTGAGGTGTGAAAGTGAGAGAATTGAATGAATGGGGTATGTGATGATTGCTGTTGAAAATGTCTTATGGGTCTTGTGATGGTGAAAGTAGCAGATGAAGAGGAGTTGGAGTGGTTGTTGATGATGGTGTTATTGAAGTTGTAGGTGTAGGAGTATAGATCACCACCAGCTCGTGCTGCTTGCCGAATGTTGACGTCATGTGCTGCTATCTTTCTTCCCCCTCCTTCTCCTCCTCCTCCACCTCGTCCACCTCGTCTTCTCGTCACTCCCCGCAACAGCCCCGTCAACCGAATGCCTGGTGACTTGTACATATCTACCTAGTATCGAATGGCGTGGTCTTAGCTCCCTGTCGTATTCGGGAAGCTGCGTTTTGTCCTTTTATTATGCGCGACCCGCTCGTTTGTCTCGCCCCTCCCGTGGCGTGATGTGACTATGACACCAAAGCGCCCGCAATCATCCGACTATGTGCGTGGGGATTTATACCTGTGCCTTTGCCTCTTGGCTGGTCGGGTCTCTGCTCTGCTCCACTTGATTCGGTCAATCTCAGAGAGTTAAACCTGAACGAGTGCTGGTCAACGGGGGGATTCCCGACCCGCATTCTATTCTCTACAGAGTCAGAATCCAGACTTGAGAGCCCACACACGAGGTTCCTTACTACGTTTGGCTGTACATTTGTCCAATTCACTCTGCGCAAAATGGCATCATCACCGCCACCATCGCATCAAGACCACGACCATCAATCTCAACCGCTCGAAAAGCGCGCCATCGTCTCGTCCTTCATCTTCAATTTTCAACATGGGAAACCTCTTATCGCGCTGTTCAAGCGGAGCGACAAAGTAAGAACTTATCGGTTTGTCTCCACATGTACTGTGATGGCAGCAATGACCTGATTGATCGTCGACAGCGAGCACCTCGCCCCAATATCTGGCAGCATAACCTCAGAGGACCGCGACTCGCTCACAACTGCTTGGCGCGAGATCGCCGAGGAGACGGGTCTCGATCAGTCGAGCCTTACTCACTGGCGCACGGGGAAACCCTTCACATTTAGTGATCCTTCTGCCGGACGCGAATGGACCGTACATCCATTCGCCTTCCTCCTAAAAGAGAAGCAATCAGTAGACTCACCAGCTGAGGAGCAGCCGCCCTTCAAGATCGATTGGGAGCACACTAGCTGGGAATGGCATTCCCCGTCTTCCATCCTCAACGAAGAGCTTTCCCCCATCGTACCCCGACTCAAAGACAGTTTCCGCCGAGTATGGTTCGAAGGCGAGCTGCGCAGTGAACGCGCCGGCAAGACTCTCGCGACGGGGCTAGAGCGTCTTCGCAACGACCACGAAAGCGGCTCCCAGGAGCTTACGACCATCGCACTGATGCTATTCCGCGACTTCATCGTCCAAACCGATGATGGAGTAGACGACCCCCTATGGTGGGCGAACGTGCGGATGGCAGCGTGGCACATCATCAAGAACGGGAGGGAGAGCATGGGCGCCGCGACCATGAACGCACTCGTGTCTGTCCTCGCCGAGATCGACGATATTCTCCACGGCAACAAGAAGAACAACCACAGCTCCCCAGAGCATACCTGGGAGCGCGTCCTGTGCGTGCTGGACCATCACTTGGCCAGTCGCAAAAGTCGCGCGACACAAGTCAAGGACGCCTTCACCCACTACATCCGCTACCACTTCCTCCACCACGGCGAGCCGCGAGACAAACTCACAATTCTCACCGTCTCAGCAAGCTCGACCATCCGCGACAGCATCCTCGATGCCTACGCCTCCCTCGACATCCACCTTTTGGAGCTCCGCGTGCTCGAGTCGCGACCGCTCTTTGAGGGAGCCAGCATTGCATCGTCAATAGTCTGCAATTTTAAATCACGGTTCAAAGACACGCCCAATAAGAACCTCCGCGTCAAAGTGTACACGGATGCGTCAGCCGCCATCGCTGCGGCCGGAGTCGATATCCTGCTGCTTGGAGCGGACCGCATCTCCGCCACGCGAGGCGTGAGCAACAAGACCGGCTCCCTCCCCGCCGCCCTGTGCACCAAGCACGTCAGCCCCGACGCGCAGATCGTCGTCCTCAGCGACCTGGAGAAGATCAACGGGTCGCCCAGCGTCATCGACGACGACCAGCACGAGGCCAACTCCCCGCTGGAAATCATGACCACCTGGCGCAGCGACGGTGTCAAGGGTGTCGGCGTACTGGAGGAAGGCATGAAGCACCCCCTGCACGAGGAGGGAGATCAAACCTCCGCAACGGTCGACGTGCAGAATATCTACTTCGAGTGGGTGCCCCTGTACATGGTGGATGCGTTCGTCAGCGAAGAGGGCGTCATGGACGAGAATCGCGTCCGTGAGAAGTCGGAGCAGCTGGGTAATACGGCGGACAAGTTCTTCCTCGATTTGTGATCAGGATTCGGCAGTAGATTCTGCCATTGGTAGTGTGTGGCCTTCGCTTCTTGTTTCGGTTGTAGGTCGGCATATAACAGTACATGCTGTATAACAGTTTGTGCCATCCGGGATTGCCGGTTCTTCCCACTAAACGCTAATTTAAGATTACATAGTGAATTTAGATTGCCATCTCTTCAATTCAAGCATGCATCCTTTCAAGCCATGATCCTTGCAAGCTTTCTATTCCGAATGAGATAGACCCCTCCCCCATAATTGCTGTTAGTGTTGCCGCAACACTGGCCGCCGTCTCCTGATTGCACGAACGTATGTATAGAGACCATCACTACTAACTGATGTCTAATCAAGACGGCCCAACTTCCAAGCGACAACAGGTCATACCCTCCTCACCCATTACCGGACAGCATCTCAAATCTCGCTCTTAAATCCCAGCCCCTGGAGTCCTGGAATACTGCTCAGTTGAATTGACTCATACATACGTCGTGCATGAGAAAGACGCCTCCTTATCCCCTTCCCTGCCCCCCTCATTACTCATTACTCTGTCTGGACCCCATCTAGCACAAGCCGCAAGGCATACGAGTACCATACTGGCAATAGCGTGTAACACCTTATTTTAGCTCTGATTTCCAATTGACCTCCGATTGGCATCTGATCGGTCGGTCCGCAGTCCACCCGGAAAGCAAGTATAAGAACCCTAAGTGGAGGTTGTATACATAGATTTCCCCTCCAGAAATCAAATGCGCATTTCTGCCTGGCCTCTCCGCTTTTTATCTGCGTGCCTCATTTACCACCGCTTAGTATGATCAAGGGTAGACTTCAAGGATTGTTCCAAGTATGGTTTCAGAAGGGACAATTAGCGAGCTTTCCAAGCTATGGGCACCTACAAGGAAATTTCCCATGCTGCTCTCCGGTACCGGAAAGTTCTTGTTACTTACGCCATGTGCTTGTCGCGCGCCATGGACTAAGTATATATTCGGGATCAACGAGCATACGATTTAAATCCCATCATGATGGCACACCACGCACAATCACAATTGTACATTTCAATACATACAGAAAAGCAAGAGAGAACTGATGTTGCTCATTAAACTGTCACTTGACGGAGCATAAGACTCCAAGACGCCGCTGCCAAGGCCTGGATCATTAAGGCCAACATCCCACAGTTATCGCCAACATACAAAAGAAGGAACTCAAAAGGTATCATTCGACAATTCGCAAAAAGCCTCCACCGCATTCAGCATTCGCGGACTCGCGCCTGCCGCTTGGCCGTCCCAATATGCGTGTTATGTACTTTGGTGGCAAATTTGAGACTGGTCAAGGTCTCCGCGAGATGGGCTTGCAGCGGGCTGACCATGACAAACATCAGGGTCTTCGAGTTGCCGCCAAGGGAGAACTGGAGGAGGTAGGTCAACTGCTTGGTAGTTAGCTATAATGGTCGGATTTCAAGCGATGTTGCTAGGGAAGCGTACCTTGCTGTTGCGGTAGGGAATATGTCCGCCTTCCTTTCCTTGTCCCAGAGCGGCGATCACATCGCCCAAGCAGCTCAGACTGCGATTGATGTTCTGTGTCTCACGCAGGCGCTCGCCGGTTGCCCCACTGTGGCTGAGACGCTCACTACCCGCCAAGTCAACCAGGTTGAGGGTTCCCTCGCTGCGTTCACCTGTGATGTCGTTCTCGCCGATGAGTTTGAGAATGAAGACGGAGTGCGACCGAGAGGATCTTTCGTTGGCTTTGGTCGCTGCGACGGAACGGTTGGAGGCTGCTCTCTTGAGGATGGTTTCAACCATCTCGGGTGAGTCGAGGCGAACAGTAGTAACATCGGTGATGATCGTCTTTCCTCTCTGCATGTCATGTCGGATCTCGAGCTTCTTCTTGTCCAGGTCGTCGGGGTTGCCCAGCAAGTCGTTCAAATTCTCGTTGTACACCTCAACAAAGTTGCCCTCCATTGTGTACCGCCAGCCCTTCTCCTCCAAGCCAGTGGCTGTCTCATAGATCTGGTGCACTGCCCGGGGAATCATGCCGTCGAGAGATGACATAGTATAGGTCTTACCACTGCCGGTTTGGCCGTAGCAGAAGATACACACATTGTATCCGTCCAGAGCACTCTGCACCAGTTGGCTGATCTCATCGAAGACCTCGGCATTTTGCGTGCTCGGTCCGAATACACGATCAAAGGAGAAGTTGCTGTTCTTTCTCGAGATTGCTCCGAGACTGCTTTTTTCTTCCGGACCCAGCACAGCGATCTCTTTGCAATCTTCTGCCTCATCTGGAAACTGGATCTGTGCGACCTGTGTGACTGGATCCGAAGGCAGCGATGGACGGACTCGACAGAAGACTCGAATATTGCCTTTGAGCTCTTGCACCTGGTTGTGAAGCTTTCTTCTCAGAGTCTCCTCTTTGCGGAGCTTCTCCTTGGTGGCATTTGTTTCAGCCAGTGCGTCCATCATTTGCTGGTTCAGCCGCTCAAAAGCCTGAGATTGCTCCTCGCGACCGGACTCAAGAAATTCGATGCGGGCTTTCAAAGCACGTACGGAGGACTCCATTGTGACGGTGTTTGTGCTGGCTGCATCCAGGTTGTGCCTGAGATCCCTATTGGCCTTGCGCTCACGCTCGAGATCGGCCTTCAGGGCGTGGATATCATGTTGCAAGGTGACGATTTCTCGTTCCTTCTTGTCAAGCTCGGCATGCGATCGCTGCGTGTCAAGTGCAGATTGCGAAGTGACCTGACTTAACTCGCGCACGCGGGCAGCTCTTTCGCCCTCCAGCTCATTCTCGAAGCGTTTTCTGAGTTCCTGAATTTCCTGTTGATGTCGCGAGTGCATTGTTTCCATTTCTCTTCTGCCTTCCAGCCGTACTGTCTCCAACTCCATGCGTCGTCGGGCGTTGAAGTCTTCGATCATTATATCGTGGTCTCTTTGCGCGTCCTTGAGGGCCTTCTCGGATCCAGACAGTTGATTCTCCAATGAGCCTATTTGGATTCGCAGTGTGACATTCATTTCTGTAAGCTCTTTTGATGATGTCTCTAATTCCGTCACTGCAGGTGGCGTCAAGTCAGCACTGGACAGCAAGAGCGGCGCTTACTTTGCCCATACCTCTAGACTTGTAAAGATCGACCGCATCTTTCAATGTTGTGTTCGATTGTCCCTGTTGACTGACACGTTCTTCCATGCTTCGTACAAGGTCATACATTCGTTTTTCTCGGACGTCCAGGTCCCACTCGCCACCTATAGAATAGTTAAATGACTTGATCGATGATTCCTTGGTAAGAAATTGCGGCAAACGAGAGGGCTTTCTGGTAGAACGCACAAAGGACAAAACAGGGGCAAGACGGGCAGGTCTAACTGGGGTAGTAAAGAGGGATCGAGAAGGCAGGGCATGGTAACGCAATTGATTCATGGAAGCATGGTGTGCAAGAAGGCGCCTTGATGTCAAGGGTTCAATGGGACCAGTAACTTGAGCCAAGCGGTCCAATGGCGAACATGGTAGGTTGAGACGCTGGGTGAATGGCACGTCCCGGGAAGTCTCATCGCTGAGTGTCCTTGTGGCCTGGGGTGGTGTAGCAGGGGATGAAAAGCAGTCAAACTCGAGCCTACCCTTACGTTTTCCAAGTATGGTACCCTCCACTTCCTCTTTTTCACGAGAGCCCATTGCCGTGGCTGCGCGGGGAATCGCATTGGCCATTGGCCTCCGGGTGTTGCTGACGGTGTGTGAACGCGACATGCTCGTGTGCGGTCGCGCCATGGGCGCGGTTGTGGACGAGACGGTCGACTTTGTGCGTGAAACGGTAGAAGCAGATCGGCCTAAGGTATTAGCGCTGTATGTGTTCGCCCGACCATGTGTTTTGACTGTGCTGCTGGCAATACGGGATCTCGACGTTGTGCCCGACTGGGTTGTGCTTCGTGGACGACCTGTCTCTACTCCTGTTAGTCTCGCGGCAGCTCATGCCAGAGATCCTTCAGAAACGTACGCGACAGGCCCGAAGTCTTACTGGTCACGGCATCGGCAATAGTACCGGGCTGCACAAGCCTCGAGAGGGCATTTGTGGAAGCCGGATTCATCTCTTTCAAACCGGCTGTTGGGATGCGAGTTCGGGAAGATGTCTTCGACTGAAGCTGTGCTGTCGCGTCAGTGGAGGGTTCATGAAGGGCAAGCTTCCACTGGAGGTTACCATATGATCGTTTTCCATGGTGAGAGCAGGGAGCCACCAGGGCCTGGCCACTGACGAGGATTCTAAGGACGGAACTGACAGCAGGCGAGGACAAAACCCTGCGCAAGGCAAGGTCGCGGATTGGGAAGCGTGGGATGTGCCAGGCGAAAGAAAATCAGTCAGATTTAAGTGGAGACTGAGTGCGACATGCCAGGAGGGAAGGGCGGAGGAGGCGGAGGTGGTGATGGTGGTATAATTAAGGTGCAGACTGAGAGAGGAGTTGAACCCGGCAATAAACAGGCTTATCCAAGGCCAGCCGATGGTTTGCCAGTTGGTTTCTGCAGCGACGGGATGGGCGGTAAACAAAAGTCAGCTGACTCAGCCGGTGACTGGCGGGGGAGGAAGGAAACGCTAGGCCAGATCAAGACTAGCCCGGTAGTATTGTCCTGAGCTGATCGTCGTACTCGTATTTCAATTTTATTTACATCGCATCGCTGGGATGCTGTCTGTCTGTGGGATAGATAGGCATTAAGTAGTCAATCAATTGCTCTTATGATGGCTTGGGTCGTCTACCTCTCCCATTTTCAATAAACCCCCTCTCCATATTACTTCTCTTGGGTTCATTCACTGGCTCAGGACCCGTCAAATCTCACTATCTACTCCGTTCTGGCCCGCCCGCAGCGGGTTTCCACTTGTTCCCTTGTTTCTAGCCGCTGCTGTTCTTGCGTTGCTTGCAGACCGACCCAACATCCACTCCTCTCACTCTCCCTCCGCCATTGTCTCTTGTTTCCGTCATTGCCTTGCTTCCTTTTTCTTTTCTACTTCCTTCCCACCCCTTTCTTAATAATCTAATTGAGATTTGACACACCAGCATCATGTCTGGTCGTTTCGTGCGCTCGTCCAAGTACCGTGAGTTCCCCTTGGATCCCCCTCCTCCCCCTCCGATTGCCCGCAATCTGACAGGTAGCAGGACACGTCTTCGGACGGCCGACGAGAAAGGTGCGCGAACTACGCTTCTGATCCATCGCAAATCGGATAATCACTCATGATCTTAACAGGAGCAATGCTATGATAATCTCCGTGTTTCCAGAAATGCCTGGGATACCAACCTCGTCAAGGTCCGACCGCTCCCATCGCCCCTATGGCGCTCCCCACCGAATAATCTGACCATGCGACTAGGTTAACCCCAAGTACCTCTCCGTGAACTGGGAGGCCGGTGGCGGTGGTGCTTTTGCTGTCATTCCATTGGAGGAGCGGGGCAAGCTGCCGGAGCGCATGCCCCTGTTCCGTGGGCACACTGCTGTTGTTTTGGATACCGACTGGTGAGCATCGCGGACGTTCGCAGCCTCTGAGAAATAGTGACTGACGCTTGCTAGGAACCCCTTCAACGATGATCTCATTGCGTCCGGTTCCGACGACGGAAGGGTACAACAACATTATTGCCTCCGCGATTCCATCGATCGATCAAACTAACAGGTCGCGTGATAGGTTCTGCTCTGGCGTGTACCAGAAGGCTTCACCCTCTCCCCGGATGTTGACCCCGATGAGATCCAAGATGTAGCTCCTGTTGGGAAGCTTTCCGGCCACCCCAAGTATGTTTCCGACCGGAACACCCTCAATGCGCCCTACCATCTCGTGCCGGACTGGACTCACTAACCTCACTGTAGGAAGGTCGGACACGTTCTGTTCAACCCGGCGGCCGAGAACATCCTGGCTACGGCTTCAGGCGATTACACTGTGAAGATCTGGGATATCGAGGCTGGTGCGCCTAAGTTGACCCTGAACCTGGGCGATATTGTGCAATCGCAGTCCTGGAGCGCGAATGGTTCTCTCCTGGTTACGACTTCCCGAGACAAGAAGCTGCGCATCTGGGATGTACGTCAGGAGCGTCCTGCGCACGAGACGCAAGGACACTCGGGAGCCAAGAACAGTCGCTCTGTCTGGCTGGGTGAGCGCGACCGGATCGCGACCACCGGTTTCTCAAAGATGAGTGACCGCCAGCTGGCGCTGTGGGATATTCGCGCTCCTCGCGAGCCTATCAACGGGTTCAAGACTCTTGATTCCATTTCCGGTGTCTGCATGCCCTTCTGGGATGAGGGCACTCAGTGTCTGTACCTGGCTGGTAGAGGGTAAGTGATGGTTTGTGATTGATTCAGAGCTTATCTAACTTGGTGTAGTGATGGTAACATCCGTTACTTCGAGCTGGAGAACGACAAGTTCGAATACCTTGCTGAGTACAAGTCTGCCGATCCCCAGCGCGGCATTGCTTTCATGCCCAAGCGCGGTGTGAACACCCACGAGAATGAAGTCACCCGTGCCTTCAAGACTGTCAACGACACCTACATCGAGCCTGTCTCTTTCATCGTCCCCCGCCGTGCCGAAACTTTCCAGGACGACATCTATCCCCCCACCATTGGGGTGAAGCCTGCCATGGGCCCCGACGAGTGGTTTGGCGGCAAGGAGGCCATTCCGCCCAAGATTTCCATGGCCAACCTCTACGAGGGCGAGGGACTGAAAGAAGTGACTGGCGTGCAAGACAAGCCCACCTCATCTCTGGACAGTCCGACTCCCGCTGCTCCCAAGGCTGAAGAGCCCGCCCCTGTAAAGAAGGCGGCGGAACCTGCCCCGGAGCCCACCCCTGTAGCCAGACCCAATGCCTCGATGAAGGACCAGGGTGCTTCCATGGCTGCCATGGTCAACAAGTTCGCCGACGAGGAGGAGGAAGAGGCCGAGCCCGAGGAGCCGTCCGCGTTCGACGAGGCCCCCAAATCCGTCGAGCGTGCCGCGCGCACCCCCGAAGCTGCCTCTCCCACAATCAAGGCCAGTCCATGGCACCAGAAGGAAGAGGAGGCTAAGACGCAACCCACTTCCTCCAAGGTACGAAACACGACTTCTCACTCACTGACCGCCTAACTAACAGATAATTCATCAGGCCTCCCCTGCCCCCGAAAACCCCCGCACTGCCACCCCTCCCGTCGCAGCAGCAGCGACCGCCTCTCCCACGCCCAACATCTCCACTAGCGCCGCCAACGCCGCCGATGCCGTGCAGCGCGAAATCGGCGCCATCAAGGAACTCATCGCCGAGCAAACTAAGACCATCGCCTCCCAGGCTCAACAGATGCAGAGCCTGACCGCGGAGATCGAGTCTCTCAAGGCTAAGCTGGGCTAAGCCTTATCCTTCCTCCTCCAGCGCCCCTTTTACCTCTACCTCTTCATAATCCATCCGCCCGCCTACAGACTCTGATAGTAACCCTCTCAGTATGATGACTTTCTTTTTACTTCCTCAAACAAACCTCGTTCCTGGCCGCCCTGGCCAACCGGACTCTGATGTACTGTATCGTGTCTCCTGCAATGTAACTACTCCTTTTTTGGTGTGTGTGTGTGTGTTCCTTGGGTTTCGACTCAATTCCGATATAAAGACATTCATGACTGAACAGACTCATCTCCCCCTACTTGAATAGAATAGTGCATTGTTGTTGTCAACCGATAAATTAGCGAGAGCACGGTCCGTTGATCGTCTGGGTGCATGTTCGTCTGCATGGTTCCTATGGAACTTACTACCCATGTGAAATGCAAACTACGTGGAATGGTGACTCTCATCAATCATAGATGGTTTTATTGTTGATACTATCTCATCTTTTGCGACCTCCTGCTACCTATTTCCTTCCTCCATCAAGCGTACAAATCATGAATGCGAGATTATCTTCATTGTAGACAAATGATGCCTTCATAGGTTACAGCACATGCATCCTAGAAGACATGTTTGACGAAAGGGACCCGGTATGATAGGGCATTGATGGTAAATGAGGCGAGAATATGGTCAAGCTCCGATGGATGTGCTTTATATGCTCTTCATCGTATCACGAGAAGCAGATAGGTGAGAGGGGAAATAGATGGTGACGATCCGGATGGGAAGGGTTAAAAGAAAAGAGAGAGAAGGGAGAGAAAGTAAATGCACTACCAGCGGCCGGCTTCCCTCTCCTTTTCGACACGAGCGGCACGAGCATCATCCGTCTCGTCATCCTCGTACTTGTAACTGAGACGGCGGCCACCACTCAGCCCGCGTCCGTCCCGCTTACGCGCCGATTTGCCGCCATCGCGGTCTGCGTGCATGGCCTCGCGACGCTGTTGCTCTTTCAGCATACGCTCGCGGTTGCGGGCTTCACGCTCCAGAGTGTGGGGGTCTTTCTCAGACTCGCCAGCAGCTTTTGCAGCAGCCGAAGCGGTGGTGGCCTTCTCGCGCAGGCGCTCCCCCCCACCGTCTTCATCGCGGCCCCCGCGTTTGTCTCGGCGAGAAGAGTGATGGTGGCGCGAGGAGTACTCACTACCAGCAGGAGACCCGGAGCGGTCACGGCGAGAACGTTTCCTGTCCCTGTCCCGGTCGCGATCCCTGTCCCTGTCCCGGTGACGGTCACGGCTGCGGTCGCGGTCGCGCTCTCGATCTCTGTCGCGTTCACGGTAGCGATCTCGATCACGGTCACGAGCACGGTCGCGCTCTCTATCCCACTCACGGTCTCGGTCACGGCGCTTGGAGTCCCGATCGCGGTCGCGGTCGCGGTCCCTGTCCCTGTCCCGATCTCGATCTCGATCGTCATCGTAGCGGCTGGAGCGGTCTTTGCCGGCCCGGTGACTGTCGCCACTGGCAGGTTTGTCGCGGGCAACATTCTCCTCAGGTATCGACGATAGGCGATCCGTGGCGGTCGCATCGTCGCCGTTGCGGTTGGGGCTCCGGCTCCAGCTACGGTGGCGGCGCGAGCGATGCGATCGGCGACCACTTCGCCTGTCCCGGTCCCTGTCGCGACGATGAGCAGTAGTAGACCGGCGGGAATCGCGCGAGGGCGACCGGGTGCGATGACCCTCATCCGCGCCGGAGAGCTCGTCGTACTTGTCGTCCCGACGAGGTCGTCTGGGCCGCTCGCGGCGGCGCTCGGAATCGTCTCCTGTCATGTCCACACTAGTCGAGCGTTGCCGATACGAGCGACGGCTGTCGATCTGGGAAGAAGAAGGCTGAGGGGATCGAGACCGGCTCTTTGTTCGGGAAGTTGACGTCGGACGTGGGGATTTCGAGCGGGAGGTCGATCGTGGTCGCTGATCGTCCTGTGCTGGCGTAGCGCTTGCGCTAGAAGGGAGGGTCAGAGAGTTAGTTTCAATTGTGGCCAGTCTGATACAAAAAAATCTCCGTCTCACCTTTGAGGGGTCCCGCCAAAGGGTTGCGCAGAGGAGGCGCCGGATCGGCCAGGAAGTTGATTTTGTTGTTGTTGTTGTTGTTGTTGTTGTTGTTGTTGCTGGAAATGACGCTGTCGGAGGACGCTGGTGTTGGGCAGACCTTCTCGCATGGCTCGAGGCGCGGCGGGCGCTCCTTCCACACCTTGCCCGCGAGGCTCGGGGTACATCATCGTATTGGGAGCTGCTGTCCCCATAAAGGGAGCTCCATTGAATCCGCCATTTCCTCTCCCACTTCCACCGACAAACGGACTGCCGCGCATGTTGAACCCTCCCCCTCTTCCAAATCCAGCACCCATCGGGCCTGGCATGCCCATGGGGAAGTTGGACATGGCCTGCATGGAATTGACCTGGTCTAGACTATCGATAGTGGGGATGCCCTGCAGCTGGGTTTCTTCCTGTGCGGAATCCTCCTGTGCTGCCGTTGCAGTAGTGGCAGGATCAAGATCAGTGGGATCCAATCCACTATTTTCACCATTCTCATCTGCTGCCGTGACATCCTGGGGCGCAGTATCGTCTGGTGCGCCGTCCACATCGCCGCCGGGTCCAGTATCATGGTTGGCCTCCTGAGCGTCCCCGTGATCAAACTCCCCAGATACCTCAGCAGTCTCATCCTGCGAATGAGCCGCCATGTCGAGATTCATATTAGAAGCATTATGGTTAGGGAACGCTGAATAGTTAGCATTAGGGGGGTAGGTGGTCTGCATATGTCCTCCAGCAAGACCTCCGCGGCCACGACCACTAGGAAAGAATCCACGACCGCGACCCCGAAAATTGCCTCTGCCATACCCGGGGCCGTACGACCCGTTCTGATATTCTTGGCTAGGGAATTGTTGCTGCTGCATTTGAGCAAGGTTGGGTTGAGACATATTATATCCACCGAAGCCAGAGGGGCCCCCGTATTGCGGACCCATACCATTTGCAAAAGCATTTGGATTGAATTTATCTTGGCCTCCATTCCACATATTGTTCTGTGAGCCGTCCCATCCCCCATATACCCCCTGACCCGCGTCGAAACTCATTCCCATGTTCATGCCATTCATGTTCATCCCGTAGCCTCCAAACATACCCTGATTCGCGGCCATCGGGTCCATCGCCATCCCAGGCATTCCTATGGAGCTTGTCAGTAAAGAAAAAGACAGTGGGAAACCGAGTGGAGACTGACCCATGGGGAAATTGAACATCCCATTATTCATGAATTGGCTCATTGGGTTGAAATTCCCGACGTTCCAGCCCATGTTGGGGAACATTCCGGAGGCCGCGTTGAAGCCCATGCCGTTGGGAAGCATCGAGTCTGACTCGCCGGCCTCCGGGGCTTCTTCGTCGTTGACCTGTCCAGACTGGTCTTCATCGGTGGGACCAACGTCATCCGCTCCGTCCTGGGCGGTCTCATCTGACTGATCCGGTAGAGGGACCGAAGAATGTTCGTCATTTTCGCCCTGCAAGGCTTGTTAGCGAGGCAACAAAGGACAAATCTTGCCAGCCTACCTGCGCAGCAACAGCTTCAGGAGGTTCGCTGCTAGCAACATAGCCCGCGTTCGATTTTGAGACGTTCAGTGCAATAGGTAGCGCTTGTGTGTCTTGATCGGCGGAAGGGGTCACAGAAGTCGGTACGTCCTGTTCGGATTGATCCTGCGCACTACTAGTTGCATTGGGGGTTTCCTGTTGAACAGGGGTCGCATCCACGGGTGTTGCCGGCGTGGCAGACTGCCGTTCTTTCTCGCGTTTCTTCTCCTCGGTGCGGAGAAAAGCCTTTAGAGTAGTTCGCAAGGCTTTGTTCGGTTTGCATAGATCAGAGGAGAGAGGAGTGTGCGCGCAGACGGGGCATGTTTCGGGAAGAGACGCCTGGCCTGGACGGTGGATTAGACGGGGTGATCGACAGTTGGTCAGAATGGCATGGATCGCGTACAGTTCTCACAGATTGCCTGATCGCAGCAAGGCAGACGAAAGGCGTTCACAGCGAGTTTGTTGCAGATGGCGCATCGCAGCTTGAACGGAATCTCATCCTGCGTCAATGAGCTATTCAGCACGGCAGGAGATTATCAGTCATCACAGATACAACATTCAGGTAGAGGCGATCTATATTACCTGGCGATATCCATCAAGCCCGAAGGCTGCTCAGCGACAGCCATCGCAAAGGTCACGAGCTTTTCTGAAGAGGTGGAAAGCGAAGAGAGCAATCGAGATTGGCGAGAAGCGTCCAGGCGATTGAAGTTAGAAGAAGTAAGCCAGAATGGCAGAGATCAGCCACATGCTCAGTGCGCCATCAACGGGAGATAAGGGCCATGCCTGCTGGCGGGTCACCACAAATTGAAGGCAAACTTAAGGCTCGGTTTAGCTGGTGGTGAATAGCATCGCGATGGGTTCATTTGGCTGGTCCAAATTTGGAGACCCGGAGAGCGGGCCGGAGCGGAAGAATATCTTCCCCGGAAGAAGGTCCCGCACCCCTCCGTCAACACCTGCAGAGGAATGAACTATACTACGGACTAGGTATTCTTACTCTGTGTCTCAAACATAGCAATGCTTGGAAAACCTAAACTCATTCCTGTCATAACCTAGTGCAATCTCAGAACGTGGTGTCCTTGTCGATCTTATGCGACCAGATCCAACAACCTACTAAGACATGTCAAGTTAGGGACACAAGGACTACATCGCCCGGCGATTCCGGCTTGAACACGCTTAGTTACCGGTATCCCCATAGTACATACGTACAGCAAGAGATAGTATGAGCAATCTTCCTTCTCGTCATCCTCACCATTACTAGCATTTATTGCAGGCAAGTAAGCACTAGTCTATGCACGGCTAAGCCTGTCACTCCCCGCCAACCTCATCTACTGATGAAGAAGAAATCGCAAGGTGTTCAAAGCCGCATGCTTCCTCTATTAACACGCCAAACACTTGAGGGAAACCAACAGATAGGCAACAGGGGCAACAACACCACACTAGACACTTGGTCAGATTAGATCAAGTTTATTTTTAAACCGTCAATGACCGAGGAGGAACCCCCAACAACGGCGATACCCACCGAGGGTTTCTGCCTTATTGCTGGGAAATTCTCTCGCTTCCTGAGTCTCTAGAGCTCTTTTTATCATCATCCAAGTGCCGTGGATAGTGATGGTGATTCCTGCTGTCAAAGACAAACGGAAAGGTGGATGCGGGGGGGATGATCACGAAAGGAAATAGATAAACAGAGCCCAAGTTGAGCAATCCGCTGCCCTCTTCCATTCAGAGAGCATGAAACAGGTGAGTCGAGGGCAATCAGGAGATAGCCAGACCAGCATGCATCGGAAGCAGGGATAGAACTGCATCATCGATCGCTGACTCGACGGAAAGAATCACGCGCGGTGTAAAAGATAAATGCAACCCGAGATCCAATCAGTGGGTGAACCAGAGACCATAACTCTACGGGTGGGGTGGCAAAGAGGGAAGTGCAGTCATCGTCATTCAGGTGTAAATGAAAATGAAAGAGAGGAGGGAGTGAAGAGAGTCTTCCAGCTGATCAGTTGAACCCGGCTGAAGGAGAAGTAAGCCTTGAGAGTAAGGTTTTTATTCAGTAGAGAGTCCCTGTATGTGATTCGGGGTAGGAGAAAATAAAAACAAAATAAAAAAGAGAAAAAGAAAGAAAAGGATCCAATAATGAAAATAGGCAAAAGCAGGCTTGGCGTGCAAGTGTAACAGAGGCGCAGGGTTAAAAAGGGCGGCTGCTGCTCCCCGGAAAGAAAGAAGAGAAAAACTGCTGTTGTGGCCACGCACTTTGCTTTCCAAGTTGTTGCTTGCAGTGAGTGTGCTGTAATGCTATTACCTTAAAGTACCGTATTGTCCTCCGCCAAAAACAATCAAAACAAGGACCCAAAAGCTCGGACCATCCGCTGCGCGCAGTCTACAATACAAATTACAAAAACATCCCCTCCCAATCCTCTTCATTGTTCGCCTATTATAGAGTGATTATGACCATCATCATCGTCTTCTTCTCCTCCTTCTCCTCGACTGCGGGCTATATGATATGAATCAATATTATTTCTCAAAGGTTTCATGTCTAGTTATCTAAACCCAGACTGAACCACAACGGACTGTTCTCTATTTCCAACTATCCACTTCTCTTCAAACCCCCAAAAAACACAGTTTCACAGCGTTTACTACTGGCGGTAAAGGTAAGTTAAAGAGAAAGAGTTCCCCATATTTATTCATACTAGTCTGTTTTCATTTCTTGCTTTTAAGCGCGCACGCGCATTTTGTCATTGTTTGATAAAAAATAACATAATAATAAAAAACCCCATTAAATCCCCACAGGCGATGACCGAAAAAGACAATTCCACCTACCGACCACGATCCCCTGATTTTTCCACCTTCCAGTCCCCCATCTCCCCTTCCGTCAACCACCCCGTCTACCCGTTTGGGAATCCGCTCGCCCATCGCGCTTCTTACGACGCCTCACCTTTCTTCACCCCGCAGTATCAACAACAATTTCCGTCCGCTCCCCCGGGCCCGCTAAACAGGGTTCCCCAGCAACAGTTCAATATCTATCCCTTTGCGGACGCGACACATCTACATCCTGACATGGCTCGTCGTTCGACGCGTATCGCTCAGGCCGCTGAGGCCGCTGAGGCCGCGCCACCAGCTCCAAGCAGATACATCGACCCTGTTGTCTCAAAAGAAGAGGAGCCTGCGCGGCTTCCATCTCCGTCTCCTCCCCCTCCTCCTCCGGCGGCCGTTGCTGCTGCTCCGGCTCCCATCGCTGTCCCGGTCGAGGTGAAGACCAAATTCCCCGTCGCGCGCATAAAGCGTATCATGCAGGCGGATGAGGATGTCGGCAAGGTTGCGCAGGTCACGCCAATTGCTGTCTGTACGTATAGAATCGTCAATCGCTTTCCCGGTCTGTGTTCGCATGTCTTGGATGAGAACTGACCTATGATCGTCTCCCCACAGCCAAAGCACTCGAACTATTCATGATTTCCCTCGTCACCAAAGCCGCTAAGGAAGCCAAGGATCGCAATTCCAAGCGCGTCACCGCTTCGCATCTGAAACAAGCGGTAGCCAAGGATGAAGTACTTGACTTTCTCGCAGATATCATCGCCAAGGTGCCTGACCAACCTGCGAGCCGGAAACACGACGACGACGGCAGTGATCAGAACGAGCAGCCGAAACGCAAGCGAGGGGGTCGTCGACCGAAGGACGATAGTGATTGATTTACTTTTGGGTCCTGGGTGGTTAGGCGCATTATCTCTATATTCAATGGTTCCTTTTTTTTTTTTGTTGTTATCTTCAGGGACAATTGGCTGGGCTATTCTCTAGATCGGAATGGAGAACAGGCGCATACTATACTCTCTAGGCGTTGCGGTAATGGGGCATGGACGGGGTCGCATCTCGCGATGTGAACAGGCACTTTTTCTTGCGTGTATGTGTTTCTTGGTTTCCTTGGAAAGGGAACCGTGTACTTGTAAAGTGGTCGGGTTGGCCGGAGTGGAGTGGAAATGGCATTCGCGATGCGACGAAATACGACTTTTGATAAGATTAATAGTTTCCTGGGAACCTTCGGCGTCGGAAACGGAACTAAGCCTGATCGGGCGGCACCGGGGTCCGCAGCACATCATTCTGTTTTCGGCTTAGTGTGCTTCAATTGGGGCCTGAGGTTACTGCATTGGTTCCAGCCCCAGGCACTCAACTCTGTTCCTCGTACTCCCGTATTGTTGCTGCTTTCCTTCCTGCACATCATCTTCATCCCACTTCCCTTCCTCTCTTCCCCTCACCTTCTCGCCCTTATTGATCATGTTTGAGACATAGTACCATGCTGGTCCTGCAGAATCATGGACTTTGTATGTTTGACCCCTCTCTCGTATCTCAGTTTGACGTTCTTTCCGTCCAAACAAATACACTAACGCAGCGCAGTGGTCTCGTATTATCGGGGGCTCCCGCTCACTCTCTACCAAGAGCTTTCGGGCCACCACTCCTACGGAGCGATTGACCTCGTTTAAGCGGACGTGCAACACTCTGCAGGTATGTCATTCTCCTAGTCGCTCGAGCTGGTAGTTCCCTGCTGATTTCTACCCCCCCAGCAAATATGGCGCTCCAGCAATTCCCCCAACGGCGAACAGTCGGCGACAGCCACCGCGCGCAACTGCATTGATCGACTGATTTCCGTCCTGAGCGACGAATCCCGCGGCCCGGCCCCTCATCCATGCCTTGCATACGCTTCCTCTTCGCAGATTTTCGTTACTGTCACCAAACTCGCCCTATCCTCCTACGACGATGGCATGCTCCGCTCCGCGACCGTGTTCTTCAACACGCTAATCGATTCCGAGGTTGACGGTGTGGTCGACAACCGCCTCTTTGCTCGGGCGTTGGTGGATCTTGTACGCCGTGCGGACAAGCACTCGGAAGATGTGGAAGGAAGACTCGTCGAGCTGCTGTTCGGCGTGGCCAACAACATCCGTCTGCAGCCCAATATCCTTCCGGCGTGGTTCGCTCCCCGGTCCGATGAGCAGGAACGGGAACAGCAGGGCACCAATGGGGCGGAATTTGCAGGCGCCATGAGGAAAGATGATTTTCCGCTTTTTTACCTGCTGGTGGAATATGTGCACCATGCCGGTCGGGCGGGCGACTTCGCTCGTACCGGTCTGCTGTATCTGATCGAGACTGCTTCGAGGTCCAAGCGTCTCGAGCGGTGGCTAATTGAGAGCGATCTCGCGACATTGATGGCAACGGGGTTGGGTGCGCTATACAGTCAACTGGGAAGGTGCGTAGTCATGGATCGTTGTGTCAGCTTTGCTGAGTCTAACATGCCTGTCCAGCTTAACATTTCCCGAGAACACGGACGAGAACATTCCCCATATTGTCGCCCTCTCGGACCATGCCAACCAAGAAACTGCTCTTCCTCCCCTGCTCGGACCATCTATGGACTCTTTTATGTCGTATCTGCTGTTTTGGCAGGACACCATCGACCACTGCAAATCCGCGGAAGTGAATGGGACATTGTTGGATCATTTCCAGGTATTATTCTTGGAACAGTTACTGTAAATTGTTGTTCATCCAAGACGATATCATGTAATGCTAACTTCGCGCAGATACCCATCGTTACTCGAATCGTCCGATGTTGAGGGAGGTTCGACGGCCGCGGTTATGACCTATCTCTATCGGATTCTGGAGTCGGTCAATCAGGAAGACCTGGTTCATCGGATTCTCCATTTTCTTCTTGCCTCGCCCTCAGATTCGGAACCCGTCACAATTGACATGTCTGTTAGTCGGCGAAAGTCCCTTGATGTACTGGCTGCTTTCTCTGAAGAAGCTGCAAGGCCTTCGCCATCGTTGTTCAATCTGCGAGACCTGACTTTGCTCGGATTGCAGTCGGCTAATCGTCAGACCACTCTGGCGACACTGCGACTCATGACTGTCGTGCTACAAAGACATCACTCTTTTGCACGGTCCTTGATTCGAACTGTCCCGGGTCAAATCGCCAAGCAACGTACCGTCGGCGCTCTGGACGTCGAGTTACAGCAGCTGCTCGGTATGGCCACATCGATTGTCGATGACCCAACACTGAACGACTCTTACGACAACTACCTTAAGGATGGGCTAGCAATCCTCGAATCCCGTCTTTGTATGGCCCTCTCGGAAGATAATCCTGAAGACCACCTTCCTCTTGAACTCCGACAAGATGACCCTATCGTACACGAGCTACTCCACCGGCTTCAGAATTTTTTCACCAACAGTGTAGTGGTGAATCTGGCCCTGACAGAGGTATTGGGAAGTATTGTTGCATCACATCTGATTTCCCTCGACGGATGGCTGCTGGTAGATCCGGCGAAATATGTGTACCCTCCGACAGAAGAAACAGAAACTCCCAGTCTTCTCGATCAAATCAAACATGCTTACGAAGAACCGACGTGGGATCAAGCCGATGCGCCGGCTCTCAAATCGACACTACAGAAACTCGTGCAAAAGATCCAGACCTGGCGCAAGGAAATTCCCGACTTCGACATCCTTATCGCCGCGCGTCGCGACCTATTACATCAGGACGACGAGCCGGCCCCAACTCCCAACCGTTCATACAGGGGTTCCCAACCGCCCACCCGGTCTTCCTCACAGCGCCCAACCCCACGTGCGGAGTCCGAGTACGGCTCACCAACGCCCCGAGGCAGGCCCTCCAGTCGACCCTTCGAGCGAGCCGTAGCCACGCCCTCCCCAGCCCGCAACAGTTCTCGGGACCTTTTCACGCAAGACCTTCCCTTCCGGCCCCTGCGAGAAACCTCCACCGCACGGAAAAATGCGGCGGAAGAACTCCGGCGACGGCTTGAGCAGCCATTTGCAGTAAACTCTTCGAGTGACGCTACCAATGCGACCGAACAGAGAGCAGATGATATTGGAAGTGACGCCACTCAGCCTGCGGACCCAACCCAAGGAGGAGTCGATGGTCCGCCGGAAGAACGCACGGACACAGCGGTTCCTAACGAAGAGGAGGATCAGCCGGTTGCGACTCTGGGCCATGTCCTCACCAACGTGGTCTTGTTGTACGAGTTCCTTCTTGAAGTATCCGCCGTCGTCCAGGCACGGGGGACGCTGTTTGAAGAGGCGGGTTACCCTGGTCTGGGCATTGCTTCGTCGGCTGCGCCTCTAGAGATGGAGTATTTTGGGATGAATAAGCCGGGGGAAGTGGAAATGTCTTCATGAATCTAGGCAGGTCCTCGATCTATGCACATCTTTCCCATTTTAGTCGGTATGAAGGGGTTTATGTATATCTATCTATGGAACGCCGCATTGTAATACCTCGCATAGCGAGCCGTGCTGTATCTTCCATGCATGTCTTTTTATTATCTTATGATGATTAGAGTGGTATATTGAGAGAGGGAAATTTGCATAGATATACATTGAAGTTACTAATGCCTACTCGTTACTTTTTAACATTGCCATAAAGTCGTCCAGGTGCAGCATGATCGAGCCTTTGCCGGCAGGCGGAGCGACCAGAGAGACATTATGTCCTCAGTTTGACTCTGACCCATTTCCTTCTAGCCAACCCTGGGATTGGTCACCCTGCATCCAGGTTTCTTTGATGTCCATCTCCACCTCCTCCAGGCGCAGTCGTCCCCCACCGAACGTGCTCACCCTGCTTTAGTTGTCAAGCATAAAGCATAACCAGCTGACCCTCCAGCTTTACCCCTCATGAAACAGTTCTCGTCCGTATACTATCTAAACCATAGTAAATTCCCAATAGAAATTGGAGCACTGTAAGTCAGCAACTCGACCGCGAAGAAAACTCCCCCTGCCTTGCCAAGAGCAAACTACTGCCTTTGAAACTGCCTGGTAGGCAGCACGGCACTTGGTATATGATGCTGCATTGGTAAACCCCGGGAACTCCTAGCACCACTGGCAGAACTTACGACTAGAATCGAGTCCCTATTGCCTTTTTTCAATTGAGTTTCGCTTCTGTTTGGGTACTACTACTATAACACCGTTCTCCATGACACCGATCTTACTATCCATCATTCTATGTATTTTGCCCCGCCCATGGCCCATTCCCCCCCCCCGGGTCTCGCTCAGGATACCATACACATATACATACATAAATACATACACACATACATAACTATAAACGAATGGAAAGAAGAGATATGATAAAAAGAGTACATACAACATACTCCATCCACATCCTGAAAGAATATACCGTCCCGGATTCATTCATACACAATGCTACCCACCTGCCTGCTGCCTGCTGCCCCCTTCAGCGGCAGGAGACCGCAGAGAAAGGGTACATGGGAGAGAGAAAGAAGTAAAAAAGAGAAGTAAGACTACCATACCCAGCGCGTCCGCGTCCAGGCACGCACGAAATCCACCTTCTCTCTCACACTCAATCCCACTCTCTTGACGCGGCCCAAGCGCGCCATCGAGTCCGCGACATGATCCAGGAGCGCCGTGTCCGGGACGCCCGTGGCTTCGGGGGAGGAGGACGGGCTGCGGGTGGAGATGGAGGCGTCGAGTGTGTCGAGGTAGTTGGTGTCGTAGTTGTTTTTACGGGCTGTTGTCGATGCCTTGGCGGCTGATGCGGGGGCGGATGCAGCCGTGGAAGACGTGGAGGAGGTTGTGGGGGTGACGGCGCCGGCAATGCGGACGCGGATGCAATGCGTGGGTTTGCTCAGGAGGTTCCAGAGGAAACTGACGTAGCTTCCGGGAAGCGGGGTGACCACGTCCACGGGGGTGTAGCGGAGGCTGATGGGGAAGATCTTGGTGGCGGTCGGGACGGTCAGGAGGGCCGGGCTTAGAGGCAAGATGGCGCGGCCGTTGGTGGTGGTGCACTCTGGAAAAGTGACGATTGGGCGGCCGGGGTATCTGCGGAGGAGGGCGTCAAGACTAACTAATCTTTTGGTCGGGGGAGGGGTGGGCTGCGGGGTGCTAAAGGCGCGGAGGATCGCTTGGAAGAGGGAGATTTGCTCGACTTCGGAGGTGTTGGGGTAGCACGCGGTGAAAATGGGGTCGAAGATCGCGGCCAGGTAGAGAGGGTCGATGGGGGAGGTGAAGGATGAGGCGATGACGGAGCCTGGGCCGGGGAGTCGGGTCTGGTGTTGCTTGTGGAGGGATCTTTGTGCATGAAGACCGTGATTGTTAGTAGGAGTGAGGTCTTGGGAAGCCGGGACAGCAGCAGTTTCACACTCACCCCTTGCGCACGCCGTCGACCTGCAGGTCAATCCACCATATACTGGGTATGCCCAGGATACACCACAGAGACGCCTTCTTGCCCAGCGAGCCGATCGGAAGCCATTGCAGCACGAGGAAGAAACTCAGGCAGGCGAACACAAACAGCGGCAGTCGGATCCAGAACAGGAGGATGCGGACAGGAATCTGGAGGTAGCTGACGGGCTGAGGAGGAATGGGGAGGAAGGGTGCAATGCCCGACCCTGACAAAGGCAAATTAGTCCGGTCCGACCGATAACGACACCGACGCAGCTTGCTCACCTCGATCGCGGAATTGTGTGAATTTCTCCATGGTTCAATAGCGGTGTGTGGTGGTGGTGGGTTATCGGGAAGGATATGAGATCACTGAACACGCCATGTGCTAGCACATTTACCAGCCAGTTGGGGAGGTTGAGAAGAAGGTTCAAGTCAGGGGATCGGGTAGAAGTCTTGAAGCAAGAGGGAGGAGGGTCAGAAAAGGAGCGGATGGAGCTTTGTTGAGCTCAACTGGAGGAAGTGTTGGTGAAGCAAGCGATGAATTGATGGATTCATCGTTCACATGTCCCACAATCTCCCACTAGCCTCCTTTGGGGACGCCCGCCGAGGCCCAGCCACATTTCCCGTTTGGGAGAGCTGCACCACATCGTTTGTAAGTTCTGATCTCCGGAGTATAGCAGAATGGGCTATAGTCTTAGTAGTTATCGCTATCAACATGATCCAATCATCCCTCATTGATGGAAAAAACTATGACAGTGCTGGCATTGAGCCCCACTGACACGTGGTTGACATGACTGTGATGCCGATAATCACGTTCAATAGTCTCATCACACTACTCAGTAGCCGAGCATCCAGAAGAGGAGCAGTCCATAACCACAACTTTATATCTATATATGCCTATTTGAAACCATTTTATACATGAAGAATAGTAACACCAATCCACAAATGCGACCCCAGAATCAAGAACGAGGCAAGCGAAACATACACACCGCCAGCCCCACCAGTGTGAACGCGGTAGCAGTCATCATCCACGCAAGACCAATCCACGGGCCTCCCAGCTCCAGACCAATCTGAAACACCGTCGTGATAGACAAGCTAGCAACCACATTGCCCATCGACTGCAACACCTCGATAATCGTAAACAGCCGCGCCGTCTCCTCCCGCTTGACCAGCGTCGTGATCAGCGAGCGCGTCAGGAAGACGAATCCGGATCCAGAGGTCTGCAGAAGCAGACTCGGGATGAGCATGTATACATGGCTCGAGAGCCCGATCCCCAGGGTGCCCACCGCGAGAAACACGATGCTGACCCGCATCAGACTGAGATCCTTCTGTGTGGGCTTCATGGTCTTGAGCAAGCGTCGCGAGATGGCGGGCAGGACAAAGAGGAACAGCGGGATAGTGAGTGCGGGCTTGAACGACATAAGGAAGTTGGCTTCTGCCAGAGTCCATTTGAATCGGGTGGAGATGTATTGCACCAGGAACCAGGACGAGCCGCGGCTGAGTCGGTAGACGAGGAAGGCCGACAGAAGGAGCATGATCTGACGGTTCTCGACAATGAATGCGTATGGGGCGAAATACGCCCGGATTCGACGCTTCACCACGGCGAACAAGGACTGTTGAGTCGCGGGGGCAGCGCCGCTCTTCTCATCGGCGTACGCGTCCTCGGGCCCTGTCTCCTCGTCATCACTCGAGACCTCCTGCTCTTGTTCTTTGGTCGGCACCGTCTTATATTCGGATTGGCTGGAGAAGATCTGTCCCAGTTCGAGATTGGTCGACTTCTTCGATCCAGCCCCGGGGAAAGCACCCATGGTCTCTGGCAAGGACAGAGCAAAGAACATGCCAATAACAGCCAGGCCCCAGCCCAGCAACAGGGGCAACCACGGATCGAGGGCCATCAGCCACGAACTGGCCGCGCTGGATGCGAAATCGGCTCCCATACCGGCCACTCCGAACTTGAAAAAGATGGCCGCCCTACAAGCGAGTCAGCGAGCAGCGACACAGAGCGAGAACCGTTCTGAACAAACCGTTCCTCCTCAGTAGACACATCCGACATCATCGTCCAGATAATCGCAAACGCCACAACAGGGCCACCGCCCAGCAGCCAGGCCAGCGAGGACGCCCACACGGTTCGCAGAGGGAAGGTATCAGGAAACCACATGACAGCGAGCTGCATGAGGCAATTGAGGGCGAATCCAGGAATACTCAGACAGATGGTGGACTTCCGGCCAAATCGGTCTGCCATAAGACCATAGGGAATCGCCAGAATAGCACCTGAGTAAACACAAGACGATAAAGTCCCAACAATCAGAATCAAATCGCATATCGATGTTGTCCGAGGAAAGATAATCGGTCACGACATACTCAGCGTTCCATCGAAAAACTCCATATAGCCCTTCACGGCGGCCAGATCCTGCTGAACCTCCTTGATTTTGCACAGATCTTCATCAACCTGCCCATTGGCGCCGATTTGCGTGGGATCATACTGCTGATAATATTCGCGGCAGGCGATTGACTCGAATATGCGGGTGACCGGACCGTTAGACATACAGATACCGACTTCGACGGCCAGAATCATGGCAAACAGGGTGACCATGAGTCGGAAGCGGATCTTCTTGTTGATCAATCTGACATCCTCCTCCTCCTCTTCCTCCTCCTCCGCCTCTTGTTGCTGCTGCTGCTGCTGCTGGCGGCGGTGGTGGTAGTCATGTTCATTATCATTGTGCTTGTGGGCTTCGTTGGTTTGGTGGCCGCTGGAGTCGGCGGCGACGGCAGATAGAAAGGGTTCATCCTCGTGGTTGAGGGGTTCACTGGACTGGATCGACATGGTTCTCGTTGACCATGGCCAATTCGGATAAACCGAGAGGGGGGAGAATGGTTCTGTATATACGAAGGAACAGTTTACATGTGAGGTCAACAGAATCTATCCATCTAGTCGCAGAAAGGCTAAACCTGAGCCATTTTTTTCCCTTCGGGGATAATGGGGAGGGAGAGGGAGTGAGAGGAGAGGGGGAGGGGGGGGGGAAGGGGGTGGGGAGAAGGATAGGAAGATCAAGATGAAACTCGGGATAAGGAGAGACCAGTTCAGGGTTATTATAAGAGGGCCCCCGAGGCCCCGCCAAGCAGGAGTTTAGTTCCAGTTGTTCTTTTTATATTTGCAGTACCAGAAGGTGGTCAATTGAACCCCACTGCAGGCTGGCTCATTATTAGTCGGGCCTAACTGTCAATCCCAATTGGGGCCAGTTCTCCTATTCTCGAGTCTGACTTTTGGGGCGAAACAGTCCCTGAGGAAAGACAACTCCGAGACCCAAGGAACCATTGTGAAAGCACCGAGAGTCACGACGGATGCGGTGTCAGACTGAGGCTTTGCTGTAACTCGTAGGCACCGTAGAGTAGTAGGTAACCGAGTACCGGTAGTTGGAGCCATGATGTGGAGCTGGCGCGTCCTCGGATGCGTACGGCAGTTCAGGCATCAATTTAAGGCAGCCTGCCCGTCGAAAGGGCCAGCTTACACGATCAAAGACTGATGCATTCGTTACTGCCGACGGAGTATTCGACTCAATTGATTTCATCCAATCATCAAGGATGACAGTGAAGACCCGTAAGCCAGTCGATCAGGCTGATGATCAGAAGGAGATTCTCCATTGGACTGTCTTCCAGGGGCTACTTTTGTTCGGACAGATTGAAATAAATGGATCGATCTCCCGCTAAACCCGATGCGATCAACTCGACTCCACTGCCCGGGTATTTCTGCCTGCCAGAATCAGGTGGCCGCTTCCAGACTCAAGAGTGAGAATCAGTATAGTTAGTGCTAATTAAGCAGTAACGAGTCCAAAGCTTATATCTTCGCTGTACCAATTACCAACTACCTCTCGATAACAATATAGATCTAAACCGAAGAAACCCACAAGGTCGCGTCGTCAGCGGTGGGGATCGTCTCTTGGGTTCACGCCGTGAAATCATAAGACATGCAGAAACAAAGCAGAAAGAGAGAAAGAACGAACGAAAGAAAAAGAAGGGAAATGGTATGGTTTAAACAGAAAGATAAGAATGGTAATATGCAGGTCCAAGAGGCCAGCTCTAGGGCACTTCTTTGTCTCCTCTCTTCAGGCCCCCAGGCACGTCAATCGCCTCCTTCACCCATGGCAACGTCGCGATCTCGTCAAGACTCTTTCTCTTGGTGTTGCGCTTCAAGAGTCCCTCCACGCATTCCCGCGCACCTTCCAGGTCGCTCCCTTTGGCGGGATCCCACTCGCCATCACTGTCCGCATATCGGTACCAGGACCACTCCACTCGCGCGATGCGATGGGGTGTTCGTGCCCGTAGCTTGGCCGGGTCGCCCCGAGTACCCGGCAACGCATCGAATGGCAGTCGATTCTCCATCATCGCATAGAGCAACACCCCCAGCGCCCATGCATCAGTCGACCGTCCATCATATGATTGGCCCATCAAAATCTCCGGTGCCGCATAGTCCTCGCTGCCGCAGCGGGTTTGCAAGAGAGGACTTTCTGGAGGCTCCGGTATCCTTCGGGATAGACCCAGATCACTGAGGGTCACGATCGCTCGATCGTATGTGCGCCAGTCACTGATTTTCTCCATGGCGAGGACGGGGAGATTAACAAGAACATCTGCAGATGAAAAGAGGATTAGGTCGGGGATTGCAGCCCGTGTCATGAACACTCACTCTCTAGCTTGATGTCACGGTGCACGATATAGTGCTCGTGGAGGTAGCGAACAGCTGCCACCAACTCGGCGAATATGCGACGAATGATTGGGGGACTCATGGGCCGAGTGCTGGAAGAAGCCACATCGAACAGATCCCCGCCCGGACAGTAGTCCAAAACCAGAAGTGCACGTTTCTCGTCGCTGCCGAAGGCCTTCAGCTGAACCAAGGACGGATGGTTCACTGACTTAAGGATCTCCACCTCGCGCTTGAGCGATACCTCCAGACGCTCCTCGTCCGCGCCGCCCGCGGGCCCATACTCGATGATTTTGACCGCAACCAACTTCTGGGTCGCGAGGTTCACGTCCTTCAAGCTATAGCCATTGCGTGGAGGCTCGCTGTCTCGCGTCTCCACGCGGACGGCCAGACTGACTTGACTGAATGTGCCCTGGCCAAGTTGACGAATCTTGCGATATTTCCGACGTTGCTGGGTGCGCACCGACCGCACCGAGTATATTTCATCCGCAGTGTCCGGGACAGGAGTAATCACAGGCCCGCTGTCCTCTTCGTCGAGTCCGCTGCGGCTACTACGTGGCGGGCTCGGCGGGCGAACGGTCGGCAGTGCAATCCCACGATGCACACCTAAGTATTGTTCCCGGTGGAGGTTATGCGCATTCGAGTCAGTGCTGGTAGAGGTGGAGATTCCCGGTGGCGCGCCAGTCCCCGAAACCACAATAGGTCTTGGTTTGACAGGGACACTTCGGCCAGGAGGAACATATTCGCTCAAACTGCGGTTACGCGCGTGTTTGGGGGCTCCGTCCGGTCGTGATTTGGTTGGTGACTCGAGCGGCGATTCGTGCAATTTATCCGACAGAGTATACTGTTTGTTTCTGCTTCGTGGTCGCGGTTCGCAAGCGCCGATCATGTGCGATGAGTCGCTAAGTCGCAGACTCAAGCTCGAGCCTTTTCGTGAGACCATCGAAGGGGTCCGCGAGAGGGACTGGGAATTGCGCCGGGGGTGTTTCCATGGCGACATGCCACTGATGGGCGACGGCAAAGGGGTGATGTCGCCCATGGCCACCAATTGTGGTGATGAGATAATAGAAGCGGGCGACAGTGAGCCCCCACTGTTGGGCGCGGCGGCGAATAAACCGCGTAAACTAGGAGTGCGACGGGGCAGACTGCTGGAGGATAGGCTGTGGTGGACCAAGGTGTCAGCGTCCCCCGGAGGGCTCATTTGACTAAAGACTGGCAGATCCGTGCGTATTTGCAAGGAAGGCAGATGGTGATGAGGGATGTGCTGGGTAATTGAGTCCTGAATGCGATTCGACGGGGGCTGGAAACTATATAGAGGAGGGGAGTCGAGGCTCCCTTTGAAAGGGATTACTGAGGCATTCCGGTCGAATTCATGGTTACTCGAGCCGGTTGATTTGCTGGCCTCGTGCGCCTCGGACTGAGGGGCGGTAGTAGATCGTGACCTCTCGGTCGGTGGAGAGCAGTTTGAAGAGACCATTCGAACGTTGTTTAGTGGGAAAAGTTGAAGTGAGATCTAATTGTGGTCCTGCGATCACTCGCGCGAGCGGAACATGCGACGGCGCGCTGGGAGTATTAAAATTGCGGGTAAGGTCGGGGCTGCCCAGAAAAGAAAAATCCCTCGGGTCGAGCTTAAACAACGCCCGTTGGAGTTTGGCGCTAGACCTCGGTAGGAAAGTGCTGCAACAAGAGAAAGTAATGAGAAGAGAGAGACAGAGAGAGTGTAGGTATTGTGCTAGGAAATGCAAAGAGAATGGAGGGTAAATCAATAGATGAATAGGATGAATTAGAAGTGGTGTGAATCGAGCAGTAGGGGAGGGGAGAGCAGAAAAATGAAAGGCAGCGAGGGAAAGAGGAGAAAGAAAGAGAGCAGAAGAGGGGAAACCGGGGAGTTCGGGAAGGGCTGACACAATCAGTGACAAGGCAAGAGCGCAGTCTCCAGAAGAAAGCAAAAGCAAGTAAGACAAGTTACTCCGTAGTCCCAGCAAGCATGGAAGTAGGAAGCAGGAGGCAGGAAGTCGAAAGGAAGCAAGAAAGAAGAGCAGAAAGCAGGAGGCAAGCAAGCAAGCAAGCAAGCAAGCAAGCAAGCGAGCAAGCGCAAAAGCAAAGCAAGCGATCTAATAATGATGATGACGCTGCCCTGCAACAGAAGGAAAAATCCACGCGGGGGTCAGCTGATAACACTAGCCTGTTTGCAGTCTAGGGCATACCAGTCTGGCCTCCACGAGGAAAGACGCTACCCCGCATCCAGTAATACCCGTTGGCGGAAGGTCTAGAAGAAGGTTCCGATCTTGCCTGTTTGAGGTTAAGGAACTGTCCATTGACCCTATCTATCCGATTTCCACCAAGGAACACTTATCTGTTTGCGACTGAACTGGAAGAGATAGGTCTATCTGACTCCGCGATAGATTGTTCTATCGGAACACCACCAATAAGCTTCCATTATGAAAGCATGCTACAGCTTTTTCCCAGATTGGATGAATAAATACAATTCAGAGTTTCCCGCCTCGTCATGTGCCTTGCATCGCCCGGTCGATTGCCGAAAAATGGGTTGATTGGTATATCCCTGCCACTATGCCTTACTTCTGAAGTAGCTTCCTCAAATTGAAACCTTTTAGTTGTTGTGACACGTCGATATGAAGCATCCTCGGAGGTTCACCAAAGCGTGCGTGGACGGCTCAATGCAGGGAATTCTCCGTGAGATGCATTCTTCAGTGCGTACAGAGTACAGTCATCAAGCATGCGCCGGATTTCGCACTGACTGACAGACAGTGATCGTTCAGCATCCATAAACTATTCTCCTTAGGCTAAATCCGATTGCTGGCGGCCAGCGTAATCTTATTTAATTATTTATATTTAACAAAGGGAAAATAATAGTGGCTTTTTATTACCTTTCTGCCCGCAATCATTTGACGCACTGTGCACATCATCGTCGGCCACGCTACCTTAGCGTCAACACTAGGTTCCAGACTTGGACCACTGGGAAATGGGTGAAGCAATCGCATTCCACCCTCTGCGTCGTGCGTCTCCCGTTTCAGAGTTATGAAGCCGGTTCTCCTGCAGTGTACTGGGCTACGTAAGCCGCGCTTGCGGATATTAACCTATAAGTTACTTGTTTCTACACAGTGGGATTAAATGATCTCCTTAGGATTTTTGAGGCTTTTTACAAGCTATCAGCCGTCAATAGGCTCTCTAAGAGATTCAGACAAATACATGTAAGACTGTTCTCAAGTTATACGAAAAAAATGTGATATATTAGTTCTAATTATAGAGGTTGCTTTGCGGCTGGGCTTTGATCGTCGAAATTCTATACTTATTAGCATCAGAAATTCTGATAGATCGATCTTGGCTAAATTGTCCGGTAACTACGATTGTCAGAGTCTACATCGAATGATTCCATAGCGTGAGTCTCACTTGCTGAAGAGCCCCAGGTTATGATTGATTAGAAAGCGGTACCAGGGCGATGGAGGGGTGGCAGTTAGTAGCGAAGAATGCGAATTGAGCACAGACAGCTCGAGTAAAAATAAACCCGGCCATTGGTTGATCCAGAACCTCAGATCAATTTTGTCCTAGGTACCTACACTGAGATCTCTACTCCGTGCTGCTGGAGGAAGCCAAGGGCAGGCAAAGTCAATGCAGAGATGGGGTGGAGCCCGAGCCACCACTCATCATGAGTCAACATGCGTCACTGCGATTTACCCCACATCCAGTGTAACCAAATCTATACTCCGTAGAACATCGGTCCTTCACAGCTTCCTTTTTATAAATACAGAGCATGCTAGATCAAGTATCTTCAATGCAGCCATCAAACCACACCACTCTACTAAAGGAACTCCCCTCTACCCCAATACTATCCTCATCGCCCTCAAAATGCCAACCACCACCTCCACCACCCCCCTAACCTTTTACGACATCGCCACGCGCCCCCCCGCCCAAGAAAACAGCTGCTCCCCCAACCCCACGAAAACGCGCCTGGCCCTGAACTTCAAATCCCTCCCCTACAACACCACCTGGGTGCCCCTGCCGGACGTCTCCGCCGTGCGCCAAAGCCTGCACCTCCCCGCATGCCGCCAATTCGCCGACGGCAGCGACTTCTACACGCTCCCGATCCTGCACGACCCCAACACCAACACTTTAGTGGGAGACAGCTTCGACATCGCCATCCACCTGCAAAATACCTACCCATCCAGCGGCCACGGGGACCTCTTCCCCCCGCAACCGCTGAACTACACCTTCCCGCAAGACCCGCCGCCCATCGTGCCCCTCTCGGCCACGCGAGACACAAGCGCCAACCCGGCCCTGCTCGAACCGTACGCGCGGTTCAACGTGCACGTCGACGCCGCGTTCACGGCGCACACCCCGCTGACCGTACAGGGGTTCCCGTTTGACCCTGCCACCGAGGAGACCGTGAAGGCGGAGTTTGTGCGGCGGGCGCAGCTCGCTGGGGCGCCAGTCCAAAACTGGGCGGATTTTAAGTGTGAGGGGGAGTATCGGAAGTCATTGCTGGAGTCGTTTGAGAAGACGTTGGGGGGGTTGGCGGAGGCTTTTGCGAGAGATGGTGGGCCGTTTGTTTTGGGAGAGAGGGTGAGTTATGCGGATTTTATTGTTGGCGGGTGGTTGAGGATGTTTCGGGTGATGTTGCCGCTGGAGGAGTGGGAGATGGTCAGTGGGTGGCATGGGGGTGTGTTTGGGAGGTTGTATGCGGCTTTGGAGGTGTTTGCGGAGGTGAAATAGATTCTGTTGTTGTTTGGTGCTTCACATTGCGGGATGTGAAGGCATATACTGGTGGAGACTGAAGTATTGGTGTAGTTCGTCGTGATTCTTGAACAGAAAGGGTTGGGTCTGGAGATTGACTTGATGGTTGACTTACGCAGAAATATAGTACTGTACATTGTAGCAGCTAACCGAATGATAATTTTTGTCCAGCCTGCTGAACGCGACCGGGCTTATCAGCGATAAGCTTCCCCCCCGGTGATGGGGCTGCCAAGTCTACTGTAGTCGTTGTCTTATCTCCCCCACCTCACCACTTCTGCCCATATCTTGATAATGAACTTATTACGGCCCAGTATTTACTAGGACCTAGTACTTTAGGGGTGTCTATCTTGGATCTCTGCACGGCCTCCTCAAATAGCGCTAACCAACTCCGGCTACTCCATGTGATGACACTGCATTGCATGCATCAAGCATCGCGACTTGCTTTCGTCCCCTGTCGCAAACACAGCCTCTCTAATTTCCCCTTCTCGACCTCGCTTATGCATGTTCCCGAATGTTGTGCTGCGTCCCTTACAGAGTCCTCAAGGGGAGTTCTGCCTAATCTCCGGTGTAGAATTGGGCTGTTACCGGGAAACACACCCCAACACATCCCAAACCGGTTGAGAAATTTGTTTACGTCGCCCTGGTTTCTGCGTACACCTGCATCGTCCACCCATCCACCAACTCCCGGGATCAATAGACAGCCGGACCCGACCGGTTCAATGCACTGATGGCCTGCTCGATCGTGATGACGTCGATGGGATTATTTGGTAAGATCCCTTGCAAGATCGTCTCTTGGATCTGCTGCGCATAGGTCGAAGGAGTCTCGATCGTGTTATTCGCGATGACATATCTAGAACGATCAGTCGGCTGTCTTCCCCTTCAGGGCAATCGCACTTACACCTTGTAATTCAGATCAAACAGACGCAGAGCGGTGTTAATCACTACCCCCGATGTGCGAATTCCAGACTAGAAACTGTCAGCCCATCTTAACCAGGAATCATAAACAGAAGATCTTGACAAGATCGGGACCAACAGCACCCGCCATCACGCTAAAATGAGGTCTCCATCCTCCGATCACTTCCCTTATAGGAAAAACTGGATTACTCACCAGAACGACGGTATCGATCTTCTGACTCGCGAGAATCTCCTCTAGCGAGTTACCCGCCCCCGCGTAGTACCGCACTTTCTGCAACACCACGTCCCAGTCGTCCAGGGGCCGAAAAGCCGAATAAAGCTGGCCCTGAGGACTCGAGTCGGTGATGTTGCCGAGGAGCGACACCGCCTGGGCGAAAGGATCGGTGGCGCTGATCTCGGGGCGCTGCGTGTTGGCGAAGTAGATCCGGGTGAAGATGCTGAGGGGTGGAGGGGACTGCTTGTGGACGCTGCTGCTTGTCAGTTGTGTCTTTTGGAGTTATTCTCTTCGTTCCCGAGCGTCAACTCCAAATCGTGTAGAGTGAAGCTATCTTGGACTCACGCGTCAATCCACCTCGCTGTGTTCTTGATCCAGCTCGCTCCTGCGGTCGTGGTGTTCACATATGACACGACGGCATCGATGAGATCGAGATTCAACACCGCGTAATGCTCTCCGAAAGAAAGGGAGTCTCCGCTGACTGTTGAAGGTATATTCCACGAGTAGCCTGGACTCGTTGTGGCTGTGAAGGCCCCGGCCGTGAAGAGAACCACAGATGTGAGCGCGCGTTTGAGCATCATCGTTGCAATCGTTAGCTGGTATGAGCGGCGGCGAGCCGGGTGAATTCCAGAGTCAAGAAGAATGAGGTGAGGGCGCGACGAGGTATTATTCAACAGCTGACTCTGCTAGACTCCTCTGCGCAACATGATTCTGCGTTCTCCACCGTACCCACTCCATTTGAGACTATTGCTGACAAGCGTGGGCGAGTGCGATGATGGTTCCCAATCGGGGGAACAGTATGGAGTTGAGGCGTTGTTTAGGATGAAGTTTAGGCTTAGAGCGGTTCAGAATACGAGCTGATCTGCGCAAAGAGAAAACAAGGCTTATAAAGATGTCGTGATCTGGCGGTCAGATCGCTGGTACTGAGTGGTCATCGTATCTTAAGTGCTATGCTGGATGATGGGAGCTGCGGCGGACCATCACGGCGGGTGGACCTGAGGAAAGCTTAGCGTGTGCTTAGCGTTTGGTGATTGCGCAAACAAGTCACCCAGCCATCTAAAACATCTCTCAAATGATCACCTGGTCAAGCCCACTATTTCCAAGTTGGTAACATGCATGATGTCGAAATGTGAGAAGTATCTGTCCCCCATCGTCATCTTCATCATCATATAATATTACAATAGCCTGCTGAGCGTAAAAGATAAGGTATCTCTTTCGAATCTAAGGCCCACTACTCCGCCTGGAACATGGCTTCACAGTGCGATACAGCCTGATTCTGGCCCGAGTGCTAGGACAGACCATCTATTTTGAAGACCCTCCAAGCTCGTGGAAGCTGATTGAGAAACTCTGGAACCATGAAGAACGCTTTACACAGCACAAATACGTCACATGTTGCTTCTACCCCAGAAGAAGCGCACATTCATCGATCAAGACACTGGCAAATCGAAGAAGCTATTATGAAAGCTCGAACTTGAACGCAATCTTGAACAAGTGACCACAAATAGAAGGAGAATGCCCAGGACCGCGAGCGGACCCGCCCACTTCCCTGAATGCCATCAGCCTCCAGGGAGTCCATTCTGTGGTCGTGGACTACACAACTCTAAAGCATGAGAGCCACGACTACCATGAGCTTGTTGGTAGGATTCGTGATGGAAAGAACCGAAGGAACTACCCGTTTTTACACAGTATCTCTGAGACATGAACTAGTGAGTGTCTAAACCTAGACCACGCTTCCATGGTTTATCCCGAAGCTAAAAACTTGTCTGTTATCCTTGCTATATTGCTGATTGAAAGGCATGCATGAAAGGCGCTTGTTGCTGGGATGACGATGAGTATTCTTGCTGGAATTGATGGGTTGCTTTGACAATCACCCACCGTGCTTCAACCACGAATTGTGCTCCTTGTTGCTTCATATTGCGCCTTCGAGCTCTTGCGATGTCGCACTCTTGACATGAAGAGCTCTATTATGCTCGTTACATGATAAGCTTTTCTTAAGTGAGAGAATGTACTCTGGTATCGAGATATGAATAACTCAGTGAGATCAGTGGTCTAGAAGGAGCAACAGTGGAGATGTATTGACCGGCGTTCTCTGCTGGCCAAGCATTCCTCAACAAGCCCCAGTCCGCTACCCACATGGCAGGCCTGCAATGAGAGCAGAATGCTGAAACTCCATCTACAACTGACTGCCTGGTTGAAAATATCCTTTGTGATGAGCATGCGTCTGGCAAGCACCGGTCAATGGCTCAAATGAAAGCACAAGACCCAAGCATTTAAGCGGAGACACCTCCCATCCTACCTCAAACCCAGATGCCCCAAGCGCAACACAACAATCTCGAGTATGAAATCTCAGGCAGATGCATGGTCTGAATTAACTTTACCCGGGCTCTCCACCCGCGCCTCGGATCGACCTTTCATCGACTCCCGTTCTTCAATTCTTAACCGCCAGACCCGCTCTCCGTCATCCACCCACACCACCACCATCACTAGATAGATCCACGATTCTTCTACGAGCTATATAAAGCATCAACCTGCCGTGGCTGTGCTCACCTACGGGGTGCACAAATAGAGGAAAGACGGAAGGTTGTCCCAAATTCCATCCAAGGCGATGACAGCGGCTTTTCTTGGCAGACCGCTAAGCGAAGGCAGTCCTTGGTCTATGTATAGCCTCCGCCTCAGCCGATGATTGCAGGTCCCGACGGCCTGATCCAGGCAGGCAAAAGTCATATCCTTATGTTTCTTGGCAGGAGAAAAGCTTTGTCGCCAAGGTGCCGACTCGCCATTCCTTCCTGTTTTGTGTTCGTCGTATCAGCTCTCGGTTCGCTTTGGCTGTAGTTTTGAGAATTGTGTCAGGCATGAGGTGATATCCTTAAATGTTGCTGTGAGCATAATTGATACGGCTGACTAGTCGTCGATGAATGACTTCTGAATATCGTTTTTACTTCTCAGAGAAGAGTAGACGAGGATGAAGGCTTGCACCCTTGCAGGAAGTCCCTCGACCTGCGCCTGCACAGGGCTCAGTCTAGCCCTTGCCATGATGGCTAGCAGGGCGAGCTCTCAAAGATAGACCAGACCATCGAAAGCAAACGAGAAACGCGTCATCTGAGACCCTCGTAACTAGGCCGGTGCTCAGGAAGGACTTCCAGCCAAGCCATCCGACAATTGAATCCGTATAGTCCCCAATCTCACATCCACCCAACTCCAAAGAGACAGGATCGGCTGGACCTACAGCCCCCATAATTGGAAAAGAGGAATACACCCTGGCGGCCACTGGGCCCAAGGGACCAGGTAGCGGGGCTCGGTGGAGTGGAGGGCAGGTATGGATTGCCCATCAGGGGCCAATCACAGCAGTCAAGAACCCCAGTCATTTCCATACAGTAAGTGGTAAGGATTCCAAGTTCTACAGGCAGCTACAATACTTTCGACCCCTAAGAGCCCTTATAAGTAGGTAGTCCCTGGCCGTGGTCCCAGTACCTCCATCCCATCCCATCCGCTCACCCACCATTCATTCCACAAGTCATCATAGACCCTGGTCGATTCTTCCACTCGTTCAAACAGATTCAACCCAAGGAAGCCAGAAAGCACTACACTCAGAACATAACCTCATCCACCATCTTCACCTCAAAATGTCCCACACAACCACATCCACCACCAGCGCAGCGAGCGCCACCTCGACCTGCCACCAAAAGCTCTACCAAATCCCCGTCAAAGACGCCGCCTGCGCCATGCCCATGACCGGCAACAACTCCGCCATCATGAGCAGCTGCTGCGGCTCCGCAGACATCGTCTCTTACGACAGCTGCGACTACTACTGTCTCGCGGACGGACAGTCCGTCGGCACGCTGGCCGAGTGTTTGATCAAGGCCTCCGAAGCCGGCGAGGTGTGGTGCAACACCAACGCCAACGCCACTGCCACGGGGAGCGTGCCGGCCACCGGGGCCGGGACGATTGTGGCGACGGCTTCTGCCACCGGTACATCCTCCCAGAAATCGACGAGCTCGGGTTCAGCGACGGGGTCGAGCGCTTCGGCTAGCTCGACTAGCGGCGCTGCGGTTGGGTTGAGTAAGAAGGCGGTTGGGGTTGTTGCATTGTTGGTGGCGGGCGTTGTTGGGGGTGGGTTGGTGTAGAAACGGGTATGTTTGTTGTGGAGAGGTGTATAAAATATGAGTGGGAGGGGAAAGGGAGAGGGGGGAGGATTTCGAGGTGCTCTTGGGACTGGGGCTGAGTGAAAGGGGATGATAGTTGAGTTGTGTCTTGAGTGGGCAATGTATTGTAGTTAAATTCATCACTGGACTAGAAATTTGAGAGTCTGAAACTCTATTAGTAGCCACGAGAAAGCACTTACACTTACGCTTCCCGTGAGGAGCCCTCTGGGATTCACCATCCTGCTGCTGTACGTAGTAGCCTAGATATGATCGCGGAGCACGTAGTGCTGAGCCTGAAGAAGTCTTCACAGACATTTATTATGCAGTTTTGAAGATTTATTTAGACTTTATAAGACCCTTTACACTGCCCCAGGACCATGTAAGACTCACACAAGACCTTCCACACCCTTCCAAACAGCTCAAATTTACAAAACCTCTGATATAACCACTAAGACTTATAAGGTCTTATATGTAGCTCTGAGATTCCCTATATAGTTACCACTGCAGGGGTTACAAGTTCTACCGTATAATTATAACTCCAAATAGAAGATATTAAGTTATCTTACAACATACTTTGCCCAGCAGGCCCTCCAGAAGGGAGTCTAGAAGGTTCAAATGTGATGGCTCCCCTCGCTGTAGATTCAGGCTATAGAGTTGAATCAAAATACAGAAGCGAAATATAGACTACGTGCCTCGCTTGCCTTGGTCTTCAGCCGGATCCATTACATTTTCGAAGGCCAGGATCTCGTAGGCTTCATGAGAGATACACAGTCACCTGCGCAACTGTGCCAGCCAAGGGTGTTCACCTTGGAGTATCTAACATGTAATTATATATCGCCTACTAGATCGAAGACTGCTAACGCTTCCAGCTAATCGTCGCAGTAACTAGTAGTATTACTGACCTGTGAAGCATATTCCCAACTTAGTTCGGCCTTGTGGTAGTACGACTGGAGTATCTGCCGAGCGAGCATTGTGTAGTAAGTACAGCTTCAGCTCAGAATTCATGTAATTCTTTACTGATGAGGCTATTCCGCGCAACCTCGCATGGCATAGTGCAGTATCTATCGCAGTGAAGTATCGAAATTGCAAATCACATGTCATGATGGGAGGAATGACTCGAAGGTTAGTTCATATGATCTGCCACTCACCTTCATACGGGATCACGTGTCAGGGGTCGAGGAACAGGCTTTTAGGACGCGTGAATCTCACCAATCATAAACCTTGGTTTTTCGCATCTTACCACTACTCCGTACCTTAGTACCAATTCATATATTATAGGTACCTATTCCTTATCAGTCACAGCTTGACTTTTGGACTGTCACTTTCTTCCGCATTTATTACCAACGAACAGCACTTCTAGCTGCGAACACATTCTAAGCGTCTTTGGCCTCAAGTAAAAAATGTTCTTATGCTGACGGATATATAATGCGTCAAATGGGGTCAACGCGCCCTTCCGTCTGAAGCATCCACCTTGCAGTTCATCTCGCAACACACATCTACCCCATCCCAAAAGTTCATTGCGCGTCTACTCACTCGGGGAGGACGTACATTGTCATGGAAAGAATCAAGGGAGATATGGTTAGCCACGGCTGGGTAAGATGAAGAAAAAAGTCGAAAGCCAGGCTACTTACCCAACTCACAAAAATAATCGGCGAGATGCGAGAACCGCAGCTTCACAAGGTATTAGGATTGCCGAACTCCAGGGGCCGATGATCTGGGCTTCGGGCCTTCCGATACCATGGAGGAGTTCCATCGGAATATACGCATGGGAATAGATTTCGATCCTGACCAGGAAGCTGTTGCCCAAGGACTTATCAAAATGTATCAGACCAAAACTTGGCCTCTAGTGCTCACTCCTGGTGATCTCAACAGTCTGAATATTCTTGTTCGCGATGACAATATTGTTGGTATTATTGACTGGGAGACTGGCAGGTTGGTATCCGGCATATTGAGAGTACATATCTGCCCATCAAGTCTACCTACGAAATCCTTTCTGCTTCCATGGGATTCACAGATCTTTCATGTGAGCATTACACTCACCTCATTAGAGCTGCGGCTGTCATACTAGAAGCTTCCTTCTTTGAATAGCTTCTTGCACAACCGAGCACAGGAGTGGGAAAGCAGACACTGCTGGAAGGATGCAGGTCGACCTTCACCCTAAGAAGTGCAAGCCAGCCGTAGAACTAGTTTACCACCCTACAAAGGTGCAATGGGCAAAGGTGCAGGAGGTTCGGCAGGTGATAAGACAGATACTTGAGAGGACTACCTGAATTAGCTGTAAACTTCCTCTAGACCACCGTGCGGCGTCGTCTACAATACTTGGCGCTGGGCAGATGCTCCATGACACTACATCACGGAGCAAATCAAGGCTCGTTCTTGAAGCACAGTCTGTCATGAAGACTGAAATCTTTCATCAGAGCGGATGGATAGAGAGAGTGCGTGTTGTGTTTGGTCGCCATGCCGGTGCTATGGAGCCTTATAAGGCGAGATAAGCCTGAGGATCTTAATTACCAGAACCGCTTCTATTCGCGTAGCTTCCCTTGCAATTCGAGGCAAGGAGATGAGGTCAGCATGCCATATGTTCGAGGACGCGATATGTTGAGCTGGAAGAAAAGTCTGATCTGCCCAAAGTCAGTATGGTGACTTTTACACAAAATTTTTATCTCAGTCTGTCATACTTACCGCTGTATCACGTTGATGGGCGGCATCGAATGACAGTCAGTGACTAAATGCCTGCCTTAACTACCTCCGAAGCAGAGTCCCGGGACTTTTACTTCTTTCATCCTCCAACCCACTTCTCCCAGATCGGTTCATTTCAAACCACTTAATACAAAAGTACTCAAACCTCTCCAAGAACTCCTATCCTCCTCTTCTCAAACCTCGAAATCAAACCAAGATATCGAATCAAGATGTCAAACCACACCTCACCTCTTCAGCCACACCTCTCCAACCAAGTCATCAAGTCACTCCTCCAACCCCTCTTCAAGCAAATCCCATCTCAACCTCTTTCCTCAACCAACCAGCAAGCAGACATGCCTGCTCACGCTATCTTCGAAATCTACGAGATCCTGGAGAAAATCCTCCTCTACACCGACATGCGCACGGTCATTGCCTCCTGCCAGCGAGTCAACCGCTACTGGCACGCGCTCATCTGCTCCTCCTCCCCACTGCAGGAAGCCCTCTTCTTCAAACCTTGTAAAGAGCTCGCGCTCCCCGGCGTGCTGAAAATCCGTAACCCACTGATCGACGAGTTCATCTGGAAGCAATACTTCATACGTCGTCCGCGCGCATGGCAAGGTCCCAGGCCCAGATACCGAGATCTGTATGACAACGCCATCATCACACACAAGAACCGCGACAAGAACCAAAAGAAAGAAAAGCGGCAGCTACAGCTGCAGCTTCCAGCCCGCCTCACCAGAAAACAAGAAAAGGCCTGGCAGCGCCATGAAGCCAGCTGGAAGAGGATGCTCATCCACCAGCCCCCTTCACGCGAGATGGGACTCCTCGAGACATTTCATCCCGACTGGTTATTGTACGCGAGTTGTCGGTTCTCGCGGTTGGGGTTCCTGCAGATTTCCAACACCAGCGGTAACTTTCAGTCAAATGACGAGCGCTCCCAGACCAGAGGATACTTGCGTCTTGGTCATCTGGCTGCCGGATGTGCGGATGGCACGCTTCGGGCTGGGTCTCTGCCTTTGGTGTTCTGGAACGCGGAAAGTCGCGAACGACCCTCGCATAAATTGGAAGTTGAACGCTGGATTACCGAGGCGGAGTATGCCATGGGATGCGAGGTGGTGGTCTTTTGTCGCCAGTCTGTGCAAATTCCCAAGCCGACTGTGCCTGCTGATGGCGATGAGAGCGATGCAAATCGCAACGGCAATGGTTTGAACGACCGTCTTCCTGGTCTGCAGGCCTGGTTTCAGGAATTGGGTTGTCCTCGAAAAATCAGAGGAAAGAATCGAGTCGCTATGTGGAAGTTGTTGGAAAAATAGCCTGTTTTGATGTCCGAATGATTAGTTGGACGATTTTTGCTGCTGAAGATGGTGTATCTTCTCTAGATCTTGTACTTAAGGATGAAGTAAAAAGTTGTGAGTTTTGAAATCATTTTTGTCTCCGCATGTGGTTTGTGCTTGTGATGTATGAGTTCATGTGGGTCTTGAAATTGATCAATGATCAACTGTTGAAGTCTATCCTAGCTCTCGTTCAAGCGCCAGCTCGTAAATTCCTCCCCATTTTCATTGTTGCAAACATAGTAACTGTCTTGGGTTCGATGCTCTCTGTCTTTCGCCAAACCATGATCTTCCTTGTATGACTGATATGCATAGGCCTCCTTCCTGACCTCACGTTTCGTTTCCTCACGCCCCTGTGTGGTCTCGAGCACGGCGCTTCGGAATTTGTGTCTGTGGACACCACTCAAGAACAGAGCCTAGATTTGTTCTCTCAACCTTCACATTAGGCATGCAACAGACTTCAGGAGTTTCGGGGTTGGAAATTACTCCTGATGTAAATCTCCTAAGGACTGAGAAACCATACCACGGGTATCGCGGAGGACAGAGCCGACGAAATCTTTGCACTTGCACGAACAGAGAATTGCCGACCCACTTTCTGTGAGTCGAATTTCTCAAAGGCTCAGTAGGTCTGGGGGCTTTTTCTGGCTCGCTGCATGACTTTTTCTAGTGCTCGATCAGTATGAACCGCCACAGACCAGTTTCTTTTCAGCATTTGGCACGAGCTTTCCCCAGATCATGTATATTGTCCGGAAGGCAAGTAGGGTAATATGACAAGAACTTGTCGTTTGTTTTCCCGGAAGGTCTGTCCGCTTGTGTATGACAGGCTTTCGCCATGCTCACTGCAGCGCTCCACTCTTCTAAAGAGGTTGTCATACGGCCGTCCCCCGCAAATTCATAACCTTGGTAGTCACACTGGAGGTGGCGACTGGGAATGAAAGGGTAGAGGTGCACGTTTTTGTCCCCTAACGGCAGATTCTCATCAGACGTCGATCATCCTCTGAACCTCTGAAGAGCGAGACTCGAGGCAGGAGAATTGTGTAAGACGGAACTCGCAGGCTGCATTGGAGATGAGGAATTGGATCCATGGAACACTAGCTGGCTGGTAGAATCCTCCTATACCAAGATCAGCACTCCATCCGCGTGGAAGACTCGAACTCTATATGAGGAGAATGATGAAGCATGTAAGAACAGGAGTTGGGTATCGAGAAGAGATTATAAAGAGATTGAGGTGAGCAGGAAGGTCGATGGAGGGGGGAAGGGAAGGCGCGACAGTAAGCTTCGGCATATTCTACAAGCTTGTAGATTCACCCTTCGTCTGCCTTTGAGGCATCTTTTGTTTCGTCTTGTTTTTTTGATGTCAGCTATTGTCTGGTTCAAGATAGGCTGTCGTGCTTGAGTTGGTCTTTTAGTAATGGGTAGTCTGACTTGGCCCTTGGTGGCCTGTCCGCAAGATGTCTATTCTTAACCTAGTGTTAGAGATCTGAGCTTTGATCCCAGATCGTAAGCCGGGTTTGAAACATTCCCTGCATGACATAAGGCCTCCTCTTTCATGTTATGCAACGAGCTACAGGGGCGCCGCACGGTGGCGTTTGCCAGTAGCCACGGGAGAATTTGCTGGTTTTCCCCGACTGCAGGTGACCGCGAACGAAGACGCTTTTGGCTGAGAATTATCCGGTTCAAGGAGCATCTCGTCGCTGAGTGATGTAAGAATTGACAGAATGGTTTATCCACAGTTGAAGCCTGACAATCGCAAGTGAGAAATGGATTCGCGGCTTGGCATAAGCTCTGAGAGGAAGTACCCTTTTGAAAAACCCCACTGCACAATTCCTCCGGTCTGGAATCTCCGCAGTGTCGATAGGCAACAATGGATATCGTGTAGATGTCCCGGGTTCAGAGGTGGAAGAAATCACCAGTTGCTTATTCTGGTAAGTGAACTCGGACATGCCTCAGTCCAAGATCCCAGGGAGACTCCATGCCAAGTGATTTTGTGTCATTCGTGCCATATTTGGTATCGTGTGTTCGAATTGATACGAAGAACCACTCTGCCCAGCATCCTCCCCGCCACAGCAGTCTTGGTGGACGCATCCGTCAGAGTTTCACCTACATGAGTCTGCCCTGAGTGATTACTACTGCTGTATGTACAATATGGCATTGGTGGTTCGGGCCCAAATGTGATGGACTACGGGTTTATATGTTGTGGGAAGAAGAGGTACGCTTCTGGCCAAGATGTCCATGAATTTCAGCGTCTAGCATCAGAGCCATTAAGCTTAAGTTCTCAGTCTAGCAAGTACAGCTGGCATTGCAACATGACTGTGCCCGTTGTTGGTCGATCGCTGGCACTTGGGATGCCCTAAGTGGATCTCTTCAACTTGGACCGTGGGGCGCGTGAGGCTATGAGGCCACCATCTCCGCACCTGGACCCTGAGACATCTGCACTTACTCTTAATGTGCACTGGAGCATGCTTCGTCTAATTCTCTATTCGCCAGGCACCTATCGGGAGCACATATTATCAGACTTACCATGGGAGGCGCTAGGGGGCTTCCCCCAGTCTTATCAAGATGGGCTTTATACGACTTACAAAATCTGTCTATACATTGGCATCTACCCGCCGACTGACGTTGTTCGCATTGGTAATTCTGGCCTGGCTTCTCTGCTCTCTTCTTCCTAGTCTCAACCTTCACGCCAACCAACAAGCATTCAGAGCAACAGGTCGAAACGAGAACAGAGCCCGATTCCTGTAAATCTCCCCGTTCCGACGCAATCCGGACTTTGAATACGAGAAGAAACTTGCAAATGCTTTGCAGGAGCTCGAGCAAACCGTGCTCGACCAGCCTGGAGTCGATAATGTGGCAGAAAACAAGATATCGCAGATAGCCAAGGACGAGAGCCAACGAGGGCCGGATACAGCATATCTTCAGGAGCGCAACTCGGGCTGGGCATATACTGTAAGTATCCCATTGCGACACACCCAAATGCACTGGCTAAAGACATAGGAGTTCATTGAAAGTAGATCAGACCCAAGTCCGGAAATTATCAAATCTGTCGTATCTCGTGGGTAGTAACTTTTCATCGAAGCTTATTCGGACAGTAGAATATTGTCTGCCTGACGCAGGTACCTGAGCTTGGGGTAACGCCCATACAGACCCAACTGAAAAGACTGAAAGCATACGGCGCCATGGGAGAGGGACGCTAATCCTAAATCATAGAGCACATGGTCTTCAGTCGCTATTAGTCCCATTCATTTTATTGCGAACTGGTAACATTAGGGTTACTTGAAAAGACGAAATGGTACCTGCAACAGTTTCGCCCGCAAGAACCACAAATCCAGTGAAGAGCGTTATATGTACAGAGAGTGAACAAACAAAAATCCATTTCCATGCCGGTCCAAACCCATGGATAATGCGAGAAAGATGCTTTGTGCGCCAGAGGGAAGAGATCTGTAAGACAAAATAAAAAAAAAGAAAAAAAAAAAAGAAAAGGGCGATGGAAAAAAGGGAAACCGTTCTAATACAACGTGAACAAATAGAAGTGAAGCAACAAAATCAACCTCTCCCGCTTTGGTGAAAACAGGCCATACACATCATATGGATTCTCGAACGCATGATCGGATCAAAGTCGTCGTCTCGGCTCGAGTTGCTAAAATACAAGTGGATAGACTGGTCGGGCGTCTACAGGAATGCCTTCCTTGCCACCTATAGGATCATTAGTAATTTGAGCAAAACATGTGAGTTGTAATGGCGGACACGTACAGCCCAAGTTCCCGCGATACCGGCCACAATGCCGCCGGAGATGAGCATGGGCTTCAAGCCGCGAGTACTCTTGAACACCATACCACTCAAAGCACCGGCGACAATGCTGTTGGCCGCGTCGTGTTTTCCACGGGCATATCCGAGACCTGAGTTGAAGCCGTTGTATACCATCGCCACCACACCGGCCGAGTTTCCGAGGAAGGGTCCTCTTCTTGTGATCGAGTTCAGGACACCGTTGAGGCGGATCTTCGGGGGTGCCGTTACCGGTGTCTTCCTGAGACCCTCCGCCAGACCCCATGCACCTCCGATTGTCAAGCCAGCAAGATAGGTGGTACCAGTTCCGTAACAGAGATCGTCGGACCATCCGCGGGAGGGCAGCACCGAGCGGTCACCGGGCAGTTGATCGAGGGCGGAGTCTTCGAGGGAGATGTAGTCGAGGGTATCTTGGTTCAAGCCAGCAAGAGGATGAAGCTGAGTAGGATCGGGAATGGAGATTTCGGAGAGGAAAGAGGTAGCATCTTGCGCAGTAGTAGGATCGAAGGCGCCGGGACCCTTGTCCTGTTTGCGACCACTGAGCGAATCCCAGATAGACATGTTTGGAGCGGGGGACGGTGAATATATTATAAAGAATACAGAAGATGAAGAAGACGAAAAGGGAAGGAGAGAGAAAAGGAGTCACTGGCCAGTGGGGTAGTACTTGGCTGGGAGGGAGGAAGGTCTTTTGGTCGCGAGGAAGAACTCGACTGAGCTTCTGACAGATTGGTGAACTTGCGGATACAAAAACTTCAGCCCCGTGACTCGGCGTGACGGAATTCCACTCCTCAAAACCAACCTTCATCCGCCTTCCACCGCCTTCCCTTCCGGAACTTTTTGATTTTCGCCCGGGAAAAAGACGGGAATGGAAAAATGGTTATACCGACGCTAAGCTGGATTCGGAGACCCGCTCTCGAAAATCCACCAGAGGCAAAAAAGTCATTTGCTCAGGAACGCGGGGATCGAGATAATCGATAATATTATCTAGATTTGAAGTTGAATTGTCTTTGTCGGAGGTGGTTGCATTTGCCCGGATATGCGATCTCCTTAGAAGACTGTCCATGGAAGGGAAAGCAAATTCTGCGGGCCCAATGGCCGCCGCACTCATAGAGATGGAGCCCATCGCGCAGCAGATGCACATCTTGCCGGAAGACACCCTCAAGCAGATCGGCAAGGGTGCCTTGGTGAAATTCACTCAGGCATGCGATGACACCGAGTAAGACCTCTATTCATGTCGTCCACTATTGCGTCTATTTTGCCTTTAATAGTGCCTTGTGCTTCGTGTGTGTGAATTACGTCCTAACATCCATAAAAGGAAAGTGAGCCGGGTCTATCATAATCTATTAGACACTTATTCAACTGCATCTCTGTCGCATTCTCATACCACCGCCGCTTGTAATGCGCTCAGCGCCTTCTTAGATGCTGCTCTTGTTTCCCATCATGACTCCACAAGGCAACTTGTGTATTCCGACGAGACCTGGTTGTCTGTCTTCGAGGTCTTTATGACTCGATACAAAGATGCCAAGCCTAAGCCCATGAAGCAGGTCATGGAGTCCTTGGTCCTGCTCCTGGCTAAGACCCGCAAGCAATTTGATAGAAGCTCACTTCAAAAGAAAATCGTCGAGCTCACGATCCCTAGTATCCTACTAGGCGAACCTCGCGCTCGTCTCAAAGCTTCTTTCGCCTCGCTGGAGATGATCGTTCGCAAGAATGCAATTGCCCCTTCAGAGCTAATCTCAATCCTCGACCAGTGGCTCCATACAAACCAAGAAAGCTGGATCGCTATGTACCAGGCTGATTGCGAGGCTCTTTCGATTGACGTCTTGCCCTACATCCACAGTGCCGCAGGACAAGACACATCGAGAACGACAGTTGAGATTTTTATCCTCGGCTTATTGGCACGCGCCACCAAACCGGAGCTTGCAGCCTCGTCTGGTGATCTCATGGCAGCTTTCCTTCAGAAGATCAAGGCTACACCGGGACTTAGTCACCTGCTTTCCATCTGGGTGGCACCTGTTCGACATGTCACACTGAGAACTCTTGATGATCTGGAGTACATGTCGAATTACATTCTGCAGCCTTGTTTCGAGGTAGACGCAAACGGTTTTAGAGATTTCATCGAGAAGTTTCCTCTTCAAAGTCTGCTCGCTGGTGACATGAGCGATGCCCCTATCGCCGATTTCATGGTCTTGTTTGCTTCTTTGCAGGTAGGCAAGAAGATTGGACTCGTTCATGAAGATCGTAAGTCCACATCTTTTTCCATGTCCCCATGTCCTCGCTCACCGTTCACAGATTATGCTGGCAAGCCCAGCTCCACCGCTGCTGACGCCGACCGCGCCCTTGTGTTGAAGAGTGAGGTGATTGGACAATTTCTTTTCCACCATGATATGACCATCAGGATAGCGACTTTGTCGTTGTTGATTAGTGCACCCTCGTCGACCAAGGCCGTCTCATCCGCCACGATGAGGGCCATCGTGAACGGACTGCCATCTCTGCACTGCGAATCGGAGTCTTATTCAAGAGGAGAGGTATTGAGCCTGATTCGTAAACTGGTTGTCCGTTTGAAAGGTGGAATTCTGGAGGATCAAGACAGATTGAAGGGTGAGAAGGCCGCCGCAAAGAAAAGCACTCAGCATGACTTTTCCGGTACCTCTGTCACCGGGAAATGCTTGGCTGAGTACTTCAGCTTCCTCAAGGCTGACTTACGACCCACGGCTTCATACCCACGCCATATTGCTGCGCTGAAAACCCTCATTTTCTTTATCGAATCCGGGCTGGATTCACGATTCAGCGCTACGGATAACAACAAATCTCGTTGGGCCTGCAATATGAACATTTTCGAGCCCACTTTGCTCCGGCTACTGGTCGACCTTCTACTTGACCCATTTGAGGAAGTGCGCGCGACGTCTCTTTATCTGCTGAACTTGTTCCCGCGGGAAGTTCTTTTCAGCATCGACTCGCAACCGCAGGGCGATCTGCAGACAGGCGAACCTCAAATCATTGATGGTTTGTCAAAGGCAGAACAGCTGGCAAGCAACACTAGCAGGGCTGATTATGCAGATACTGTTGCTCGTCTTTACCACATACTCTTTTGCTCTGCAGCCTTGGAAGATAAACCCACTTCTGCACCGTGGTGGGAAGCCAAGTCCACAGTGGTCGAGTATCTCCTAACCAAGCTAGAGCAGAAACTCTCCTCCGCGGGCGGTCTTTTCAACTCCTCTATGCGTGATGCGCCTCTGCACGGCCACATCTCGGCGCTAAGGTGAATTATATCTGCCTATCTTGGCCGGTTTCTAGCTAATTCAAGATCCAGGTATATTGTCGCAACACCAAATTTCTATTCGTTGGTATCCGATAAGACCACAAACTATGACAAGTGGAGGAGGTACCACGTCAGGATCGTGCACGTCTGTGACCGGATTTGGAATGAAGTTCGGCCTGTCCTGTGCATCGACTCTCCAGAGGGTCATACGGACGAGCCAATTGAGGATTTAGGTGTCGGGCCCAAGGACATTCTTTCCTATTCTTGGCGCGCACTTCGCGAATCAAGGTATGGGTTTCTTTGATGGCTTGAGGCACGATTCTGACTTGTACAGTCTCCTCCTTCATGCCACACTCTCCAACAAATCGTACAGCCCCCCAGGTGACAATGGATTAACCGAACAACATTTCGACAACTTGGGAAGTCTCAGCTTTGTCCAGCTGGCTGAGCTCCGACACAGAGGTGCATTCTCGACGGTGTCGCAGACGTTCGCGACCTGCTGCCAACGCTGCGCCCAATCGAGCGATCCAGCGATATCTGAGTTGCCTCATCGATTCTATCAGGTAATATCTGGTCTTGGTCTATTGGAGTCAATGTCATGCTCACCATTTCCCATAGGAGGCCAAGAAAACTATCTTCGAATCGGCATCCAAGCTCACGCGTCGTTCAGCTGGTCTTCCCGCGCTGGTTGTGGGAATCCTGTCGTCGAAGCCAGGCGGGCCACTCTTCCAGCAGGTTATACAAGAGCTCCACGATATTTCCCACCTCCCTGCAGAACAAGACAAAACTAGACAAGACACCCCATTGCCTCAGGTCCATGCTATGAACTGTCTCAAAGACATTTTCACCAACACCAAGCTCGGCCCTCATACTGAACCCTTCATCATGCCTGCGTTGCATTTGTCGGCTGAGCGTCTTGGTTCTCCCATGTGAGTGTCCCTTCTCAAGTATCGAGTCATAGGTGTCTGACAATTGCAGATGGGCTCTCCGCAACTCTGGTCTCATGTTGTTTCGGGCTCTCTTGACACGCATGTGTCGCACCGGCACCGGGCTGGGATTTGGTGGTGAATCTGGATCTGAGCCCGGCGCCAGAGTCTCCTTTCAGAAGTATCCTGGCTTGTTTGAACTTCTACCCACTCTCCTGAATCCGTCTGAGAAGAATAATTCTACTGATCAAAGCGACACGGCGATGGTCACCGAACGTGTTTTCCCGGCCTTGGAGCTGATTGCCGAGAAGGTACCTTATGTGACTGGCGTGGAAGACGAGATCTTGCGGGGCCTAGTCCGCGTACAGCTCAAGAGTCCCGTTTGGGGTATCAGGGAGCATGCGGCTCGGGTCTACGCGTCTTTGCTGCATCGCGCGGATATATTGACCAACATCAAGACCTTACTAAGTGTTGAGCGAGATACCAAGACGCAGGATTACCTCCATGGCGAAGCGTTGTGCATCAAATACTCTCTCCGTCGATTTGCATCTAGCTCGGACGCTTTTTGGAACGGTATGTTATTGCGCGTATGTGGTTCTCATGCCTTATGCTAATCGTGCATAGAGAACATCGATCGAGTTTGTTCCACGCTACGGGATGTCTTCGCCGCATCATTCCCTCTTGCGGAGTCTCCATTCATTGCGACCACGCTTCTGGAGATTTTGAGTGATACGGTAGAGAAGAGCATCGATTCGGGCTCTGAACGTAAGCTTGTTGCCACTTACACATATCAAACATAGCTAATCAGCATCGCAGACACGGTGGCTTTGACTATGGATTCTATGACCGTCAAATATGCCTTCCAGGATATCCTGGATTTCGTACTCGACTCATCACATCCATCCTGGAAATCTCTCAGCACCACCCGTGCTTCGTCCCTTCTCCGCCGGGCGATCTCGTGGGTCACAATGCTGCACATGCTTATCGCCGGCAAGGTCAATGATCTTGAACCCTTCGTTCGTACGGTATCGAACTTCGACCTCAATGCCGGCCAGTGGTTGTTGGAAAGAGTGCAAGAGATCTTCGGGCAGAGGGAGCAGTTTGGAAAGACGTTGATCGGTCTGTACTCTGCTGTTATTCTCGGAGACTACCCTGAAGAGGTCAAGGCGGTCGCCATTTCCTGCTTGGCATCGAAGCTGCAAGCAGTGTTTGACTTCCACAACGAAGCTCTTCCCCAGATTGATCTTCCATGGGGGGCATTGGAAGGCCAACTAAAGCATGGCTCGAGCCAGCACATCTGGAACCGGGATAGGTCTGACGCTGAACTACAACTGCATGGCAGTTTACTTGCTGCAAAGTCTATTGCTCTGAACAACCAGAGCTCTGAGAACGACATCAATGAGTGGACAACTCGCCTTCGCTTTGCGATGCGCGAAGAAACAGTAAGTTGATTCAACCCGATTCGCCTCGGTCACACATACTAATCAGTCATAGGAGTACACCACGCGACTCGCTGCGGTGCTCTCTGTGTCAGCGTTTGGCCGCATCCTGCGTCCTGCAGGCAAGGCACCACTTACCGACAAGGCGTTCCTGGATATTTACCTGGTTCTTTACGACATGCTGAACGACGACGATGAAGAGCTGCGTGATCTTGCCGCCCCAACTGCTTCCTGGGTTCTTTCCTACTCTTCCGTGTCCCCGTCCAAGGCCGTCGCTCTGTCACCGTCAAATGCTAGCGAGCTTCTGTCCGCTTTCATCGCCCAAAGTTACCACAACTCGCAGCGCCTTCGTAAGAAGGCTGTCGCCTATATCGTTGGCTCCGACTCCCGGATCAGTACCTCCGCCGCTCAGTTTGTGCCTGTCTCCACGACCCTTTCCAACCTGCGCAAGGAAAGCACAATCTTGTTTGAGGAGGAGAAGCAGAATCTGTTCATCGACGACGTCCGTGAAGTTGATGTTTGGACCACGCAGCTGGTCCGCTTGAAGGAAGCGGCGTACGACCAAGCCTCGATCCAGGCACTTTACACATGGGTGTCGGAGGGGCTATCGTGCTTTGGAGATGTCTTTGCAAATCCCGCTGAAAAGGACGGACTGTTGGGCTGGGCGTCCAAGCCTGAAACATTCACCTTGGGCGTACGTTTGCTTGGGTTGGCGACTGTTGCGGTCTCTAAGGATTCTGCCGTCTCTGGACTTTTGGGACAGGAGCGCGTCACTGAGCTGAAGGAGAAGCTTCAGGCTTTGCTTGCGCACGGCAAAACATCTTTGATTCATGATGATTGGATCTCGCGGATTCAAGAGGCATTGGATTCCTTATGATAGCGTGTTGCTTAGAGGTTTAGATAAAATACAGCGGAGGGTGTTGGGTGGTTGTATCAATAACGATTCACTTGCACGAACGACGACTTTCCAATAAGAGATTTCACGAACTAATTCTCATAATTGCTTCCTAGCTCACTGCCATGGCAATCCCCACTCGATCAATGTTCACCCTTCCTTTCACTCATCACAAAACAGGGTTCACTCATGTGTTTCTACAATGTGGCTCGACCTCCAACTGCACCCAACATAGCTAATCTACTCGTACGTTCACACATGGATATTCCCAGCTTCGTACAGCTAAGGAGACTCACAGCATCCACAACACAACCGGAGCCCAAATGACCGGCAATATCGTGATTGTCGTCATCCTCCTCACACTCATCCTCACCATCATCATCGGCGCCTACCTCTTCAGTGTCTGGTGGTCCCGACATTTCCGTGACCGGTCAGTGCGACGCCGCGAAGACGGGCACCGACTCGTCACTCTCACCCGTTCCAACGTCCGAGCAGCCGACGAGAATCGCTGGGTCGAGGTGCGAGTCCGAGAGCCCGGTAGACGCACCTCAAAGCAGACGAAACCCCCGCAGCAGGCTACACAGAATCCTGCCTCATGGCCTCAACACGAGCGCGTCGAGCAGCATCAGCATCATCAGCAGACGCAGCAGCCCGTACCAGAGCGCAGGGTGGAATCTCGCAACAACAATGACACTCACTGGCTTGCGTACGCCAATGGCAATAATGATGAACAGGATAATCAACCTCCGGCTACTTTCCACCCTTCCCCCGCTGCTGCTCCTGCGTCACCCCAGCATGGAAACAATTGGGAACAAGAGCCGTGGCCTACTTCCCCCGCACAAGATCCGAACCGGACACAGAAGGTGGAGGATCTGAGAAGTTCGCTGCAGCAGGTGTTTGCAGAAAATAGGAATTCGAAAGCTGGGAGTAAGGCTGGTTCGAAAAACGAATGGCCAGGCTACGGTGACAACATCAACAAACACGACAATAACAACAACTACTACTACGGCGGCAACAATGATAACACGGCTAATGATGATGCGGGGCAGTGGTGAGTTGTGTCGTATGTAAAGGAAGACCAGTGGCTGATTCGGGGGATGGATCCTGTACTTACTATGGAAATACCTCGTAGTACATAAGTGGTGTATGACGGAAATGGTCTCTGCGGCCCTCCGAAGTCGGTCAGTGACGTTTGATCCCCGCGACTCTCCAGGCGGTGACTTTCCTGCCGCCGACTCCATCCATCCCAACTGCTACTTCTTCGCTTTCCCTCTCGTTGCTCCTGTCTCTTACCGTTCAATTTATCTGAAAGCTGGCTCAGGCCTTTTTAATTACTTGGCAATAGCAATCTCGCATTCTATGACCCTCGTCCCTCTCTCTGTTCGCTGAAGAATAGCAAGGCTGCGCTGACCAGCCTCCCTCCCCCACCGGAACACCATGTGGAACGACGAGGATAACAACCCGTACGGCGCATTCGACACCGAGGCGCATCTCTCGGAGTCTCTGCACTCGGCCAACCTCTCCCCTCGTATAGACTCCTTGTCTTAATTTTCCATCGCTGTTGCGCGCATCGCTAACCTGCTCCAAGCTCTCTACGACCGCGAATACACCCCTCCCTCTCCCTCCAGCCGATCGTCCACCCAAGACCCTCCCGATTTCCTGTCGCAACAGCAGGACCTGAGCGATGAGGATGATCACGGCGCCTACACCACTCAGCACACCGGTCAAGGGTACATGCGCAAGAGCGTCTACGACAGCCGGATCGAGCAGATCTTGTACGAGAATCCCGACATGCCGATCCTCATCACCGACGCGGGAAAGAACCACGAGGGCGGAGGCAGCTTCATCGTCTATACGATACGCACGGGTGTATGCAGTGCCTACTGTTCGTCATTTACGATCAATGCTGATCACATGCAGGATCTCGAGGTTCGAAGACGATATTCCGAATTCGCATCGCTCCGTCAAACCCTCGTCAACCTACATCCTACTCTCGTCGTTCCGCCCATTCCGGAGAAACACACCATGGCAGACTACGCCGCCAAACCCACCAAAGCCAAGGAAGACACGGCAATCATCGATCTTCGGAAACGAATGCTGGCCGTGTTTCTGAATCGGTGTCGTCGAATGAAGGAGATTCGCGAAGATGGCGTGTGGTGGAGGTTCCTAGACCCCAATGTTAGCTGGGTAGGTTGCCGCTGTGCCGCTCCCGTGTGATGCATACTGATCATAGCCTCAGAGCGAAGTCCTCCATTCCCACCCCGCATCTTCGGTTCCGAAAAACAACCTCAAAGCCCCTCCCCTCGACCCCGCGAACCCTACCCCTGCTCATGCCTGGCTTCCAGTGCCCTCGGCCTCGGCGAAGCTCAAGTCGGCGTCTGGCACTGCGCCGTCCGGTACCCCGAACGATACGCCCAATCAGGAAGTGCTGGGCCGATTCCCACCGGAGTCTCGGAAATTGAGCGAGAAAGAGCTGGATCCTTACTTCATCAACTTCGAAGCCTCTACCCGCGAGCTCGAGCTGCTTCTGCAGGGTAACATTGAAAAGGTCAACCGTCGAACTCTTGCTCACCTGTCCTCCTTATCGGCGGATCTAATGGAGCTTGGAGCACGGTACAATGGTTTCTCTTTGTCGGAGCAATCCCCGACCGTGGCAGCGGCTATTGAACGAGTCGGCCAGGCAGCTGACACGTCCTATATTGAGACGGAGGAGCTGTCGGCTGCCCTGAGTGCTAGCTTCGCGGAGCCCATGCGGGAAAGCGCACAATTCGCCAGCGTGGTGCGCAGCGTGTTGCGGTATCGGGTTCTGAAGCGCGTGCAGGAGGAGATGACCCGAGATGAATTGGCCAAGAAGAAAGCATTGCTCGAATCACTCGAGCGCAGTGAGACAGAGGCTCAACGGATCGAGCAATACCTGAATCGCTCCTCCCCCCAGGGCACCACCACAAGGACTCAACGATCTCTGTCCACCTCGTCGGCCGCTAGTGCTCCCGGGGGGCCTGAGTCCGAGGGCCGTCCTGGCAGCCACGAGGACAATGCCTCGGTGGACTCGGACTTTCCCCCTACGCATGGCGAGTCAATCAGCTCCCATCCCTCCGCACCCCAAGCCGCCGCCCACCGCCGTCCGGACTTCGGGCCGTCGTCGCCGCCTGCGCACCGCAAGACGTCTAGTGGCACCTTTGTGGCCAACAAGATTTTCGGTCGTATCAGCCATGCGGTGCATGGGTTTGTGGATGTGGATCCCGAGCGAACCCGTCGCGACCAAATAGGGAAGACGAAAGAGAGTTTGCAACAGGTCTGGACACACGATGTATGGCACGAATTGTTACTGATGGTTTACAGCTTGAACAAGCTCTGACGGTGTCGGAGAAAGACGTCAAAGATGCGAGTGCCGGGGTGTTGCAGGATCTGAAACGCTTCCAGAAAGACAAAGAGATAGATCTTCGTCGGTACATGGTAGGTTGAGTGGATCGAAATGGGAAGAAATCCGGCTGACAATGTTGTGAATAGGTTGCCTATGCGCGGTGTCACTTGGACTGGGCGCGCAAGAACTTGGAGACTTGGACAGAGGCGAAAGATGAGGTGGAAAAAATTGAAGTGCGGTAGTTCATGGTGTTGGTTGGGGCAGAGTTACGTTGCGACTGGAAGCGCTGGGCGTTGGTGTTCAATTTAGAAATAGGGATGGCGATGATTGTATGGGAATTACGTAGTATGCTCTTCGTTGCATTCGGCTCCACCGCTCGGGCAATACTATACTATATTAATCTTATTTTCCCCATGGCCTGCAGAACTGGAGTTAACATCAACCACCACTGCTGAGTAGTCTGGTAGCCCCAATGCACAAAGTCTGGCAATGATCACCCGCTGGCAGTGCAGATCGAGAAAAAAGTCCAACCAACCCATGTGGTACGTGCAGGAATTGTCCCGAGAACCAATGGCGACACAAAGGCTGACCATCACGGCAGATGCTGTGCTCCGATGGGAGAGACTAGAATGCTTAATTAGCATTACTCGATCACATTAAGCTAGTTACCACCATTACAGTTTCGATTGTTGCACCGTCTGGCGTTCATCGGTGGCATATCGGCCAATTCAGGGTCGCACCTTGCACCTGGCACATATAGCTAGCCAGCAGCATCAGCAGCAGCAGTTACTAAGGTGCAGACTCTGTTCTATTCTGATCTGCACCACGTCAGCTGCTGCTCAAGATCAATGAGTGCAATGTGCAATAAACTTGCAAGATGAACACCACCGTCCCCCGGCCACGCCTCTTAAGCAGGGGCTCGACATACTCGGAATTCGACGAGGAGCGGAGCAATAGACCACCACCACCACGGTTCCTCTCGCGCTTCTCTGTACGCCAGACCATCCGCAGTCTGGCTGTCTTGACGGTACTTTTATTGCTCTTATACACCTTACGCGGCTCCTTTCGCTCCACGCCACCATTCCCAACCGACACAGCTGCTAGCAGCCAAGCCGATTCCACCACGAGCGACCACCGCCCTGAAGCCGAAGCCGAAGGTGAAGCAGAAGCATCACCTCCCCTCTACCCCTCCACCAACCCAACAGACCTTCACATCCACGACCCCAGCATCATCGTCACATACGCTTCCCCCGACTCGAAAACAAGAACATACTACGCCTACGGCTCCGGCCCACACATCCCGATCCACACCGCCCCCTCCCTCGCCGGGCCGTGGAAGCATGTCGGCACCGTCCTCACGCAAGACAGCCGCCTGCCGATCGGCGACCGCAAGGCCCCCTGGGCGCCGACCGTGCTCCACCACAACGGCACGTACTATTGCTACTACGCGACCAGCCACAGCGGGTGCCGCCGCAGCGCCATCGGGGTCGCAACCGCAGCGCACCCGGGCCCGGGGGCGTGGACGGACGGGGAGACCCCGATCGTTCGGTCCGGGGTTGGGAAGGGGAGTGCGTTGTATCCGTTAGATCGCGCGAATGCGATTGACGTGAGTGTTTTGGTGGTTCCCGAGGCAGCAGCTGAAGGGGAGAGCCAACCCAGAGAACAAGAAAAGCAGCACACTCCTCAGGACCCAACCCAAAACCAACCCCCAGACAACACAATCCCAGACAAGTATAACGCCTACATCACCTTCGGCTCCTTCTGGACCGGCATCTGGCAACTTCCATTAACACCCACCCTCCTCTCAACCGACTACACCGGCAACAGCGAAGTGCGCCACCTCGCCCACGAACCGCGCGCCATCCACCCCCCGAACAAAAAGTCCAACGGGCTCTGCGGCGACCCGACGGGCATGCATCCCGTGGAGGGGCCCTTCATCTCCTTCCGCGCGCCGTGGTATTATCTCTGGTTCAGCTGGGGGAAGTGCTGTGGGTTTCAAGCGGAGAAGTTGCCCAAGGCGGGGTTGGAGTATGTATTCCATTTTCTCTTTTCTCTCTATTCTCTCTATTTCTTCCCTTTCGGGGAGGTTAGCTCCTGCTTCAGGCTATGGGAATTGTACTGATGGTTTCATGGATGGGTATATAGGTATAGTATCCGCGTCGGCCGGTCGAAGAGTCCCCGGGGTCCGTTTGTCGATAAGAATGGAATCGATCTGGTTGCGGGCGGGGGCGAGATTGTCTACGCGTCAACCGGGGAGGTGTATGCGCCCGGCGGGCAGGGGATCTTGGTGCAGGAGGATGGGAAGGGAGGGGAGGAGGATGTGCTTTATTATCATTATCGTGAGTTTTTCCTGTTCCCTTGCGGGGCTACATACCCAGGACTAATAACTTCGAACAGTGAATAAGACAGTCGGGTATGACTTCCATGTAAGTTTTGGCTATCCCAATCATCTGGTGCTGATGCCTCAAGGGAATCCGGCAATGGGCTGGAGCAAGCAAGCAGAACTTACTAAAAGATGCATAGGACGCGCAGTTGGGATACAATATCTTGACGTATATTGATGGCTGGCCGGTTCCAGTCTAGATAAAGGGGTTTATTAGGGTGGCGCCGGGTGCTCGTTTCTTTTCCTGTGGATGAGAAGATAAATATAGACAGCGGCTCGTGTATGTGCGTGGACGAGGTCACTCTCTAATAGATAGACACACACGCGGCTTTTACTAAACTCTCTATGCTCCATACGGTTTTCTCGAAGTATGAACCCACACTTCGCCTGAAAGCTTCATGCTGCGTATGGCACCCCGAGAATATTGATCTATGTAAGCCCACCGAATTGGAATACTGGTGATGAACAAATCACCATTGAATCACTATTGCAATAACATAAAGAAACTTGTTGCCATGTTATCTAGCAAGCACCATTGACCGCTACGGCGACATCCTACACCAAACTCACCACCAAACCATCAGCAGTGACAACACCAAGCAAGGAACTCACTCTATCCTGCATCCATGCAACATAGTACAGACACGCAACAGCAGGAATAGGTTAAGTACAGTACAGTACAATCAATCAATCAATCACCTCTATCCAGCATCATCACGCCACATGCCATAAACCAATCCTTAGACCTCAGCACCATGAAGAGACATTTAGACAACTCCAGCGCCCTTTCCACGAGGCAAATCGATCCATCTATCACCGCAACCCAATAACCCGTGACCCCAACCCCCGAGGCGTAGCAATCATTGACCAACGCTCCAATGGCGAGATACAGTCTCCAGCACCATCACGATCACCATTAACCACCACCGTGCCCCCACCACCAGGGTAAGGAAGAGGACGAGCATGGCTTCTCGACAGATCCTGTTCCTCTGCAGCAGCAGAAGAATAAGCAACCATCCTCCCCTTCCCCATTCCCTTCCCTCTCCCAGCATGATCAACCTCAGTACCACCGCTGACTCCCCGGAACCCAGCATACCCAGAAGCAATCCCGGGGATATCCCCGGAAGCTAAGAAGCCCTTCCAGGACGTAAGACCATGGCCATGTCCATGCTCATGCGCAAAACCCACTGATCCCTCATCACCAACCACTTCTCCCTTCCCTTCTCCCTCCCCCAGCACTAACAAACTAGGCCCTAAATCCAGAATACTGATCTCACTATCCGTCAACGAGAGTTCGCGATGGCGCGGAGGAATGGTGATTGGGTATGGGGCTGTACTGCTGTTGCTGTTGCTGTTGCTGTTCCTCTTTCTTCGGGGGCTGTGGTGGTGAGGTTGGTCAGTGGGACCTGTGCTGCTGCTGTTGCTGCTCTTGGTAGTTGTTGTCATCGCGGGGTAGACTCGTTGCTGGTGAGTCGGAGTCGGAGTTGCTGTCGCTGTCGCTGTAGGAGTAGTGCTAGTACTAGTAGTAGTAGTACTACGACTAGCAGTAGTTCTTGGGTCGGTGGGAAGGTGTGTCAACATCTCCGGAGTGTGTTTGTGTTCATCAGCTTTGTAGCGGAGGGAAGAAGAAGATGAAGATGATGGCGGTGGTGGTGGTGGAGGATGAGAGGCGAGAGGCATCTTGCCTTCTTTCTCTCGGCTTTGTTGCTTGCTCTGATGTGTGCGGCGAGGGTGTGACGTGGTTGCTATTTTTCAGGTGTGTGTTTTGTGTTTCGAGTGATGATAGGGTGGTCGTCAGCTTCGAGTGGTGATCAATTGTATTCTTGGATCTGGTTCTTGATGCAACAGACCTCCACATGAGATGGAAAAGATAGAAGAGATGGATGAAAGAGCAATGAAGATCTTCCCAGAGATAGAGAGATATAAGAGCAGAAGATTCAGGGCCCAAGAGTGAAAGAGACGATGAGAAAAGCCAGGCTGTGAGCTGGTCCCGTGTGCCTGCCTGATCGGGTGATGAGAGAAGATGCTCTTTGTCATTCACTGTTCCTATTAACTACTCCTACTATGAATTCAACTGTTGACAACTTACCTACCACTGCTACTGCTACTATCTCCCAATTAAGTAGAAAGAATCTCTTCTTCGCAGGCTCATTATTGATCATCCTTTGTTTGATATACCCGGCCACGGAATGCTGTCTATCTATAGTACGCCCATTCAAAGGCCCCGGACGTTACCAGCTGACTGCAGCTCGTATACCGCAGATCACTTGAGGCTCTGTCAAGTTGATCAAGACACTGCAGGATTGGCAATCTCAGCTTGTACCCCGTCATGGCCATAGATTCTACCAATTAATCCATAACGCTGGCAAATATCATACACGGAGGTGCCACTCGCACTTCGTTCACAGTTACTCATATTGATCAACTGCAGCAACTGCTGCTCTACCATCACTTTCAGTCAGAAATAGCTTTTACCCAGGCAACACCCGTGCCCCAACAATCAAACAAATATAATGCAAGGACGGCTCTCCGCCATCCATCCCCGTAAATGCAATGCAGCCCCAGACCGTCCATCCATCCGTCCTAGCCTTGGCGAATTGCTTCCACCGCACCAGACTCGACCATGAGAAATCATCCACTTCGTTCCATGATATCGTATACCCCGTAATGGCCCAAGATTAACATTCGCCGGCCCTGGCGCTGTATAAAACACAGTGTATTGCTCGTTTCACATTTCCAAAAAAAGAACAAAGAAATTCCTGACGCGAGATCAGGGGAGAACTCGGTCTTCGTCGTTCACTTGCAACTCCACCACCGGCAAATCGTCCTCATCGTCCTCATCCCCATCACCACCGAATGGATGCAGCTCTTGGAACGGAGTTTCATCCATCGGAGTCCCCGGGAGGCCCAACCCACCTTCGGGACTATCTGTCAAGGCGGCCATCCGAAGGTCGGTATCACTGACGTCTCCCCCTCCGACTGCCTTATTACTGTCATCGTCATCGAGCAAATCATCATCAGAGGTGGATCCCCGTTGCGCTGCGGTCATCTGTAAAGGGCCGTGAGCATCCGAGATGTGACTGAACGACCACGAGGGCGGATCCACGTGGCGGAACGGGCTGGGTTGCGGTCCGTGTCCGAACGCCTCGTCTTCGAAATCCATACCTTCCAGTCGACCTGTTTTGTCCATGCTCCGCTCGCCATACGAGGGGCTGTTCGAATATTCCGGGGGCGAGTCCTCATCCCCGCTCTTCACTTGAGTTCCAGTTTGCAAACCACCATCTCCCGATTGGTGAGCTGCTCCGACTCCGGCTAATGCGCTCGACGACCCATTGCGGGAGGAGCCGCCGAGACGCCGACCTTCCCCCGACGGAGACGGCCCGCGCGACTCGCTTTGAGAGTCTGCCTCACTTCCGGGACGCGTCGACGCCTCGGTGATCTCCTCGAGAACCTTGCCGCCCAAGGGACGTTCGGACCGGCGGCGGTAGAACAAGAGGTAGGCCGAAGGGGTGACCACACTCTGAGGGTCGAGGGGTCTCGATACAGATGAATCTACATCACGTTAGCACTAACCCTACCAGATTCGAGTACATGTCGCGGCCTACCATTGTATTCGTTCCATTGACCCGTCATAAAGTTCTTAGCGTAGGCCGTGTAATGGCCTCCTCCGAGTCCACCATAGTGATTGTCCACGGCGAAAAGATCGTAGATAAGGCTCTTGCCTTCCTCAGGAGCCTCTACCCGACCGCTCATGTCAAGACCTTCCACCGGGAAGTCGACCAGGACATCAAGCTTGTCTCGGAAACCACGGCTGGCACTGAACCTCTTCAAGTGCATCACCAAGATGTCAGGTGTCTTCCAGAGTTCGAATTTCTTGCTGGCCCGGCGATGTTCCTTGCACCGGGGACAATACCACGCGTCGTTCTCGGAAAGGATCTCTTCCTTGTTGAATTCATCCAAGCACTCGTAGAGAGTGACGCCTCTCTTCTTGCGTGTCTGCCGGAGTGCTCGCTTCTTGGAAAGCTCGGGATCCGGATGTCTCTCGATGTTGGTCCAAGTCGGGCTACCCCGCAGAGAGTCTTTCCCGCTGCCACCTGAGAAAAGAGCATCGTAAGCGGCTTCCGTCCAGTCGACCACGATACCCTCACCCGGTCGAATCATGGGCGGGGTCGGGGTGGTAGGCTTGGGAGCCGGGCGTTTGGCATCAGTGAAGACGTCGGAGTCGCCGTCGGCACTTTCAGGGCTCTGTTTCCCGGAGATTTCCTCGTCCGATTTATTCGCGGCGATTTCTGGAGTATCTTCCGTCGGCTGGTGCAAGTCAGTGGACTTCTACTTATGATCAGATGTAAAGCTTAGTGAGACGTACCTCCTGCTTTGTCACCGCGGGTTTGGTCTTAATCCTGAAAGACATGCGGGGATATTCCTTGTGGTCATCGACCGATGAGAAGCCAAGCGGGACCACCTCATTCGACTTGATGATTTTCATCTCGAATAGGCTACGAAGATTGGCTGGAATGCCACCCTCGGGCTGAGCCGGCTTATCATCCTGGGCATCTTCCGCGTCGCGCATGGAGACATCGACGATTCCATCTTCCCCATCAACAGAAGAGGTCTTGATCTTGGAGTCGGCCGACTGTGCGTCGTCGTCGTTCATGACGACGGTGTCTGAATCTTCCTGGCTGGACTCTGCTTCGTTGACCTCATTGAGAAAATCACGTGTCGTCATGGAGGCGACTTGTGCGAGAACCTTGCGGAAAATAGCGTCGTAGTCGCCAAGCTCCTCCCTATTGATGACAACATAAGATGGCACGCCAAAGAGGGGTCGCATGGTATTCTTCGGGTTGTTCGACCTCGGCTTCTCATAACGGTTAAAGATAGGCACGAGCAACCGATCGGCTCTGGGAGAATCGAGCTTAGGGATCTCCTCATGCTCTGACCGGTTGAAAGAGAAGTAACTCTTCTGAGCCTTGTCCGGATTATAATTGGTGGGAACAGACTCTACTTCATAGATGGCAAGGTCATCACCATTGCTGATCTGGCATTCAGCGATGGAGATGGTGTTGTCAAACATCTTGTAGAACTTATTCTTGTAGATCTCCGACATGACCAGGCGTTGAGGATCAGAGCCCATTTTTTTAGCGACCAATTCCTTCAGAGACTTGATGCTGGCGTGCTTATCAATCTCCACATCCACAATGACTGGCTTTTTGTTGAGGGGGAAATAGAAGATTTCCTTGCTCCAAAGGTTCTCAATGGGGAGCTGAAGAGTGAGGTTGTTGAAAGGGTCAAAGATAATGCTGACCTTGTCGCAAACCGGGCAGACCAGAGTCGACTTGTACATACCAGCAAATAGATCTGTGATCACAGAGTCATTGCGGGCTTTATAGATGTCCCAGCATTTGTCTGCAAACTCCTTCAGCGCCGCTTTATCGTGAACCATGTCGTCCGTAGAGTCCGGTTTCTCAATATATGGCTTCTTCTGAATCCGGTTCAAGTCTTCCTGGAGACCATCGAGAAGGAAAAGAAGGAATTCCTGAGAATCCTGCTGTCCATATCCAGAGAATGCCGGACCATAGCGGCCAATAGTTTGCTTCAACTGCCGAGGAGCAAAGGAGGACTGGCCTGCCTCGTCGTAGATTTGGCGGAGCAGATTAGCATACGCTTTAGCCACGTCACCGTTGTGAGCTAGGGGATTGCTGGGATTGAGGTCTTTCTTGTACACGTCATCTAAAGATTGTCTGTCAGTACGCAAGTCTGGCTACTTTTTCTTGCTGAGTGCAAGCAACATACTCAAGAAGTAGTAGGTCAATTCCTCCACACTGCGGACACACTGCAGGGCAGAGTTCATGTAGCATGTGTTTCCAAGATTGCTGAGACCTGTGTTACCACGCGGTTTGCCATCCTTGCGTCTGCCCCTGATAGGCTCTGAAACTGGGGATGAGCGCCCACTAGTGGCAGGGCTCTTAGTCTTGATTTTGGTTGATACCTCATTCTTAACTTTTCCGGTTGGCACCCCAAGGCGGCTTAGTGTCTGCTTGGAAGCTTCAGACACCCAGTCGCCTTGTTTCCCAGGGAGCCGCTCCTCAAGTACTATGATATCACTACCGCCCAGGCCGGCAAGATCCAACGTCATACTACCGTTGTAGTTGGAATTGGAGGTTTGATCTCTAATGCCTTCCAGCAACTCCCGCTGGGATCCTTCGGCAAGGGAAAGAAACGTGTTGAGATCGAGGACGAGGCTACCTCCAGCATTGGGCGCAGTCGATGCAGAAGGCGCGGGGGAGGCTGTTCGAGAGGCGGCGGGGGTGACCGCAGCGGAGGTGGTGGTACTAGCGAGACCGTCCAGGACTCTCCAGACGCGGACTTTGGTCGCCATGTCGATTTTCGCGAGTTCTTTAGCATGCTTCAACCATTTCTGGAAGTTCGTGTGTCTGCTGGCAAGCGTTCGAACCGGAAGCATGTTCTTTTCCTTGAGTGATTTAGGAGTTGTTCCCGCGGACGGATTCGTGAGCTTAAGAATCGTGAAAATTGGAGGATTGATCTCGTATTGAATGTTCTCGTTCTCGCCGGCCGGTGAGGTATTGTGAGCGTAGCGGACAATGGCAGGAGACTGCTCCGCAAGCCCATACCACTGCATGATAAGGTCCCAGCCTCCTTGAGGTACAATCTCAAAGTCCTCGCCAAGCTGCAGACCGGGCCTGAGGGGAACAAACGGCTCCCCGTATTCGTCCTTGAAGCCTGCGTTAGCAGGATCGGTCACCAGGACAATATCCGAGTTGTCAACCGGGCCAATCTCTCCTTCAGCAGCATTCTTATCCGCCTGGTCCGCATGGGTAGAGCTTCGCGCGAACACCCGCTTTAACCACGACATAGACACCACATATCCTTTCTGCTTTTCCTGCATCGGCTGCATCATGTGCCTGGTCACTTGCGCGACCTGATCATCGAAGGATGGAGGTTCAACGGGTGCGACGGAAGCCTCCGCCTTCGAGTGGACTCGAGTTTCCGTGGGCGCAGTATAGGTAGACATGCTGGAAGGAGTGGGATATACATTGTCGGAGGATGCACTGTCGTCGTTGCCAGTCGAGGTATCGTCACCCGATCCCGAGGTGTCCATCGTATCCCGTTTGTCAGAAGTAGGTTGATTGTCCTTCAGGACCGGAACCTGTTCCATCTGCACATCCTTTTCGGCGTCTGACGCTCCGTGAGCGTTGACCCTTTCGTCTGAAGCCGACATATCGGTCGCAGGATCGCTGTGTAGGGTCAAACCAGCGCAGGCGGCCGATGGGCAGTCGACGGCACTGGCTGTGAGATCCGGGGTCGGAGAGCGAGGAGCAGAGGATTGAGATCTAGTTCCCAGGACTTCGTCCTGAAGATGGGCGGGAATGTAACGTGGAGGCGGTGAAGCCGATGAACTTTGACTGCGATGTGAAGGAGAAGTGGGCGAAGTGCGGCGATGAGGCAAGGCCGAGGAGGAGGAAGAGGAGCGGTCGGAGCTAGGAGGTTGGCCGTGACGTCTTCCGGCCTGCGAGGCAAACGACAAACCCGGAAGCGTTCCTGGTTTGCGAGGCTCTGCTACCTTACGGCGCTTTGTGGAAGACGTCGTGACGGTGAGCTGCGCACGTCTCGTGGCAGCTCGAGGTAGCACGATGATTGGGGGTGGTGTGTGGGTTGGGGTCTTGAGTGGGTTGGTGGATTCAGAATGGAACCTGTCGGAAAAATTGGAGGTATTATAAAAGTTGCAAAAGTAGTAGGGAAGGGAAAAAGCCTGGGAGGGAGGGGGGAGGTAGGGGTGGGTTGTCTTTGAGATTGTCGAATCCCAGGCAAGAAATTGGACTTAGGTTAGTAGGTACAGGTAGTAACCTAGTGAGTAGTGCAGTAACACTGGCAGTATCATGTACGCCCGTAGACTCATGGAGAGGGGAAGGACGCAGAGGGCACCTGTGGAAATAATGGAAACACAATGAAAGGGAAGGAAAGAAGGTGCAGGTGGATTCGCTCGCTGTTGAAAAGAAATTCCGGCCGCTGTGCAATCAACGGGCGCAATTCTGGGGCTTTAGTCATGGACCCGTTCGTAACTTACTTAAGGATAATACGCAGTAACACACCGTTAAGATCTTGCACTATCAAGCAGGGACTCTATTTGCTTTTTCTCTCTTATACTTCCTAGTTCATATTATCCTCTCTCACAGAAGTGCACATTAAGTATATCCTGGCCAATCTAATCTTAACTTGTTGTAAGAAATCGATGTTCTTTGTTGACCTTTCTACTTTGGTCGGTTGGCTTGGCTTGTTAACAGTGTTACCTTACCTCTTACAGTACTGTAGTATCCTCTGCATTTGTTCTGCGTCTGAGGGTGTATCGCTGCAGATAGTGTTCTTAATTTATAACTACTCGCTGGTGCCTTACATCTTCTACATCCGACATCGGTCTTAATCTTTCAAATGCGATACGTGACACCACCAAGTTCTAGAAGTTCCAGAGAAGCCCGAGGTGAATCAAACCAACTTACCCTCTGCTGACCAGACCAGACGCAAGCAAATGCATCCTTCATCACCACACAATCGGGTCAAATGATCTGATGCGGCCCAGTGATATAGCAAAGGCCCTACTTCTCGTCCTACAACAAATACAAGAAATGGGTCTTCAAGGTGCTTCATGCTTTCTTTTGTAGATTTCGTAACTATCATTAGCGGATTGCGAAGTATTCAAGCAATGCTGCCCTTGTCAGATTCTTGTGCGGAACAGTAACTAACGCAAAAAAACCTAAGTTAGGCTTTTCACCAGCTTTGTGCTTAGCTTATGGTCTCTGCTAAGTTTGCATGCTGACAGGTTTCTCATGGGGGTAAGATTTGGAAAGGTGCCGCGTAAATACTTTTTCGCCAGTGATAGTATAATGTGGGCAACAAACGGTAAGCTAAGCGGGCCCCGGCCATACTATAAATAAACCCCAGGTCTTTGCATACTTCATATACATCTATCTCATTCCCGGGCAAGAATAAGTCGACGTCCGCCCGCTTGCCAAAAACCGGATCCTCGCGCTCATTCCTCTCTGGCACCATCTTCCTCATATCTCCTTCCAACAACCCCATCCACACCTTGCATGTCTCACAGAGTAACAGGCCGCATCCCAGTTCACCCTCCGCAGTGCCCAGGTACGGCTATACTCGAGACGCAGGGGATTGTTAGAGACCTAGTCAAGTATGCATTTAGATTGTGTCTGCAGCTGAACGATATCCTCACTTGATCTCCCTTGAATGCCATTAGTGAGACTTACCTTCACTTCAGCGGGTTGTTCTAGATTTGATCATCAATCCTTCAGTGAAAACTGATGATCTTTCCATCAGACTCCACTTTGGCATAGGTACACAGAAAGTAGAAGGTACTATCTGCAGTCTACAACAAGCAAAAGTGACACCCACCTCACTTCAGCCACCTTTAATCCGTTCCGCAGGGATCAGAGCAAACCAATAAACACCTCATTGGTCTCACCACCTCAGTCCCGCCAAGCAAAGCTATATCGAGATCAATGCAATTCAAACTTTAGTCAGATGGAGTTGTTTTTCTATGTCCTGCCTATACTATCGAAAGAAATGCTCAAGCAGATACTCAAAACCAAAAACAGAACCAAGAAAGACGAATGCATCCAAACGCTAGCCAACCCAACTCTATCTAATTCATCCTACCATTGCACGCACTCCGTACATTATCCGCAACCCGGCAAGCCGAGGAGAAAAGGAAGAACAGATACTAGTTAATCTAGAAGCGGTATACTACGGCCGGGGGAGTGGAATCAGCCGAATACCGTGTTCCAGAGAGAGGAAATCCAGCCGAGCATGGCACTGAAAGGATCCCTATAGTAGTATGACAGATCATCGGAGTAGTCTGACTGGTCATCGGAAGATGTAGTAGCGGAAGATGTAGCACCTGTCTTTCCATGACCGAGAAGCGCAGCAGAAAGACCGATGATCGAGCCCAGGCAGATCACCAGGATGGCTATGCCGAGGTAAAGGCGCCACCACCGAGCACGATATCCTGACTATTCACGTCAGTCTAGACAGCTGAAAGAAAGATCTCTGCAAGCCGTTCGAGACTCACTTTTCAGTTTGGCGACGGTGTTCGTACATGAACTTATCACCGCTGAGACGGTGGACTGTGCTGGATGGCTGGCTTGGACATCGGTGGGCTTCTCGTCATTTTCAGGTGAAGTTTTGTGTCGACCTTGACGTACTCAGGCGGACAGACGTCGACTTCGAATATTCCGTCTCCGGGGGCCTCGACTTCAATGTACGCAGGCGGCGGATGAGTTATCAGAGATTTGTCCTGAGCGTCAGGTTGCAGACGAGGACGAGTCTCTTCAAGCCTCATGGCTGCAACTGGGGGTCTTACTTCCCTGTATAGCCTTCTGCGTGTGGTAATATAACGGGCGGGCCTTGCACGTGGGTGAAGGTAAAATATACGAAGCTGGCGACTGATCAAGGATCGTATGTCCGGATGACTTCATTCTTATCACTACATATGCTTGAGAGCATGACAGATTTTCTCGGGATTTGGTCAGAGCAACCCCATAGTTATCTCATGCCGACATGAATCATCCATCCTCTACTTCCACAATGAAAGCGATATCGACTTCGACCATCCGAGTCCGAGCTTGAGGCAGCAGCAAGCGTATGCGCCTCGTCGCGCTGGCTTACTTTCGTCTGCCACAAACCACTGTCCTCGGATCTTCTGACATTTCATATACCAAACTGCGCTTTCCAGACCACTTAAGCACTTGAGTCCGACCCGAGACGCCCATCCTCTATCTCATCATTCCATACACCGCAACCATGTCTGAACTCAACACCGACCAGACCGCAGCGTCTTCAGGGGTCGCATCCTCCCCCACAGCATCTGCATCACTCCCATCGTCGACAACAGCGGCCTCTTCCTCCAACAAGCCCCATCCCCACGAGATGATCCATATCTGCATTCCTATGCCAGAACACGCCTCCATCCCCAGATCGATTCACTCACGAGACACACCAGCACAGGAACACAACCCATACGGTAAGACCCACAGTCACCACCACGGGACACCCCATCAGCCTTTCAAATCCACCTTCTAACCCATCAGCAAATCAACAGACAGTATCACAAACACCACACTCACCGAGCTCACCGAGATGCAAAAGCGGTGTCTGAAAGACAACCATACCATCATGACGAATCAGGTCTGGCTTCTTATCGGCCAGATTGGCATTATGATTTTGGTTATAGTTGCGGTTGTTGTTATTACTCAGGATGTGGAGAAGAATTAGGGTACGATTCAATTTCTACCGGCACCTGGCGAGGGTGCTAAGGAGCGATGGATGTAGGGGAAAGAGCATGGTGGTTGCTCTGCTTTTGCATAGTATTTTCTTTTGAGTTGGAGCATGGGTCATTTATCTACTTTTGCACGGTAGCTCTGTTGCAAGTCGTTTTGATTGCGGGTTGCCTTTGCTGTGACGTTCCATGATACTACTTATATACTATATACCCCCTTGATCTTGTGGTTATGTTGCTAGCTGGGATGTGTGTTTGTGCAGGGCTCTCCCTTGGTATAGTGGTAGGCGCTGGAAGGATTCACTTGAGGTGCTAGAGAAATTTTCGTCGCCCTTATAGCTCGGTAATGATAGAGACCTCGTATACTTCACACAATATGTGCTCAAATCTATAACCTCCTAGCCGCCGCCAGCAGGCTTCTAGAAGGGACAGAAGACCCACAACAACCCAAGTGGGTCTTCCATTGCTGTGGCACCGAGTATGACTAGGTACTAACCTTCATGTTACTTGTTATCTTTGTTCGTGTTACCTATGTGCATGAACATGATTCGTAAACCTGTCAAGATTGTGGGGATATGCAGTGACCTACCAAAGCGCCGCGCGAGTCCTGGTCGTTATTATATGGCTTGGAATACGCGAGTTTATCGTAGGAGAAGAAGCTATCCAGGCCTTGACTTTGGCAAGACTCTTGCGCAACATTCAAGCCATTCAAACAAGAAAGACTGATGAGATAAGTCAAAGTGCTAAGCATTTCTTCAAGCATCTGGCATCTGTGAAAGACTCTTCGAGGTTCTATTCACGTAGATCATACAAAGTCATCTCAGAGGGTCGAGAGCATGAATTGAACAGATGAATCTCACAACATAACACCAACGCCAGGCTTTCTCCGAACCCGAAAACCTCGTTCCTGATAGAATTATCCTTTCCATACCACGCCCCAAAAAAACAACAAACATGATGGGTATTTTCATAAAAGTTTGAAAAGAAGAAAGACATTAAAAGAGCCGCGTTGGCTTTTGGTGAAAGAAAGTTGAAGAAAAGAAGAAAAAGATGAAGTTGGCGTACAGACAAGACGCGACTTCAACTCTGGAAGCTATACATCCGAACTTCGCAGTCCTCGCTGCCGGTGGCGAAGCGGCTGTCACCTAGTCCCATGCAAGTGACAGGGCCAGAGTGTCCAGTGAACGTGCGCTCGCATTTGCCAGTTCTGGGATCCCAGATTTTGACCATACGATCTTCGGCTCCAGACACAATGCGTAATGTATCAGCAGCAAGAGCCCAGACACCCTCCAAGTGTCCGAAGAAAGTGCGCAGGCAGCGGCCGGTGCTTGTTTCCCACAGACGAATTGTGGAATCCAAAGCACTGGTGACTATGTAACGAGGTGGTGCTGGACGGCCCTCGGCAAAAGAGGGGCCAAAAGGCGAGCTCTGAGACATGACGGAATTGGATTCCAGTCCAAGTGTAGCTTGGAGAGAGGCAGGCTCAATGTCTCCAGAGATCGTGCTAACATTGTCATTCTCGCACTCCGCGTCATGTTCCTCAAATTCGAATTCTCGAGGAAGCGGGATGACTTGCTGCACTTGACCCACATGTCCGTGGAATGTCCTAATGCAGGTCTTAGTGTCCAAGTCCCAGAGTCGAACAGTGCAGTCGTCTGAGGCGGAAAAGACAGTGCGAGACGTCGAATCCACCCTCACTGCATTGACCCAGTCTGTGTGTCCGCGAAGAAGGCAGGTCGACTTGTCCTCAAAATTCCAGATCTTGACGGTCTTGTCGACAGAGGCAGAAGCAAGAATGGTTGCATCAAAATGCAGGCCTATGACCCCGCCACGGTGACCGGTATAGGTAGAAATGCATTCGCCTGTGCGCCAGTTCCAGACCTTTACAGTTCGATCCATACTGCCACTGATCAACTTGGTGTCATCGAACTGCAAACAACGAATGCCGGATTCGTGCCCACGGAGGGTCCGCAGCTCTTGGCCGGTCTCAGTATCCCAGATCTTGATCGTGGCATCATAAGACCCCGTAGCAAGAATGTTATCCTCAAATTGAAGACACATAATACCATTTGTATGGCCCTTGAAAATTCTGATGGAGCAACGTCCATACTTCCAATTCGTTCCCACTTTGAAACGATCTTTGTAGACTTCCTTCCAAGGCCTGTATCGTGTCTTGAAATAGGCTTCATCGTTGCCGGGGGCCGGGGTCAGAGACGAGCAATGGCGCTTGACAATAGCAGATTCATCTTCAGGCGAATCAGACTTCCGCTTCGCTGGATTTGCGCTAACACAGGCCACCGCATCAGTCTCAGCGTTGCAGATGTCTGCGGGACCAGCCGACGGTCCACTAAGATCCCAGTTGGTGGCGCGCAGCTCGATCTCACGCTTCGACTCCCGCAGGCGCTTCCGATCAAGTAGAGGGAGCCCCCATCCGCACTTCTTACATTTGCGATGAATATGCTGTTCGCACATCCGATGCCAAACCACGTCGTCGTCCGCGAGTGCTCTCCAACGTCGTGACACTTGCGCAGCCTTGCATAGCGACGTGGTGTCCAAGTAACACAGAATTTTGAAGGATATCTCCGGGGGAAGCGCGGTAAGAAAATCAATGCGGATGAGATCTCGAACGGTCGCGGAAATGAAGGAGAGTTGCGGAAAGCAACATTGGGCCATTATCCCCTGGAGAAGCAATTTCCGGTGTTTTGCTGGCGCGGCGGAGAAGAGGGACCAGACATGCGCGATACCTTGCTGATCGCTTTGTGGAAGGGTTTCCAACTCCTAATCAACGGAAAATAAGTTCAGCTGAACCAAGCAAAATTGCAAGCTACTGCCATCGGAACAACAGTGCGGGGGACTATCAAGGTGTGGGAGAACTCACTCGTTGTAATTTGTCCATAGTTGGTTCATCTGCTTGTCGTCTGCATTTACGATCAGGCCTATGACGATAGCAGTAGCGTGAATCCACACCACTCATTTCGATAGGGCCCTTATTCTGCGGTCCGAGGGCGCCGTATTGCTCGGGGACGTGTCGAGCGAGAAAAGGTGCCAGGCTCTTGTCCGCGAGATTCGCAGAAGTTGCGTTTAGGTCGGGAGGGCTGTGGGGCTCATGCTGATGATTATCGGAATCGGCATCGGTAACATAGTCGATGATTTCAGCTGGACCACCGAAGATCGATTGTAAGGGAGTCTGCGAGGGAGGGATCATATCATGTTCTTGCCGAGTGTTTTCCATCTCCCTTGTCGAGGCGAAAATGGTCCGAGGGGCACCAGCGCCCAAGTAGTCACAGGGCTTGCGTGGCCTCGGCTGTTGCAGCGAACAATATTCGAAGAACGCTATGAATTTCAACAGGCGCTTAAGGTAGCCAAAGCGCCTGAGATAGCCAGTGTAATAAAATATGAGCGCTTTGAGTTATCAGAGAGCAGGGGGGTAGGGGGTGTGCGAGGAAGAAGCGTGACGGGGACCCTGGTAAAGTATTCCGTTTGTCGAAGCGGTCGTCTGGGGCCGTTGTTGCGCAGAGGTAGTGTGACTCGGTGTCAGGGCGGGAGCGGAGAGACGGTTAGATTTAGTGTGTATGGAAGTATGAATGAATGGGGTGACAAGGCGGGAAATGACAATGTTCAGCGAAGGATTTGGACCAGCCAAACTCCAAGAAAGCACGCAAGGGCATGTGTAGATAAATATGAGTCGGAAGAAGAAAAGGGAGACTTTCTTGAGCGATCGCGACATCGAGCTGCGATCACGCAAAGCATACCTCGTCTCGTGCTTTCTGGGGCGTCGGTCACGTGCGGCGATTGCGCCATCGGCGCAAGAAGTCGCAACAAGCGGTAAAAGCGCTTTGCCACGGCAGAATTCTGCCATCTGTCGCCATCTTCGCCATCTTCGCTCTCTGTTTCGCCAATTGCGGATCCCCTGGTCTCCAACTCAGGCTTATGCGTTTGGCACTATTCCAAAGAGATTGTCAGCTAGCCGGCCTTAGCTGCATACCACTCCGGAGCTCCGGATCTGGGGTCAATTTACAACAGATAAGCAGTTAGTTCTAGAGCCTACTTCCAATCCACGAAGTACATCGTTCGAGGCGGTGACGCTGCGGCGGGCTGACACTCAGTGCCTGAGGCCTCCGTCTGCCTACCGTACCGTGACATCGCCGTCATCTCTTTTCTAGAACACAACAAGAATTCAGGATGCACATCGCTTGGTCCTCCCGTTCTGCACCCATCATTGCTAAAGTTCCAGATAATTACCAGTTGCGTCGTATCTCCACAATGACTCGTCTGGACTAATCAATACTTGAACTTTATGACTGATACCCTGGTTGTGTCCTGGTGCGGGACATTCGGGCAGAAGCTCCTTCAGGTCAGTCCAGCCCCAGCGCCCAGTGCTTCCTCTTACTGCATCCGCCCCCCTGTTCTACCCTTCTGCATTGGGTCTGTGAATTCCGATCGTCTTCTGAGATGGGGGACTTTTATGACCTATAATCGAGGCTCACACCGCTGTCGCATCGCTAGGCCCCTTCACCTGTCAGCGTCCCCCAAAACTCACCGCCAGATGCACAGGGAGCATGGGATTGACGACCACTTATTGGAATAAGGCGTCAATAGGCACAAACAAACAGGGGGGCAAAAATCAATATATGCTTTATGAGGTGATTGTTCACCAATTTTATCCATTCTCGCGACATATTCTACCTAGGAAACACATCTATTGGATCAGAACCTATCTGTCTCACGACACCGAATTGGGATTCCGCCCAAGCACGTGAAGGCTTCAAGGGCCACACAGCCATCGCTATACGAGCCTCTCATTTTTGCTCTCCAATTCATCCTTGATGCCGTGATTGAGTGCCCGACCCATGATGTCGTCAGCTCTGGAATCCTCGGCCGTATCGAACGATGTCCATCATCCGGGCGAGGCCTCGAAAGACCAGGAAAGTTCAATCCCGCAATTAGATACTCTTATCTCACACCTAGTCGCAGCGAAGCGATCGCTGTCCTCCATCAATCACGTTTGGCGAGCCAATGAGATTGTCACTGCCGCTCGCTCCGCATTGGAGGAAAGTGTCATAGTCTCTGCACGTACAGGTTTTCTCCGACGTGGGCTCAACAATCAGCTCCGACTTCTCTATAGCGTTCGCTCTGAGGTGGAAGAGATATCCCTTCGGGGCAGATCGGAGTTTGCCGGTGTTTTGAAGGATCTGGACGCAGCTGGTGCCCGTCTGAGAAAGACCTTAGGTCTCTTACAAGGGACCATTGTTCATCCTTCCTTTCGTCCGGATGGTGAAGACCAGAAAAGCTTACACGATTTCGTTGATGAGCGTGGTGTCGACGAGCTTCATGCAGCTTTGAAGGCTTCGATTGACCGCACGAATGCTGCTCAGCTAGATCTGGATTCTTCCAATTATGCTTTTGACAACGAGCTTCAAGCAATCAAGAAAGCCCTGGGCAACTACCGGGAGGTTACAAAGTTAGCCTCCTCGCGCTCCTCTTCATCTTCATCGCCATCTGCCTCAAACTCTAGCCTGCCTAATCTGTCCTCAATGCCATCAATGCTGCATTCACTCGAGATGCATGCACAGGAAATGGCTAACCTGCTGGAGTCATTGGTCCGACACTTTGATCTGTGCGTCACTGCCGTCAAGCACACGGAAGGCGGAGGCGCTGCGGCACAGACCATCACAGGTGATATGCCGGCTGGGGTCAATGTCAACGGTCGAGGTGGCCCTAACATTGAAGAAGAAATTAATGCTCACTTGAATGCTCCTCTGGATCCCCTGAGTGAATCTGGATACTTGGAGATGGTCAGCGTTCTCATGAAAGACGCTGCTGAGGCTGAGGACGTTGTAATGGAAATCCAGGATCGCATAGGCGAGATGGAGTCTGTTCTGGAAAGCATTATCTGTAGTCGGGACAATCTACTTTCTGTTTATAATGCCACGACGGAGATTTTCGGTCATATCTCGTCGCTGGCCTCTGTGCGTCTTCCCAGCTATATTGCCCAGGCACACAATTTCACACGTGTATGGAATGAGGAGCATGATCGCATCAATGGTGGTCTTGCAGATCTCTCTGACCTTAGTTCACTGTACGATGGCTTTCTGGAAGCATACGACAGTCTCATTCTGGAAGTCTCGCGGCGGAGACATGTACGACAACGTGTTGAGAAAGTGCTGCGTGATGCAAAGCACAAGCTGGACCAGCTCTACGAGGAGGATGTCAATGCCCGCGAAGCATTCCGAGTGGAGCAAGGAGACTATCTACCATCGGATATCTGGCCTGGCATTGGCTGCGAACCCATGCGAATTGAGTTCCAACGCATTTTCGGTGGCTCTTTGAAACCCGAGGATGGTGAGCCGTCTGAGGCGCACGCTGAATCCACCGTCCGGACTAGCGATGAGCAGCACCCACCAGCGGCAGCAGAAGAGCTTGTCGCCGATGATGAAGTCATTCCCGACCTACCCAAGTCACTTGTCGAACAAGCTCTTGCTCGTTTGCAGGCAAGGAGCAAGCAAGTCGCCTAGCCTATGACGGCTGTTTTCTTGCCGAAGCTACGGTATTTCTCACAAAGCTATAATTTCTGGCTTCGGTTGTGTGGCCCAGTCCTACCTACATGATGAACTCATAAATAGGCATGTCTCTGCCCTGAAAACACAGCCACATCTTTGCTTGGTGTCCATATAAAGTGGAACTGATGATTCTGGCGGATGCATACTCGTGGGTCTTTATGATTCCCGCGATGTAAGCACCTGGAATCATTCATGCCCACCAAGTCGAAGCCATGGCCCAGTTTGATGTTCAAAGAGAGCTCTGATAGGTTAGCTGGTGTTCGTGTTTCTGAGTGGCTACGTATTTCGATTGAAGCCATCTGATATCCCTCCATGTTGTAGTCAGTCTCCCATACCCATACCACATCAATAAACTCTTTGCAATGGTTTTAAGTGACACTTAGTTTTAAGATTTTTGAGTTTACATCTTCCCGCGAAACAAGTTATACCGTGACACTACTATACCATATTCGGAAAGATATAAGGAGGGGCATAACTTGTGCATGTATTGAGCCGAAGCGTGGGCGAAGAATCTATTCTCGATCCGAGGTCTAGATACTCCATCACTATTTACGGCCAATGCTGCGGTTTAGTAAGTTTGTCATACAGCCACCTTAATTACCTCCAATCCCATGCCATAATTTGGTGAGAATAAATGAAAGAGCGATGTAATGCATGTAGTTGCTTCGGTATTGCGTTGAAGCGAGCTCTTATTCACATTCGACGCTCCCACTTATCATGTATATGTATCTATTTGCTCCCCGGTGATTTATAGACATGGACAACACCAACCATTACGACCCAAACACAAAGACACAAACAGAAGAAAGAATCCCGGAGTCATCAAGTATCATCATGAGATCGTGCGAAAATAAACAAATGAGCTTTTTTTCTCTCCCTGGAGGCACTCGGCAGAGGATGAGATGTGTTCCTCAAATCCAAAACAAAAAAAACGTAAGAAGATAGACACCGATGGATGTGAAGGTCTAGTTTATTTCTTCTTGCGCGTGGATGACGATACCAGGCGTTTCTTCATGTGCTTGGGCATCTTATTGGCGCGTTTCTCCCGTTTCTCCTCCTTGACCTTCTGCTTGTGGTCGCGCTTCTCGTCCTTGTCCTCGAAACGCTTGCCGCGTGGAGGCTTGGGTGCGAAGGGGTCGACCTCGCCGTCCTGGAGCTCGGCGCCCTCGACGGAGACGCCGCCGCTTACATCGGAGCCGGCGTCGCTGGCCTCTTCGTCGTCCTCCTCCTCGTGGTCGGCGGCGGCGGATGGCTTGCCGCCGGCGAGAAGATCCCGGTAGACCAGGTCTGCGCCCTTACCAGCGCGGACTTGCTCAGCGTCGCGCTCAAAGTCGTACACTTGCTCGAGGGTCTGAGGGATGTACTGCTGGCGGAAGACAGCGGTGTCGACCTCGTCGCCCTTCTCGCCGCGGGTAGCATACAGGTGCTCGATGGCTTCGAGCATGGGCTCGACGGGGGTGTGGGTGGTAGGGCCGTCTTCGGCAATGATGAACTCGAAGAGGGTGCGCTCGGGGAGGACGTCGACGTTCTTGCGACGGAAGAAGTCGCTGATGTTCTTGATGTCCATGCGCAGGAACTCGAGACTGCGCGGGTGGTCGTGTTCGACACTCTGACTGACGTCGATAATGTGCAGCTTGTTCTTGTGGTAGAGCATGTTGTACTCGCTCAGATCGGCGTGGACCAGGTGGCAGGTCTGGTACATGACGCGCATGTAGCCAAGCAGCTCCAGGTAGATCTCGCGCCACTTGGCGTCCGGGTCGGGAATATCGAACTCGACGTCCTTGAGGCGCGGGGCGGCGACACCCTTCGAATTACCGAGGAAGCCCATGACGAGGACGTGGAGGCGCAGGTGGACGGGCTCCGGGCACGGGATGCCGGCGGAGTAGATGCGGCGCAGGTTGCGCATTTCCTTCTCCGCCCACAGCTTGACCATAGCGCGGTTGTTGCTCTTGCTGTATCCGCCGCGGAAGCGGAATTCACCCGTCACATATTTGTCGCGGTCCTTGAACACCAGAATACTCGTCTTGTAGACCTTGATGGCGCGGTGTACGGGGGTGAGGTCGTCGGCGTTGGGGTAGGAGATGGAGTAGTAGACGTTGGCTTCTTTACCGGTCGACAAGCAACCGTGAATCTCTGACACAATCTCACGGTTGATCATCTGCAACAGAATCATTCGTGTCCGGGGGTCCAGGACCTGTTCGGAGGTCGCTCTGTCGGCACGGTCGCCACCGCGGTCACCACGGGCTGCCATGCCCGACTGCATGTCGTCCAACTTGATCTTGCCCGCATGTTTCGTCAGAGACTTGATCTGGTCGTCTACCAGGGCGTGTGTATTGACAGTCGGTTTCTGGGAGTTTGTCTTCGGGTATGTCCACTTGGGGACATTGGGATCGGCGGCGAGTTCGTTGACCTTCCGTTGACGATTGTAAGCTTTCGTGAGATCCGATGGGTTGGAGGAGTTGAAATCTTCTTCATCCATATCTTCCTCTTCCTCGTCTTCGAAAATGTCGTCGTAGAACTCGTCCTCGTCGCCCTCGCCGTTTTGCGCCTCAGGATCTTGCCCCGCCATAGCGGGGAGACTGCCATCAGCATTCACATACCCTTGGTTGGGAATGTAAGTGTGAGCCGGGGTCAATCCATCGGCAAGACCTGACGCTTGCGCATCTGTGCTCGAAGTCACCATATTGAACAAAGAGAACTCTCCGACACCGTGTGCGACAGAATTCCTTGACTTTGTTGCTTGCCTCCAAACACTGGTCAACAGCAGATTGGGAAAAAATAATCCGGCCGGGGAGGACCTTGAGTGCGGGCCCCAAAGTAAAGCTTGACCGCCCGGCAGAAACCCCGCGGCTCTCAGCGCGCGTTGCGAAAGAAGGCCGGCAATCGGGCTCGTTGTTACGCGTGTAGTTTCGCTCCAAAGTCACCCACTGGTCGCCGGTGTCAAGCAACTCCGCGGCAGCCGTCCCTTGAACCTCTCGCAGCCCCTATCGAGCCAGCTACTTGGGCGCAGACTCCTGCGATTCTCTTCTCCGTGGTTGACGCGGGATGACTTGGTTGTTGTAAGAGGCTGCCATTGTTTCTCGTGTCTCGCGCGCGCCGCCTCGTCAAGATGTACGTCAAACAGATCATTATTCAGGGCTTTAAGAGGTAAGGGACCATCTCTATCTTCAGACAAAGCGACTCAGTCTAACAAAGATTGTCACTCAGCTACAAGGACCAAACAGTCATTGAACCCTTCTCGCCGAAACACAACGTAATCGTGGGTCGAAACGGATCCGGCAAGAGTAACTTCTTCGCAGCCATTCGCTTTGTCCTCAGCGATGCCTATACGCACTTGGGTAGAGAGGAGCGCCAGGCGCTTCTTCACGTATGTGGCTTCAATCGCTTACCTCTCGCGCGAAATCTGACAGTCAACAGGAAGGTTCGGGTTCCGCGGTGATGTCGGCGTACGTGGAAATCATCTTCGATAACTCAGACGATCGGTTCCCCACTGGCAAGCCCGAGGTCGTCCTTCGTCGCACGATCGGACTGAAGAAAGATGAATACACTCTCGACCGCAAGAACGCCACCAAATCTGATGTGATGAACCTGCTCGAGTCGGCAGGTTTCTCTCGCTCCAATCCGTATTACATTGTGCCTCAGGGTCGTGTGACGGCCTTGACCAACATGAAGGACTCCGAGCGCCTTAATCTCCTCAAGGAAGTCGCCGGAACCCAGGTCTACGAAGCCCGCCGTGCGGAGTCGCTGAAGATCATGCACGAAACGAACAACAAGCGAGCGAAGATTGACGAACTTCTGGATTTCATCAATGAACGTCTCGCGGAACTGGAAGAGGAGAAGGACGAGCTGCGCAATTATCAGGAGAAGGACAAGGAACGAAGGTGCTTGGAATACACCATCTATTCTCGCGAACAGCAGGAGATTGCCAGTTTTCTCGACAGTCTCGAGGAGCAAAGACAGACAGGCGTTGAGGACACCGACATGAATCGCGATCGCTTCATTCAAGGGGAGAAAGAAATGGCACAGATCGACTCTGAGATCGCAGAGTGCAAGCAGCAGATCGAGTTTCTCAAGGTCGACAAAGCTCAACTGGAAGATGAGCGTCGCGAAGCGTCCAAATCTCTGGCACAAGTAGAATTGCAGGCCAAGTCACTGTCGGACAACCAGGCTGCTGCCTTGGCTCTCAAGGCGCGCCACGATGAAGATCTCAAGACGGTTCAGCAAGCGATTCAGGAGCGCGAGGCAGAACTGCAGCAGCTTCTACCCCAGTTTAATGCCGCCAAGGATCAGGAGGAGGCTGTCAAGGCCAAGCTCACCGAAGCCGAGACGGCCCGCCAACGGCTGTATGCTAAGCAAGGTCGCAACTCACGATTCCGCAACAAGAGTGAGCGTGACAAGTGGCTGCAGACGGAGATCAAGGAGAACTATTCTTCCATTTCCTCAGTTCAAGACGTCATGGCGCAAACTCAGGAGGATATCAAGGAGCTTGAGAACGAAATCGCACTCTTGGAACCGGAAACTGAACGCCTGCGAAAGATGATTGATGGCAGAGGAGACACCATTCACTCGGTGGAACAGCTGGTCCAATCTGCGAAGGACGAAAGAGATCGCCTGATGGACCAAAGAAAGGAGCTCTGGAGAGAAGAGGCCAAGCTAGACTCGATCCTGTTCAACGCCTCGAACGAAGTGGCGCGTGCGGAGCGCAACCTATCTCAAATGATGGACCACAATACAAGTCGCGGTATCGCGGCTGTCAGACGAATCAAGCGGCAGTACAACCTCGAGGGAGTGTACGGCACACTAGCGGAGCTGTTCGAGGTCAGCGACAGATATCGGACGTCTGTTGAGGTTACAGCCGGTCAAAGTCTGTTCCATTATGTTGTCGACACCGATGAGACTGCTACGAAGGTCTTGGAAATCCTCCAGCAGGAGAAAGCTGGCAGAGTTACATTCATGCCTCTGAACAGGCTTCGGTCCAGGCCAATTAATATGCCTAGGGCAAGCGACACGATTCCGATGATTGAGAAGCTCCAATTCGATTCGAAATACGAGAAAGCCTTTACCCACGTGTTTGGCAAGACTATCATTTGTCCCAACTTGCAGGTTGCCTCGCAATATGCCCGCAGTCACGGAGTCAACGCAATAACTCCTGAGGGAGATCGCTCTGACAAGCGAGGTGCCCTCACAGGTGGTTTCCACGATTCTCGTCAGTCGAGACTCGATGCCGTGAAGAATTTGACGAAATGGAGAGATGAGTATGAGACCAAGAAGAGCCGAGGAAGTGAGATTAGGAAAGAATTGGAACAGCTTGATCAGCTCATCACGAAATCCGTGGGCGAGCTTCAGAAGTTGGAACAGCAAAAACACCAGGTACTGAACAACAGCGGGCCTATGCGACACGAGCTCAAAGCCAAGCGCGATCTCCTCCAGAAGAAGACCGACAATCTTGAAGCTAAACGTCGGGCTATCCGCAACATCGAGAACAACCTGGCTGCCCTGTCTGACCAGGTCAGTGCTTTCGAGGCAGAGTTGAAATCACCCTTCCAGAAGGCGCTCAGTAATGAGGAAGAAGCGCGCTTGGAAACCCTCAACAACACTGCTCAGGAGTTGCGGCGCCAATACCAAGAGCTTTCTAGTCAGCGGAGTGAGCTTGAAGCTCGCAAGTCTGTTCTTGAGGTGGAATTGCGGGAGAACCTGAACCCTCGGCTGGACCAACTCGTGAGCCAGGACATGGATATGGCGGATGATGATGGTCAAGGCAACCTGAAAGAAACACAGCACGAGATGAAGCGCCTGTACAAGGCCCTGGAGAAACTCGCTCAACGACTTCAACAGGTGGATAACTCGATCGACCAGGCTACTGCCCGTGTCTCCGAACTCAATCAGCGGAATACGGAGACCCGTCGCGAACTCGAAGATCTGGCAAAGTCCATCGAGAAACACCAGCGTCGCATGGAGAAGAGTATGCAGAAGAAGGCTGCTCTGACCAAGCAGGCGGCCGAGTGTGCTGCCAATATCCGCGACCTGGGCGTGCTGCCCGACGAGGCGTTCAGCAAGTACAAGAACACCGACTCGAACACGGTGGTTAAGAAACTGCACAAGGTCAATGAGAGTCTCAAGAAGTACTCTCACGTCAACAAGAAGGCATTTGAGCAGTACAACAGCTTCACCAAGCAGCGGGAAACGCTGACGAGTCGACGAGAGGAGCTCGAGGCATCGGAAAAGTCTATCGACGATCTGATCACCGTTCTCGACCAGCGCAAGGACGAGGCCATCGAACGAACCTTCAAGCAGGTGTCGCGCGAGTTCCACAATGTGTTTGAGAAGCTTGTCCCCGCTGGCCGTGGGCGCTTGATCATCCAGCGTAAAACCGACCGCGCTCTTCAACAGCCCGACGAACTTGAGTCCGACGACGAGGCGACCCGCGAGAGCGTGGAGAACTACGTTGGAGTCGGCATCAGCGTCAGCTTCAATAGCAAGCACGACGAACAGCAGCGAATCCAACAGCTCAGTGGTGGGCAGAAGAGTAAGAATTCGATCCCTGTTGTCCATGCACTTCATATTTCTAATCCTGGGTACCAAACAGGTTTGTGTGCGCTCGCGCTGGTCTTCGCAATTCAGGCCTGTGACCCGGCACCGTTCTACCTCTTCGACGAGATCGACGCCAACCTCGACGCCCAATACCGTACAGCGGTGGCGCAGATGCTGAAGTCCATCTCCGACTCCACGAACGGACAGTTCATCTGCACGACCTTCCGGCCGGAGATGCTGCACGTGGCGGAGAAGTGCTACGGCGTCAGCTTCCGGCAGAAGGCCAGTACCATTGACGTTGTGTCGAGGGAAGAGGCACTCAAGTTTGTAGAAGAGCAGAAGACTTGAAGAGTGGTACTTGGTGTTCGGTGAGCCAAGTTTCGTTGCTAGTTGGTTTGCTGCTCGATATTTATGGGATGGGCAAACGGAGCAGGCGCATTATATGATTCGACGGGGTTCGCGGTTTATTCTGTGGCACTTTTAGTTTGATGTAGAGGAAAAATGATTCTTTCCTCGACGTACATGCACTTTCTACTCCGTATTTCTTGTGTTTGTTCTTTTCTTTCTAGTTTGGTGATTACGATTCCCAATGCTATGTTCAATCGAGGATTTCCCAGTGAGAAGGTGCGAATGTATGGCCCAAATACGCCATGCCTTTGTGGAAACTTCAACATCACCAGCAGATATTTCAATACTATTAACCTCAATGCATCGGCGGCCCCTCCCCCGTCCACTCCACCAAAATCTTCTCCGGCACATCGCGCACCAGCACATGAACATGCTCCAAGCTCCGCACACTCTGCAGCGCCGTCCAATTCTTGAACCACAGCACATGGTCGCGCGGCGAGTCATCCCACTTCTTCGCCTCCGGCGCGGCGGCCAGCCTCCCCACAAACGTGCGCAGCACGAACCCCTCCACCAACGCGCGACTCTCCGGCGTCAGGTCGCCGTCCGCCTCGTTGACAGCCACGGGCGTCCGCAGCCACACGACCAGGTGCGTGATACCCGGCGCCAGGCCGTACGGCCAGTCGTTGCGCAGGATCTTGTAGTCGGCCGGGTCGGCGAACGGGGTAGGGTTGTTGTAGGGGAAGACCGGCCCGCTGTCGGTGGTGATGGGCGGGACGACAGTTTTGTCGTGGTGGGTGTCTGGCAGGCTCCAGTGCAGGCGCTCCTGGCAGATGTAGTTGGTGATGGACCCGTATTTTTGTTTTGTCGCGTGCGACCACGCGAGGTAGCGGCGGAGTTCGGAGGGTTTCCGCTTCAGGAGGGCGAGGTCGTTGCGCGCTGGCGGTGCGGGGTTGGGGCGTTAGCTTCCGTGGATGGCGGGAATGCGGAATTGACGGGAGGAGGAGGCGATGGGAAGAAAGAGAAACGGGAATGAGGGGTAAACGTTGACTGGAAAGATAGAGTGGAATGTCATTAAGCACTGCACACTCACCTATGATGGACTTGAGATCCTCCCAGTCGTGCAGTATAAACTCGTCATCGGTTTGCGCCAGAACTTGCCGATCCACATCGGTTAGATTGAAGGCTGGCGGGTTTTCGGGCGGGTTGGCGTCTATGGTCATGATGGAAATGCTCTAGGAATGTCTAAGCTGGGAAAAGAAGCGGAGATTCTATGGGTAAGATTGCGGAACTAAGAAAACGGATGGAGAATGAAATAAGATCGAAACTGTTGAACAAGATAGGGAAAATTTGGGGGATGGGGGAGGGAGAGAAGCAGACGGGATTCTTTACCCCAAGAGATTGAGGGAGGGAAACCAAATCCCCAATGGGGCTGGATTCCGCGGGCGTCTGGGAGGGAGGTGTGTTGTTCGTCCATGGCTGGTCAATGCAACAACTATCGTAGGAGTATTAGGTGTGTTGTTGATGTAGCTACAAAGATTATTGGCCGAATAGAGTCAAATAGAATCAGAGGACAACTATATGCCCATCCATCCACCAGCCAGATGTCATTCACCTGTCTTATACTCCAAAGTCGCCAGTCCAACATTGTTGTTGACTGAATCTCGATAAGCAACAGCAGATCCGCGGACTGCGGACCCTTGGATTGCCCAATCGGGGAACTCCCCTCCCGTGACTCTTAATTGCCGCTGTTTTTACCGTCACAAAACATCGAGCCTTGTCTTGCCGGCTGTTCCTTTACCGACTCACCTTTTATTATTTCTGACTTTCCGCCGCCGCCTCCTCTCCTTATCTTTCCTCCTCCTCCTCTCACATTCGGTCGCCATTCACATTTTAGGATACCGGAGGATCTGCAATCATGAGGTATGTTTCCCTTAACCATAATTTCTACAGTATTTTCGAGTGGAGACTCACCGAAACGGTTGATCACAGTTCCATCTCGGCCCTTCTCCCCTTCGCTGTCGCGTTGGCTGCGATCTTTGTTGGTTTCAAGCTGTTCAGCAACAGTGCGTATATCACTCAACCATAATTCAAACTCACCTTGACTCTCAATGCGCTGACCGGAAATCGCAATTGTTAGAGCAGCGCAAGGTTCTCAACCCCAATGAGTTCCAGCACTTCACCCTGAAGGAGAAGACTGATATCTCCCACAATGTGACCATCTACCGCTTCGCCCTACCCCGTCCCACCGATATCCTGGGTCTGCCCATCGGTCAGCACATCTCTCTCGCTGCTAATATCGAGGGCCAGCCTAAGGAGGTTGTCCGCTCTTACACCCCCATCTCCTCCGACAACGAGGCTGGCTACTTCGATCTCCTGGTCAAGGCTTACCCTCAGGGTAACATCTCCAAGTACTTGACCACCCTGCAGGTCGGTCAGACCATGAAGGTCCGCGGTCCCAAGGGTGCCATGGTCTACACTCCCAACATGTGCCGTCACATTGGTATGATCGCCGGTGGCACTGGTATCACTCCCATGTACCAGATCATCAAGGCTATTATCCGCAACCGTCCCCGCAACGGTGGCAACGACAACACCCAGATCGACCTCATCTTCGCCAACGTCAACCCCGATGACATCCTCATGAAGGACGAGCTCGAGCAGCTCGCCAAGGAGGATGACCGCTTCCGCATCTACTACGTCCTCAACAACCCTCCTGAGGGATGGACTGGCGGCGTTGGCTTCGTGACTCCCGACATGATCAAGGTTTGTTGGCCTCGATAGTCGTTCAGTAGAATTCTTCTATTAACAAAGCATCTGCTACTACAGGAGCGCCTCCCCGCCCCCGCCAGCGACATCAAGATTCTCCTGTGCGGTCCTCCCCCCATGGTCAGCGCCATGAAAAAGGCTACCGAGTCTCTTGGTTACACGAAGGCCCGCCCCGTCAGCAAGCTCGAAGACCAGGTCTTCTGCTTCTAAGCAATTGGCTGTCTGGATTACAGCTTCCTGCATTCATCTCACGTGTCGGTTGTACCGATGCCCGGTACTTCCGTGCGATATAGATATGATAGAACGTCGCGTCATGAAAGGCTGTATTGTCAATTATCCTGGGATTGCAGATATACGGTTTTATGAGTGAATGCGCACAAGCGAAAACTACCTACAACGAAACGATTCGAAATGAGCGGGCCACGGTTTACTTGGCCCATCAAACGATATGATATCACTAGAATTCTGGCTGTGAAGATATAGACATTATGGTGTATTCGGTTCTCTCGGCAGAATTATTCGTGTACTTCAATCATGGCTTTCACCATAGTCAAGAACTTCTTCCTGTACTCATCTGGAGTGGTTGTAATGGTCATGGGTCCCTGGCGCCCAATCACATTGAAGGTTTGGATCACTCCCGTCATGGCCTGGGCATGCAGCTTGTGCCGGGCCCAGAAGAAATCCAAAACGACGGCCCGGTATTTCCACTTCCCATCAGCAGACTCCAACCCGATCCGCCACGGACTGGGCCTCCCGACGATGTCCGGGGTGGACGAGGCCGGAAAGCGAACCAAGTAGAGCGAGTAGTCCACCGCGTTGGCGACCTCGAGGAAATGCGTGTCGGCCTCGAGGGTCTGCATGAGGGCGACGTACTGCGACTGGCTGATGCGAACCTTGTCAGCGAATTCGTCGGCAATCTTGCTCAGCGTCGTCTTGCTGACGAGCGGGTCAGGCACCAGGTCGCGTTCGGGGTAGAAATAGTCAACGGGCTTCAGATCAAAGGTCTCCCACTTGTCCGCCGCCGGGTCAGTGTCCCGGCCGCAGAGCATGTTCTCCATGATGATGTGGTGGGCGGGCGTCGTGCCCACCAGGTTCCCGAGCGTCCAATACGGCGAGTAGACGTAGTCGGTGATCCAGACCAGCAGGGACTCGGGGTGTTCCGTCATGTAGTTGTAGTAGGGGTCGAGCAGCTCTTCGCGGAAGAAGGAATGTTCGAAGTGTCGCGGGAGGCTTTTGATCAGAAAGCACGAGTTGGAGGTGCTGAAGAAGGTCTATCGAACACAAGATTAGCTCTGCGATTCGATTCAATACTCTACTCAGATGAGAAGGAGATACACGTACCGACCCGGACAGCCCCAGGTCGCCCATGGGCTTTAAGGGCACCGTCTTCTTGCTGTCATTGCGAAAACTGGCTTTGTACTCCTCCTCATCAATCTGCCAGACCTCATTGCGCAGCTTCTGAAATTGCACGTGTCCGTAGCGGATGAGTTTGATGTACAAGATAGTGAAGAAGGCGAGGAAGCGGCCGATAAGCGTCTTGCGAAAGCTGGCGGGGTCGCGGAAGATGGCCCGCTGGATGGAGCTGGACAGGGCCGCGTGGCGCTTATTACCCATTTTCTGACTGCGAAACGTAGTTCGGCTCAAGGTTGCGGTAGTGCAGATACATCATGGGATGGCTTCGAATCCGGTCACTCGCGTGTCGATGCACTGGCGCTCGAACAGGTGACCTGGGGAAGGATGTTGCGCAGAACAGTGACGTCAGGCGAGGCTATACTAAAATGGGGCAGGCGGTAGGGTTTCTTCGGGGAAGGGTTGCCAGATACCACGTGATTCAGAGTGATTCGTTCACCGCCAGGGCAGAAAAAAGGCCGACAGCGGGATTGAGTCAGAGTCTCAGCTGCGGGCAGCAAATCTCTTATGCTCAGCCTGTGCTTGTGCTGCTCTTTTTTCCCACCCCTCCAAATTTATATGGGTCGCCTTCTGGTAAGCGGGGCCCGGCCTTTTTCTAACGCCATTTTCAAGACTGCCGCCCAGTCATACTGTCCACAACATAGTCGTCGCTTCTTCGCTTTCTCGCGCTCTGCTTTTTCTTCTCCCTCCTCCTCCTTCTCTTCTTCCACTTCAAAAATTATAGCTGCAGCCATGTCCTCCTCCGCTGCGGACCTCGCCACCTCCGTCGAGGGACTCACCCTCCAGTCCACCTCCGAGACCTCCAAATTCCCCAACTGCTTCCCCTCCTTGAACATCGTCGACCGCTACAGAGAGCACATTGCCGAGAAGCTGGGCGCGGCTACGGGTATTGATGCCGAGAAGATCTACTCTCGCCTGTCATGGACGAATTCCCTCGATAAAGGTGACTTGGTGCTGCCGGTATGCGACATAACCAAAATGTCCCACATTGGGCTGCAATAGTCCTTGAGGGCATCGGCCCCTCACTCGCGACTAGCGGACTAACGTGATGTTGCGCATTGTAGGTCGCCGCCCTTCAGATCAAGAAGAATCCCCAGGAGCTGTGCAAGGAACTCGCCGAGAAGTTCCCCGAGTCCGACCTTGTCCTCCCTCCCGTCCCCTTCGGCGTCCACCTGCAATTCTTCTTTAAGCCCGAGATTCTCACCTCCTCTGTCATCAACCGCATTCTCAAGCAGAAGTCTTCCTATGGTACCAACGGTAACCAGGGTCTCCGCGACCCCTCCGATGCCTCCAAGGGCCGCAAGAGAATCATTGTCGAATTCTCCTCCCCCAATATCGCCAAGCCGTTCCACGCTGGCCACTTGCGCAGTACCATTATTGGTGGTTTCTTGGCGAACCTCTACACTGTCATGGGATGGGATGTTATCAAGATGAACTACCTCGGTGATTGGGGTAAGCAGTACGGGTTGCTTGCCAACGGTTTTAAGCAATTCGGTAACGAGGAGCAATTGACCAAGGACCCCATCAACCACCTGTTCGATGTCTACGTCAAGATCAACAACATTGTCTCCCAGCAGGAGGGTCCCATCAAGGAGCTTAAGGAGCAGATCAAGACGAAGAAGGAGAAGGGCGAGGATGTCGCGGAGTTGGAGCAGGAGCTGCAGAAGCTCGTTGACGCCAGCGAGGACGAGAGCGCCCGTCGCTACTTCAAGAGCATGGAGGACGGCGACCCCGATGCCCTGGCTCTGTGGCGCCGGTTCCGTGACCTCAGTATCAAGAAGTACGAGCAGACCTACGCTCGTCTCAACATCGAATTCGACGTCTACTCCGGCGAGTCTCAGATCAAGCAGGAGAGCATGACTGCCGCCTACCAGACTCTGGAAAAGACCGGTGTCTCCGAGAAGTCCGAGGGCGCTGTCATCGTCGACTTCACCAAGCAGGGTGCCAAGAAGCTCGGCAAGGCCATCATTGTCCGCAAGGACGGCACGCCCCTCTACCTGACCCGCGATATCGGCGCCATCACCGAGCGTGCGGAGAAGTACAACTTCGACAAGATGATCTACGTTGTTGCCGCTCAGCAGGATCTGCACTTGGCTCAGCTGTTCAAGATCACCGAGCTGATGGGTCTCAAGGATCTGGCCAGCCGTTGCCAGCACATCAACTTCGGTATGGTCCGTGGTATGAGCACCCGTAAGGGTACCGTCAAGTTCTTGGATGACATCCTCCGGGACGTCGGTGACAAGATGCACGAGGTCATGAGAAAGAACGAGGAGAAGTACAAGCAGGTCGAGAACCCCGAGGAGGTCGCCGACATTCTGGGTATCACCTCCGTCATGGTCCAGGACATGACCGGCAAGCGGTATGTGTTTCCCATTCCAAAATAAAATGTTTAATCATACTCAGACGAGCTTACTGACTGGTAATAGTATCAACGGCTATGACTTCAACCTGGACGCCATGACTTCCTTCGAGGGAGACACCGGTCCTTACCTCCAGTACGCCCACGCCCGTCTGTGCTCCATCGTCCGCAGGTCCGGCCTCAACGTCGAGGAGCTCGACGACGCCGACCTCAGCCTGCTCAAGGAGCCCCACGCCGTCGACCTCGCCCGCCAGCTCGCTCAGTGGCCCGACGTTTTGCTCAACACCACCAAGACCCTTGAGCCCACCACTATCCTCACCTACCTTTTCCGCATGACCCACGTGCTGAGCTCCAGCTACGACGTGCTCAAGGTCGTCGGCAGCGAGCCCGAACTCAAGAAGGCTCGTATGGCTCTTTACGAGTCGGCTCGCCAAGTCCTGCACAACGGTATGCGGGTGGTTGGTCTCAGCCCTGTTAGCCGGTATGTCCCCGTTGTATGCAATCCACCCAATCCTTTTGCTAACATATCCCGCTTTCCAGCATGTAAACGGGAACGAATGAATAAACAAGCATAAAAAAGTCATATTAGAATTTTCGAATAGTTTCTTATCTTTTACAAATACCAAGCATTGTTTCAGCCTTATTCTTTTCAGCTGACTTGTCGGACTTTCCTCCTCCTTCTTCCTCTTAGACTTAAGCCTTGACCTACGCAAGACGATCTATTATATCCATGATACACAACCCCCCCCCAAAAACCCAAGGCCACGATCCCCTAGAACCAGCAAATCGGAAAGAAAGTAGTGCAAAATCCTCAACCTTCCAACTCCAACTCATATAGCTAACCCCATCTCACCCCTTCCCTTCTTCCAAATTTGCAAACAATACATCATGCTTGGATCATGGAAAGTGACTAACACAGCACGCTGATTACCGAAAAATCACGGCTCTTGCATTCGTCTCTCAACCACCAGTGTTCGTCTCAGTGGGGGCTGAAAGAAGAATTACTCGGTATGTATCAAGATATTTGTCTCTGGTCTGCTTCAACGGCGGTAACGATCAAAGTCGTGTAGTATGGCAGCTGGTATTCGCGCACAGAGAGAACCCGCCAATTCCAGGGCAGGTATACCAAATTTATGTGCATCGTGGGCGGAGAGTTGGGGAGGAGAGAGGGGAGGGCTGTTAGGAATAGGAGGGAAAAGAGGGGGGAGGAGGGGCAGGGGGGATTTTCGGGGTATCGCTGAGGCAAGACTTGTAGATATTATCTCCGTATCGCAGATTTGGCCCCGGAGGAGACAGAAAAGGGGGTTGGAGTGGAATGTTGTGGGGGCCGGAGAATAGAAGACAGCGACGTAACTCTCCCTAGAACAACAGACAGGATTTCTTTGATCGGGATTGATGGTTCCCCGTGCAACGTAGGTAGGTCGGTCAAAAGGTCTAATCTCCTGTCTGCAAGCCACGAGGTCTCGTTGACGATGAGGATTGTTGATGATGAGGATCGTGGATGGTAGTTCTTGTAAACATCCCTTCTCCTCCTGTTTGCTATCTGATATCTTTGAAGCTTGAAAACAATAGGTGATTCCTCAATCAAGATGTATTATTGTTCCTCTTTCTACTGAATTATAGATTAAATACACACGGGATACTAAATCCCGACAGAGGTCGAGCAAGAGTAACCTGAGATCTCCTCTTCTCCCCGCCAAAAAAACACGTTTTTTTCACCAGTAGATCGCACTCTTTCTCAAACCGAACAAGAGTTGACCGGTACGAATGCACCCAATCAGCAGGAGGCACCGGAAGGAACGTTCTTGCACTTGCTGCTCTTCTTACCGCCGGTGATGCTGTTGCCGGACCAGGTCCAGTCAGAGCAGCTGCCGGAACCGCAAAGGAGGTAGATATCAGTGGCCGAGCTCTCAACGGTACCGGTGACCTTCTCGAAAGTGATGTCCTTGACACTGACACCGTTGGTGGGAGTACCCGTGGGGGAGCCGTTCTCGTAGTCCTGCTCGACAACGATACCGTACTTGCTGATGCCGGAGAGGGTGATGTCCTCGAACTTGACATTCTCAACGGTACCGGTGGCGCCGTAGACGGTCTTGATGCGGACACCGTTCTGGGAGTTGAGGACCTTGGAGTTGGAGATGGTCACGTCGGAGACGGTGTTGTCACTGCGGCCACCGACGGAGCCGATGGAGAGACCGTGACCACCGCTGCAGTAGCCGTTGGTGAAGGTGATGTGCTGACGGTATATCAGTTAGCTGCTGAGCTTGGACTGACAGGCTGACATTGAGGCGTCTTTCAACTTACCTCTCCAGAATTGATGGCCAAGCAGTCGTCCTGGTTGTAGACGGTGGCCCCATCAATGGTGATGTAGGTACTGGAGCCAATGTCGAAAGCATCAGTATTGTGGCCCTCGGAGGCACCGGAGGAGTTGTCGATGGTCACGTCGGTGATGGTCAGGTGGTCAGACTGGATGCTGAAAGCCTGGACCGGGGTGTTGTAGACCTTCAGTCCAGTGATGCTGGACTCGTCCAGCTTGTGGGCATAGAAGAACTTGGGCTTGGTCTTGCCGCCGTTGCTTCCCTTGCCGTCCCACCAGCGGGAACCATCGCAGTTAATCTTGGCGCCGGAAGCCTGCTTGACGGTGATGTCGGTACCGGACATGGAGATCAGGGGACCCTTCCACTCCTTGTAGCCGAAGGTGGTGGTACCCTCGAAGATGACCTGTGGGGGTTGGTCAGCTTACATCATGCGCCTATGTGCTTGGGAGCGCCCTACAGTGGTACCGGACTTGAGGCCGGTCAGGTCCAGAGTTTCACCAGCGGGAACCGCGATGTTGTTCAGGTAGATGGTCGAGCAAGAGGTTTTGCCAGACTTGGCCTTGGCGGCATCGGTGAAGGTACAGCTGGAGCGCTTCTCGATGTCGGTAGGAGCAGCGGCGGCCAGCGCAGCGCCCATGGAGGCGGCCAAGAGGGAGGTCTTGATGAAATGCATCTTGATTGAGTGAATGGAAGCCTGGATCAACCGGAGGCGAAGATCAAAGAGAGACTGAACGGGGTAGGAAAGAGTGCAAAGGAGTGCGATGAGGAAGAAACTCCATCATGACAGGGAGGGCAGAAGAAGGTATTTATGCCAGCAGAGAGGGGAGCACGTTTCTGCACCAGAGGTAGTAGCTATATCGAACGCTTTCTGGAAGAATTCCGGTCAATTGAAATGAAGGACTGAGGTACCTTGCCAAGCCCAGAGCAAACCGGGTCCGAGCGACTAAGATCATTAGGGCTAGGATAAGGTCGAAGAGCTCCCGATTTGGCCCTAAATAGGGTCTTCAACCGTTTCCAAAAGGGTTCATCCGTCGTACATGAAACACAAGCTCAATCCGTAGCCGCATTTTTTGACCACTCACAGCTGTTGAAGCTTGACCATAGGCAGCCCCTGAAGCCTACCATTCGGTAGGGCGCCAAGACACCGAGGCAGACCCTTTGGCCAGGCAATATATTTTACTTCCTTGAGTGGCGGACAGTTTCATGATCGCCGGTGGTTGATGCCATATTGTTCGGAGCCCTTGACGCCGCAAAAGTGCCGACGGAGCGGATAGCAAAGTAGGTTAGTGCCTGGTGGCTTGCCTGCTCCCCCACCCCGCTCGGCTATCGCCTCGCTGTAGGCAACAATGATTTACAATACCTTGCAATTCAAGGCAATGTGGTTCGCGCGATGATGTCCAGCAAAAAGCGAGACAAGCCTTATAGAGCCTTTTGCCAATGCAATTGACTCACGAGGAGACACCGTCAAGCAACTTCAAGCTTGTTAGCTGAAGCTTGGCTAATGGGAATTGTTGGGAGCTGTTCCTCACCGAATGCAAGCTGAATGAGCAGTTTCCACCATGATCCTGGATGGTTCTTGTGCCCTAGCGTATTTCTGGCAGACCGGGCGGGTCTGTATCCATTCTGAGAAATAAGGATACACTTGTGGCGGCGGAGATTGGTCGGTGGGTTATCCAGGTAAGACATAAGACCCACGGTCCCTCTGGACATGTTCCGATGGTGCCGTTTTCTAGACCTGAGGAGTCAAAACAGAGCCTGCATGAGTTGGCTTCAGATGACGGACTTCTTGGCAGCTGCTCTCTGCAATCTCGAGACAGCATGCCATAGGCCCTGTTCATTCCCAACATAAATGGAGGGGTCGACGAAATATATTAAGGAGAGTAACTCGAGTCCGGATACGAGTGCTTCCAAAGTGGTCTGCAGCATCCCCGTCTCGAGACCGGCAGTTGTGTACACTATGCCCTTTTGTTCGGTGAAAGTGGTAAACAGCTTCAGGTTGATAGTGTCCTCACCGCGGGATTCGAAACGAGATACCCAGATTTCCCCTGGCGGATTGTTTCTGCTCGGATAAGCCGGCGTCGCAGTTGTTTTATCCCTCCCGATTCATCCGCCATATGTGGTTTGAGAGTGAGCAAATCCCGAGCTGTTTAAGGGGAGTGTTTTGTAGGGGATGAAGAAGTGTTGTGAGGAGAGAAGGTGGAGGGGGAAAGATGTGTGAAAGTAAGACTTGGCATCTGCCTTAGGCAGCACTGGTATCCAATACTTCAACTGTTACTTGCTCGGAGTTCGATGTCCTCGGATGCTGGGCACTCAGCTACCACTACCAGCGCCTGACCTGCATATTGGATCAAATCACAGGAGCAAGAAGCAGGAGATGGTATATTTTGAAGCGCTTTTAATGCAACCACAGTCAAATATTAATCAAGTATCACATTCCAGTCTCGTAGAGGTAAGGAGATGTAGGCAAGCAACAGTACTAACAAGCCATGATAATGCAAATATAGATCTCTATGATACTGTACCTGCTGTATATATACCCATGTAGGCATAGGGTTGAGCTGCACGTATGTGTGCATGTAATCACGTCACCTGTCTGAATGTACAGGAATATGGAAAGGATTTGCAAGACTGCCACTCTTCAGCTATATCACTCATTATGAAGGATGAACTCACTGTGGAGAACAGACTGACCCTGTGCACCTCCTCTCTTCTCCTTCTCGGAACTCCCATTTTATTCGCAGGTGGCTTTTGTCAGCAGCTCCAGCCATCCCCTGCAGCCAGAACCTTTCCTTGCCTGTCATGCAGATCTGGGGTAGCTGTCATTGCAACGGGTGACGACAGGCGCATGAATCAGCCACGATGGCGCAGCACAGAGGACTTCGGCCGAAAGATGGCGACCTGATCATTCCTACCCTGTGGCTCTTCTCCTTCCCTTCTACACTCATGGCAGCCCACACCATACACAGCGTGGGATGAAGATGTCAATCGTCACATCATATGCAGCACGGATGCGATCTCTTCTTCCCCCCTCATGCAGAAGAAAACAACAGATAAGCAACACCAATGGTTACTGCGCGAGGGTGATCTTGGGAGGGTGTTCGCGTCGCACAAATGTGTGATGGCTGATCGAAAACGGTCTGACGCCTCGTTCGGGCGCGGCTGCAGCGACGATACAAAAACCGTCGGTGGGATGAGGATTGCAGACCAACTACGCGAGTCGGCCGTGTTTACCTGAGGATTTACTGGGCTTTATCCTGGCCCTGGTCATCGCTTACAAGTGACGTCCAGCCAGCAATGGTGGGATACGACGGCAGCAGGCTATTAGTTAGTAGCCGAGGGCCGTGGTTGGGTGTCCGCGCCACGACTCTGACTGAGTGACTGAGTGACTGACTAACTGACTGTTCGACAGGATTCAATCACAATCGTGATCATTTCAGCCCAGCTCAGCTGGTCAGAACACTGCCATGCGCCCCCACCAATCAAGGCGGCCGACTGGCAGGCTATCGTACGGGATCAGCGATCGAAAAGCAATAGTTCCATTTTGCTTTTCACTGCGGCCCCTGCGGGAATTCCCACGCCTCGTGTTGGAGAGCACAACAACGCTGACCTCCCTGAGAAACAAATAAGGTTGGCGAATCAATAGGATTGTTCTCGGTGGAGAAACAAAGCGAATCTCGGGCAACTCGGGGAATGGGAACCTTGATCCGAGCTAAGGACGGCGACATCCACACCATCAGCGGGCATCAACTGCTTCGGGCTTCACATCCATGGGTCGCTGAATTTTCTCGCTGCATTGGAATGCTGACTGACTGACTGAATGACTGTGACTTACAGGGTACCCCTCCCCAGTTCAGCTGCTAGGAAGGATGACCCTTGACGCCGAGCATCTTCGGCGTTCTCATTCCTTCGCGAAATCGTATAGCGGGCTTGGCCTCGTCTTAAGTAAGATGCAGCCCTGTGCTGCCCTCCGGGGCCCTTTAACGGCTCTTGTCTGCTGTTCAGATCTCGCCTGATCCCTGTTCCTGTTTTCCGGAACTTACACAGATCCGACATTATAGTTTGCAATCTCCCCGTCTAAGTTGGCGCATTTCAGCACGACTTACCTACTTGCACAGCCTGGTGTATCCCCCGCTACCGATTATGGCGTCCGAACTCCCGGCCAAGGAAGATGACTTTGACCTCGAGCGGAACGAAGGTCATCAGTTTTTGATGAACGATACGGTTCATAGCTTTTCGTGGAATGATCTACGAGTCACAGTCAAGGATCGTCAAACGAAGCTACCCCGACATCTCATCGATGGGATCAGTGGTTCTGCGCAGAGAGGTAGACCTGTATACCCAGGTATACTTGCTGAATAAGACTGACCTTCTTAATTGATAGGGGAGCTGGTTGCTTTGATGGGTCCATCAGGATGCGGTAAAACGACACTCCTTAATGTCCTTGCTCGTCGTGTAGCAACTTCGGGCGCAACACATGCCGGAGAATGCTACGTTAATGGTTCTTCAATTGATAACACAACCTTTGGTCGACTCACATCCTATGTGGAGCAGGAAGATGCCTTGATTGGTTCATTGACTGTGCAGGAAACATTGGAGTTTGCAGCTGATCTTTCTTTACCAAGGTAATTCTCCTATCAACAATGACCCTGTTCTCAGTCTAGAGGCTAACTGCTCCAGGTCCGTCTCCAAGTCTCAGCGAAAAGAGCGCACTCGTACTCTGTTGGAGGCCTTTGGTGTTCAAAATCAAGCCTCGACGCTAGTTGGCACTCCAATCCGCAGAGGCATAAGCGGGGGGCAGAAACGGCGGGTTGGTGTCGCCAGTCAACTAATAACCTGTCCGAAGATTTTATTCTTGGACGAGCCTACTAGTGGTCTAGACTCGACGGCCAGCTATGAAGTCGTCTCTTATATCAAGAAGTTGGCTATCGCAAATAACGTATGGTTATCGCACGGGGGAATGGCGCAGTCTGCTGACCTCTGCTAGCTCATTATCATCGCCAGCATTCATCAGCCATCATCAACCACTTTTCAGCTCTTTGATAAGCTGCTTCTGCTCTCAGGGGGAAAGACGTGCTATTGTGGTCCTCTCGCTGAGGTGCCTGCTTATTTTGACCGACTGGGCCATCCCATTCCTCCGAATACAAATCCAGCCGAGTTCATTCTTGATCTGATCAGCGCCGACTTCGCCAGCAGTACGCTATGCGCGCCGGAGGATCAAGTAGAGGAGATATGCGCAGCTTGGCAGCAGTCTGCGGAGCGTAGTGCGATGAACGAGCGGTTATCGCAGGACTCACGAGGCATAGAGAAGGATTTCAGTCAGGTTGACGTTGCAGAGCTTGGCCGTCCAGGGATGATTAGTATCATCGTGTCCCTCTTACACCGCGCCTTCATCAAAAGCCACCGCGATATTGTGGCATACGGCATTCGAATTGTTATGTATATGGGTACGTGTCAAGGTTGCAGAGACTCGGTATTTTATTCTCATTGCATTGATAACCAGCAACTGACTTTGTCTAGCTCTGGCCATCTTGGTAGGAACTGTCTGGCTCCGTTTGCACAGTGAACAAGCCTACATCCAGCCACTCATCAACTCCATAGTAAGCCTCTGACCTGGCAGTCTTGACAGTTTTAGCACATATCTCAACAACCTCTAGTTCTTCGGGTCCGCATTTATGAGTTTTATGGCCGTCGCCTACGTGCCCGCCTTCCTCGAGGACCTCGCAACCTTCACGAAAGAGCGTGCAAATGGCCTGTATGGGTCTTTTCCATTCCTCGTGTCCAACTTCATCATCGGACTTCCGTTCCTCTGTACGATGTTTCTCCCCCCAGCACCTGCCTTGTCCGGACCACCGTCTAACCTGGTACTCATAGTCCTCATCTCCCTACTCTACTCCCTGATCGCCTACTGGCTCAACAACCTCACCCCGACCGCCACGGCGTTCTTCACCTGGATCATGTGGATCTTCCTCGACCTCGTAGCCGCCGAATCCCTGGTTGTGTTTGTGTCGTCCATCTTCCCCAACTTCGTCATCGCCCTTGCACTCGTGGCCTTTGCCAACGGACTCTGGATGGCTGTAGGAGGCTTCCTCGTCACACAGACCGTCCTGAACCCGTTCTGGAAATACGTGTTTCACTATATAGACTACCAGGTGAGTGTCCCCCACCCCCCCATCTCTTGAGTCATTTACTCCTGACTTCCCCTCAGTCTCCCTCCCAATCCTCACTACCAACCGACTAACAAACCTATCAAGGCCTACGTTTTCCAAGGCATGATGGTCAACCAATTCTCCGACCGCATCTTCGCCTGCGCCTCGGACTGCACCTGCATGTACCAGACTGACCTGGCCGCGCAGTGCCAGATCCGGGGTACAGGCGTGCTGCACGAGTATGGCTACGCGACGGGCCGCACGGGCAAATGGGTGGGTATCCTGCTGGGAATTATTGCTGCGTATCGGTTGTTTGGGTATTTGGCCCTGGTGTTTTTGAGGCGATGAGTTGATGATGGTGGTAGTATATATACTGTGTACGTTTGGTCATTATTTGCGGTTTGGTTTACGGGGTTGTGTGAGGTGCGATGTACTTATCGTTCTCTTTCATTGTCTTTCTGTCTGAGTGTGATCAGATGTTGAGTAACCCTGGTCGATGTATGTGAGTATGCATTTCTTCATAGGTATGGAGTTTCTGGGTGAGAGAAAAGAAGAGGAGGGAGGAGGGTGTATATCAGATCCAATCGAAACTGCATGCTATTTATTGCGGTTACTAAATAGAAGATCCATAGAAATTATCATTGACAGCTTACTATCGTGAGAGACACAAGAGAATGTCCAGAACCAGTTAATTAGCTGCGTAAGCGTAATACTATACGTGATCCACGAACATAAACCGCCATCCAAAGTTCCAATCCGTGTCCACAACAACAGCCGGAATAGGACTCTTTCACCAACTATACTTTCAACAATATTTATCAGAAAGGAATCACCGGTAACGTCAGATCATAATTTCATTTACGCATTGAATCTCCCTCCCATTCCCACAAATCCCATCTTATCATTTGGTCAGTTTGATAGCGCTAGAAAAATCAGAACGCATGAAGAGCATATACAGCATAACACAAGACGACCTAATCTCAGCTTCGCACCGTCCTCACTCAAGGTTCGCCAGTCGACAAAAAAGTTCCTCCCATGCATGAAAAAAAAAGTGCAGATCTAACGGGTCAACTGCAGCTAACGTCTTGAGTACCGAGTCTCCTCGCCATCACTCTCACTCAGACTATCGCGACGACGACCCCGACCACCTTCGCGACGGTAGCCCTTGCTCAGCCCGGGGATTGGATGGTGGTAGCTCTTCGTACCCGAATCCTCCGTGTCGACGTTGGAGTACTGGTACTCGGACCGCGAGGGGGCGGAGGAGGTGAAGTCCAAGGGTTCGGTGTAGTGGCCCGTGACCGAGGGGCGCTTGCGGGGACTGCTCTGGCGGGAGGAGCGGGAGGGGCTACTGGTGCTGCCGCTCTCACCGGGCGCGTATCTCCTCCGCTCGCGACGACGATTATGCCTCCGGGTCGAGGGCTCGCGAAGGGTGCGGTGATGATGATGATGGTCGTCATCCGCGTGGCTCAACAGCTCCTCACTACCCGCCACAAACGAGAAGTCGCGACGTTTGCTCTTCTTGCGCTCCGGCACCGGGTCATACGCGTAGTCACGGACCTGGCTGACCTCGCTCTGCTGCTGCCAGTAGCTCGGCGGGTTGGACAGGTCGTAGTCGCTGCCGTCATAGTACGTGGTGGTGCCGTCGCCTTCACGATTCATGCCGCCGACGCGCGCGGGCTTCTCCTTGCGGTAGGCGGCGACGTCCTCGTCGACCTCGTTCTCCCAGTTGGTCGTCATCTCGTCGTCCTTGCGTCGCCGCCGGAACTTCTCGCGCAGCCGGCGGCGCCGCTTGCGCTCCTCGGTGGTCGCAGCCCCGGCAGCCCCGGTCTTCTCGGTGATAGTCGTCGCGGTTTCGGTGTAGGTGTAGCCGCCGTCGCTGTAGGCGCGGTGCACGATGCTGCCGCCGCCCAGCTTGGTGGATTTGGTCGCGTTGCTGAGCGTGCGCCCGTCCGGGCCCTTGCGCCGCAGCACCGTCGATTTGTACTCCTCCCAGTCGCCCTTGCGCCACACGAACCCGCCGTTCTTGGCCCAGAAGAAGAACCAGATCGCCGCGAGCACGAACGCCGCGCCGATGATGGCAAAGAGCGCCATCAGGCCCTTCATGTTGATGTTGTGCGGCTCCACAGTGCCCGTGCCGGGGCTGTATTTGGTGTCATCGCGGGCGTGCAGCTGGTGGAGATTGTTGTTGCTGTTCGCGATGGCAGGGTCGGATGAGGGGGTGAGGTCGCGTGGATTGGTGGTTGTAGTCAGAACCTCGAGAATGGAGATGCCGGGGAAATCGCCAGCCGCTTGGACGGGAGGCATGGTTGTGCTGGATGGCGGTTAGTGAATGTCAAGAGCGCGGTGCTCGAGACGGGCACTCTGTGTCTTGGTCAGGCGGATGTCCTCTAGATAGGTGTGTATGTGATGAAATTGAAAGGGGTATGTAGATAAGTTGATTGATTGATAGATAGATAGATAATCTTACATCGAGAGATGGATCGATGATGAATGTACCGAGTGGGACGGATTGGAATGTGGGATCGCTTACCCACTGAATGTATGTATTCCCCGGTCCACTTCTTGTGATATGATACGGAGTACCAGTGTATATGATACAATATGGTATGCTCGGTCACCAGAAGATCGGATGTGAGCACAAATGTCAGGTATGCGCTGCCAAATGTGTCAGTAGTCAGTACCGGCTTGCACACACACCCAGGGAAGGAATCCAAAGCAGAGCCGAGTCCAAGGCGAAAATGCGGTGGTTGGGGAGAGAGGCTGGGGATGACGCGGTATTGTTTGGCCGATCCTCGTGGCCCCGGCAACTAATTACATGACTCAGCAGCCTTCAGCCCGTTATCTTATCAGGCCATCATCTACGGAGTACAGTACCACACATACTCTAAGAAACTATAGAGTATGTACGGAGGCGTGTACCAAAAGTTATAGAACAACGCTAATTCTCTTGGCAGTAATCAACGTAACGTTCAGTTATCACCCGTCATATAAATTAATATGATAGATCATAAAATGGAGTTAGAGAGTGATAACGCGTTGAATCTTGTTTATTTTGATTCATAAAAAGCAAAAATGAAGCTCTTAAAAAGGATAAAACGCGGGAAATATAGAAATTCATGGTATTCTTCCAGCCAGCCAGCTAACACTGCCGCTGCCAGCTAACACCGCCGCTGCCATGGCTATACAGGAACACCATGATCTTGGAAGCCGTGTTCAGACACTTTCCCTATATCATACCAGAGTTAAGATGCCGTTGATTATTGCAGCCACGGGCCTGTTAAGAGGCGCTGTTCTTCAGTAGATAAGAACAGCCAAGGAACGTGGATTTGATCCTCAACGCGATCCACGAATTCTTCTTCAATATATTCAAGACGCGCCTCGTTCCGGACGACCCAGAGAAATAACTAATTCTATGGCGAATCAGCTTATTGATATGGTCTGCGAGAACCGGGCTTCTCAATCACGAACGTGTGAGATGATGGCGTTTGAACTAGGTGTTTCAACAATATCAGTATACCATGTTTTGAAGAAATATGGCTTCAAATCAGTCAAGCCCACTAAAAAGCCTAGTCTAACCCCCGAAATGAAGAAACAACACCTGGAATTCTGCCTCTGGTTCAAGGAACGTATACAGAACGGTGGATTAAAAGACCTCATCTTTACAGACGAAACTGCAGTCTGTATAGGCCAGCGCCGTGGCGCCCAAAGAATCTGGCGCCGTACTCACGAGAAGTATGAAGCCTCATATATTCAACACCGCTGGAAAAGTAAGACAGATTTCATGGTCTGGGATGCTTTTTCATATAATCAAAAAGGTAAGTTCCTTCAAGCCAGCTCTTGGATTTACTAACTTAGTAAGATCCTATACATATCTTCAAGCCTGAAACTGCCAAAGAGAAACAGGAAGCTGAGAAGGAAATCCAGACTTTAAATAAGGAATACAAGACAGTTCACCGTGAACAGTGGGAGTTAAATAACAGGCTTAGGCGTATAAATCTTCGTCAAGGAAGAAACACCAGGCCGGCAGCCTGTTTGGCGGTTTACTGAGGAACGAGGTAAGCTTGTTCGGCGAGGAAAGGGTGGAATCAATTGGTATTGATACTGGAAGGTAGGAATAACCTCCTTTATACTAATCTATATACACAGACTAATAATTTCCTTAGGAAATTCTTATTCCACATCTCTAGCCTTTCGCGAAGCAATGTAAGATCAGCCGGCCTAATACCGTGATTCTTGAGGACGGGGCACCGGCCCATAAACACTATTTTATACATACATTGTTCTCTATACAGAAGCTTCAAAGGCTTCTTGAATAGCCGGGAAACTCGCCTGATTTGAATATGATTGAAGCTGCTTGGCCCTGGCTCAAACGCCATACAACCTCTCGAGGCGCAGCGAGAGACAAGAAGACCACGGAATTGGCGTGGCGGAAGGCCTGGGCTGAACTGCCTCAGGAACGTATACAGCTCTGGATCGAACGCTTGATTCACCACGTTGATAAGATTATCAAGCTTGACGGTGGGAATAGCTACGCCGAGGGCTGTTTTGACACCGATTCGAGAACATGGCAAGGTGTACGCCATAAGGGCAAGTTATCCAAGCGCCAGGACCTTGGAGAAGGCCCTCTTTGGTAAAAATCGCGGTGTCAAAACACCAGGAACTCGTTGGATACGCTCCAAAAGACCGATTTCCAGCTTCATTTAATGACTATTTCGGGCGTTTTATCGATTTCTTTATGGATCTGCATGCATTTGATGTGTCATACAAATTAGTATGGTAGGCCATACGCCTGCAATACGCCAAGAGAATTAGCGTTGTTCTATAACTTTTGGTACACGCCTCCGTAGTACGCATAGCCTTTCAATCAGACGACTACATACCTAAAAACACCATTAATTCAACCACACGGTCTATTCCTGCTTAGTATGCTACCTACCCGCCCCATCCAGCAAACTCCGCAGTGCGTGGTGGGGGTGGCGGAAAAGCACAAGGGACCCATGAGTTTACTATTAAGTTACTGGGTATCACCGACACGAACATGGGCGATGTTGAGTGGGTATCGAGAATCAAAAGAGAATGCAGGAGCTACTCCCTCACTCCGCCGGCACGTATCATCCAAAATGTCAGTAACGAACATTGGGCATCAATGAACACTTAGGGGCGTAAGCTTGCTAGCGCTGAAACAGCACGTAGAGGCAATAACCTCACGGGATTGTTTGCACGAGACTTGATGATCACAGAAATCATGCACAGCCGAGCTGACAGGGGCAGTTCTGACTGTCTTAACAGTATCAGATGCAGACGGAACGCCCCGCTGATGCACTGTGCCTCCTTGGAATCAACTGTTGCTGCCAGTTGCGCAGCACGCAGAAATGACGCACAAAGAAAACGATAGAGTTTTTGTCATCCAACCTCAGCGCAAGAGAGGACCGATGTTTTGGCTTGTATATATATATACTACACTCAAGTGTACGCATCCGTACGTCAGACATAAAGTTACCACAATGAGGGTATGGAGTCACGATCCGGTACTGGTTAGGGTAGTGTAAGTCATAGGGTTCAATGTTCAGCAAGATCCTAAGTCATGTGATAGATGAAGGAAAAATGCCCGAGAAAGCTTTTTTGTGAAAGCAATCTCCAATGGGACTGTCGGTCATCAGAGTACAAGCCTCCTGGAAGGCTCGGACAGATAAGGGATGAACCTGGACGGATGAGGGTTTTTTCTATCGGAGAGGACGGATTGCGGAGGCAATGTGGGGAGCGAAAATCGGTGCAAGCCTTAGTATGAGATCTTGTCCGGTGCCCTTTAGGGCTTGAAGAGACGGAAAGTAATGGCTCGCTGACTGGGATCATATTTTCTAGCGCGCTTCGACGCGGTCTTCCATGCCGCTTGCTCACCGGTCACTCCACAAGCATAGCAATTTTATCAGTCCGTCAGGAGAAGACCGGTAAGTGGGGTGAAGACTGATCCTGGAGAGTCGGAAATGAAATGGAAGCAACTCTCGCAAGTTAAGTTAAGTCATAATGCTGACATGAGCAGACAAAGTCCGACATAGACTTGCCTTGAGAGGCCGGTTTTGCTATCCTGGTTTGGTGGGCTAGATCAGGTCTGCTGAAGAAGGCCTGTCCATGAACGCGAAGAAACTCAATATGACCCTTGTAAACTGGATTCTTGATGCTGAAAGTTTCTTTGCTTCCCTTTGTCTTACCTTGAGGAAAATTGGCCCCTCCGACTACCTTCTT